TTTGTTGCTGGATTGGAACCGGACACAACAGACTCCGCAGCTGCATGTACAAGAAATTCAAGATAGGGTTTCCGAACTGTGATCATGTGGATAGGCACCACAGAATACTAAACAAATGTGGCAGATATGCTCTCTACAAACAGACCTTGTCCACAGAGTTTACAGTCCGTGAGCATAGAGAAGACGACCAGTGTTCCTGCTGTGAAAGATTTAGAAAAAGACCATTCTATTAGCTTTGAACTGTGTACAAGAGTTGCACCGTGGAAGAGATTGGCAGCCTCACTGCGCAATGTTCCCATACTCAGCAGCAGACACATAGCAGCCATTCTCCGTTGTGGAGACACCATTTTTATTTATTATTATTCACAGTGACATATTTAGCCTGCTATTTTCTATTTCTACCTGCAGCAGGGTTCCCCCCCCCCCCCCCCCCCCCCCTCAAGTTCAGGTTCTGTATATCATCCCTTGTGTAAAACAATCTACACAACAAAAGCCGTGATCTGCACAAACCAGTTGGGTCATTATAACAAGCTATACAATCCCAACCTAATGCTGTTGTAAACAAGCAGTGCCAATCACTGGAAGACCAAGAAAAACCAAAAACTCATCTGTTTAAATTGTTACCATTGCAAACAAGCTTATGGTAAATTATTGTTCCGTTACTGCAGTAGGTTTCCTGTGTGGGCTCCGGGGCCCTCTTTTGAGGGCAGAAACGAACAGTCTCACTGCTCCCTGAAAAATCATGTCATAAAAGATAACTAACTAGGAGATCACTAAAACTGGGTGTCTTGTGCTGAAAGGTGCAAATATCACAGATTAGCTGTAAACCACCAAACAACCTACTACCCACCCTTTGGTCTCCTAAAAGTCATTAACAAATAACCTAATCGCAACGTGCATCAAAAAACAAATCTTCATCTTCTTCTTCAGCGTTCCGAGCCCTTGAGGTTCATTGCTGCAGATATCACCGGCCCCCATGCATCTCTCTGGTTGGCCTTCTCTTTCCAGTTGGTGACACCAAGTGTTTGCAGGTTTGTCTGGACATTATCTCTCCATCGACTTCTTGGTCTGCCTCATCGTCAAATATACTGTTTGTTTAAAAAAAATGCATCATTTTAATTCCCTGAAACTCTACCCACACTGTGGGACCTGGTCGACCGGCAACCAACGTGGCCAATGGAAAAGTATGATGTCCACATTTCTATAAAATAAAGCCATTTTCTTAAAGGGAATACCCGAACTGCTATTTTTTTTTCCCTAGTAAATTTAGTCATCCCCAATGCCTTGGCTTCAAAACAGGACACAAACGATTATGCAACCACATGTACACAAAATTCAAGTGTATCAGTCTCATGTGCAAACTTGCGTCCAACAGCAGAACACACTACTCCAGGACTGTATTGAATATGATACACTAAGGCAAACTTTCCTGGCTAGAAAGAACAAAAGTGGAACGTAAGCTGTGGACCATGAAAAAAAAAAGCGATAGTGAAATTTTATTAGAGACAAAATTGCTGATATGGACGACTTATTTCAGGCGAACAAAAGAAGAAAAATTATCCCCAGTAACACTGCGGTTTGCGCAGATGCAGATACATTGAATTCTGTTAGCTAAATGTTTTCTAAACATGTCTTTACCCTGCAACTGTACTAATCTGAAGTGTAGGCTGATGGCTCTCAAGAGGGAAGGGTTCAAATGTAGTGACAAGCATGTCATAAAGTCGACTAAGTGGGGAGCTTCCTTCAAAGTCGCAGTGCCTGAGAGGAAGGAAGCATCAATCTGCATACAATTTAGGCAGATGTGTTTAAAAAAATGTACCCTCAACATTCAGGTTCTGGTACAAGACTAAAGTCCAGAGGTGGCCAAACAACCAGAACTTTCCGCCGGAGTTTACAACCAGTGAACATGAAGAAATGTAGAGATATTTAAATAATTATTCATATTCTTCTTCAATGTTCGTCTTGAAAGGGCAGCTGACACATTGTATTGTGGTTTACACCACAGATTTCAGTAAACTCTTAAGTAAACACCTTTTACAACTCACTTGTTAGGAGATGGTAAATCTATAATTTTTTCACCCAAAACGGGGATATGGGGGGGGGGAAAGGCATATCTGATTCAACCTTTCAAGGTTCTAGTTTTGACGGTACTAGTCGGCCTAAAATTCTTAACAAAATAAAATGTTAAAACACGGGTATATGGTGTACATCAGACACCACAGTTTTAATATAAAAGAACAAAATCTGATAAATCAAGGCCAAATTTTTCTCTGATGTAAGCTAATACTAAATAAATGAAGAAAAATCAGATATATTTTTATCTGGCATATTAGAAACAAGGAAGTAAAATATTTACACGTGTTAACAATAAAACAATACTGATGTACAGTAAAATTAAATTTTTTAAAAATCAAAAATGGTAAAATAAAACAAATTTAATACAGTACTAATATACTTCTATATTTAAAAAAAAGTTAACATTTTTCTCCTTTTGACTAAACAAAATAATTACAACTACAAAGCATTAAAGATACAATAAAGTTTAATAATCAACAAAGGTAAATAAAATAAATAAAACGGTGCTAATTTAATTCTTCTTTTTCTTCAGCATTCCGAGCCCTAGAGGTTCATTGTGGCAAATATAACCCGCCTCCATTCATCTCTCTGGCTGGACTTCTCTTTCCAATCTGATACACCAAGTGTTTGCAGGTCTGTCTGGACATTATCTCTCCATATTCTTCTTGGTCTGCCTCATGGTCTACAACCACACCCCGTAAAACACTGTTTCTCCTGAAACATCTTGAAAAAAAACCAAAGCGTACAACTACGAGTGACATTTTCAGAGTAATATTCCACATTTGTTCCTCACAAACTGCTCGTCCAAAATGTTTGAAATTTCTTCTTGTTCTTAAAGCCCAAGACATGTGGCGTTGGCGGTCATGTCTATTCAGTCTTCTTTCTTGTGTGCTTTCTATCTACTCTGACACAGATGATCCTCCATGCCACGAGGTCAAACCGTCCAGCATCTGTTCTCTCAGTCTCTGTGTGCCTCCCCTCCCCTCCAACTTTTCTACTGTCACGAGGTACTCCAGCTTTCTCGTCCTCATCACAAGACCACAGAATGTAGATGGTCTTTCTGATGTGGGCAATCAGTTCTCCTCCAGGGTCAGTTTCTTTCAAGACGTCTTCTTTACTTTTTTTTTTAAATCTCATAATTTGTCCATCATACCACATATCTCCGCAGCTTCCAAATAAGTTTTCACTAATTTACTAAGTCTCCATTAAATTTACTAGCAACATAATTCATGTCACTTACTTAACCTAATTTTGTATATTAACTCTATACTTCTATGACTGCATGCCTAGAGAAACAAGGACAAGCATGCCTTGCCTGTGCCAATTTCTGTATGTAACATCCTCTGGCCTGCCTCCACTTTCTAAAGCTTTAACTCTCTTTAACACAGCAACCGATAGTGCTTCGACTGACTGCACACTAACATGAAACAAAGGCAGGCACCCTTTGCCTGTACCAGATTTTGTTCTGTTCCCAATACATCCTCAAGTCTGTCTCTCCACTTTCTGAAACTTCAACTCTCTAAACCCGGCACCCGATAATGCTCCTACTGACTGCACGCTAACATAAAACAAAGGCATGCACCCTTTGCCTGTATCGGATTTTGTTCTGTCCCCATAACATCCTCATCTGTCTCTCCACTTTCTGAAATTGTAACTCTCTGAACCCAGCAACTGATGGTGCTCCTACTGACTGCACACTAACACCAGGTCCTGTTAACATATCATCCTTGGGTCCGCCTCTCCACTTTCTAAAGCCTCAACTCTCCAAACCCAGCGACCAATCATACTCTTATTAACTGCATATGCCTGAAGCTGTAAACACAAAAGCACCATTTTATTCATCCGTAAACTTTCCCTTCATTCTAGCTCAGAAATCCAGACACATCTTTAACCTTGATGAATAGAACCATCGTTGCATTATCTAGCCCAGCGTTTTCATCTAATAGTTGTTCCACTTCTTATACCATTACACCACTCTCTATATTCTCTTCCTAATGTGATAATGACCTGATTAAAAACTGCTGTCATGTGTATTGCCTACAGACCCATTCCTGCCCCCCCCCCCCCCCCTGTGTATTTGCCCAACTGAGGCTGCCGGCCGGATGGTGTCTTCAGCTGTTTCTAGGGTGATGTTGGTGCAGAAACGGCATACAAATGTAATGCTAGACTTATACTGGTATAGATCAATCAGCACTCAGTGGGGTGGGGTGTGGTCACTCAGTGGGGTGTGTGGTCACCCAGTGGGGTGTGGTCACTCAGTGGGGTGTGTGGTCACTCAGTGGGGTGTGTGGTCACTCAGTGGGGTGTGTGGTCACCCAGTGGGGTGTGGTCACTCAGTGGGATGTGGTCACTCAGTGGGGTGTGGTCACCCAGTGGGGTGTGGTCACCCAGTGGGGTGTAGGGTCACCCAGTGGGGTGTGGTCACTCAGTGGGGTGTGGTCACTCAGTGGGGTGTGGTCACTCAGTGGGGTGTGGTCACTCAGTGGGGTGTGGTCACTCAACTGGGTGTGGTCAACATTTTGCTAACCCTCCTTATTTTCTTAGACATTTCCTGTTGTCCATTTTAGACTGGATCAATAATAAAAATCCACCTAGATGTGGATTTGAACCTAAGACTATTGCGATGGCAAGCAAGTGTCTAGCTGCTGACCTAAGTACACAAGCAAACATGTAATTCTAGCAAAGCTTAATGGAGACAAACATGGATACAATAAAATTGTTCTTAACTCAATAAAAGCAAAACAAGAAGTAAGTGTGGTACAAGTGATCCGATACAAAGAGTAAAATAAGACACGTTGCCTCCCCAAAAATATGGACGACAGAGTCTTCTTGAATATCGTGTAACATGACAACAAAGTACAGTCTTAAATATGCAAAGTAATATAAAGCACGTTCATCGTAAAGCGATAATGTAAAACTGGGGATTAGTTGACTCGTTCGACGTAGTTTGAAGGCAACATGCCGTGATGTCCGGTCCTCTGTACAGTACCCATCATCCAGCCAGCATCCACTACTTCGACGTCGATGATCTGGTCACCATCTTGAAAGCTAACTTCATCGGCGTCTGCGGCGGTGTAGTCGTAAATTGCACGGTAGATAACCTGGCAAGGCAAGAATAATAAACAAAATATATGAAAATAAACAGAAAGATCTCCCTGTGTGGGTTCCAGGGGCCTCATCGTGGGGAAAACAAGAATGAACCCACTGCCTCCTCAACATGCATGTCGTAAGACCGAACTAACTGGGGACTTCCTTCGAGTTGGAGTGTGTCTGCCCAAGTGGCAAGGAACAACCAACTACACACAAATAAGCCAGTAAAATGGATGTACATGCAAAAGTCAGGCACTGGAACATAGTCAAAGTCTAAATGGATGAACAACCAGGACTCTCTGCTGGAGCCTACAGCTGGTGAAAAAAGAAGAAGAAGAGAATGATCTCCCTTTAACTATAATAATTTAAAAAAAAATTGTAATCCTCATGTGGGCACTGAAGGTGTACACAAGAAAGCTGAATGGCCAAAGATGACAAGGCAGACCAAAAAAATTATGGGGAGATAATACCCAGCTACAAACACTGAGAATCACCCACTGGGAAGAGAGGGCCAAACACAGAGATGAATGCAGGCACCAAATTTTGCAGCAGTGAAAACCTCAGGGGTTTGGAATACTGAAAGAAGAAAAAGTGTTGGTTCTGTGGCCCTGAGTTTTTTTTTTTTTTTGGGGGGGGGGGGGAAATAGATGCCCAGCATGTCCTAATGGGCTATTACCATTTTGCTGAAACTGAATGCGCTGGGCTAAAAAAGTGTAGATCACAGGCAAACTGGGACAGAACACTGAACATGTGCTACAGATGTGCAGTAGAGAAATCCCAGGTCTGGCCGGCTGGCATTCCCGTGGAAACCAAACTGTATGGATCAGGGGAACATATGCATTACAAACAAACTACACAAAGGCCTGTGGCCTTCTTATCTGAAAACTAAAGCAGGGAGAAAGAAAAGAATGAATGAACAAATGAATGAAAAATAAACTCTATTTACCATGGGTCACAAATTGGGCACACAGGCCCATCTTACATTCCACCCTTCCAAAAAATCTTTCACACAGCAATTGTATTTTATCAATACAGCATGTTATGTTCATGTAACAATATGCGTAATATGAATACCAAGGAAAAAGAAACACAAAAGCGTGGATGAGAAAATGCATGCAAGCACACACACCCACCACATATGTCCACTCATTCCTCACTCCCTTACACACATATAAACATAAGAAGAAACATCAAGGAGGTTATAATTATTTCTACCTGTGATGCCTGATTAGCTCTTTCTTGTGAATTTCTATCTTATGAACAGTGTATGGTTCATGGCACTCATTGCTTCACTTACTCTTTTATTGCTTCAGCTGTTGAAGAAGATATAAGGTTCTGCTTCTGGCTATTCTGGCCACCTTGATCACAGACACATCGTGTTGTTGTAAAGTTTCTCTGATACTGCCTTTCCCTCTTGTTCTTGGTCTACCTCGTGCTCTATGTCCTTCTAATTTTTTTGGGGTATCCCTTGTATGGTATGGTGTCACAGGGCATTCTGTCTAAGTGGGTAAACTACTTGATTTGCTGTCTTTGCATATAATTTTTAATTGGTTCTTCTTTTTCTTCTTCTTCGGTTCGCTTGAAATAAATTATCTATACCTGCAATGTTGTCTCTAGTATGAACTTCGCTGTCTTTTGTAATTCACTCAGTGACCTGTAAAGTTTGACTTGCACCGATGTTTCTCTTGGCCAAAAGGTTTGGCCTTGATATGTTGTGTTTGGGACAGTCTTGGAGGACAGGAACTGTTGTCTCCGGTGACAACCGACATGTGCACATGGCTGATTCGTTGATTTTAAATTATGTGTGCATGTGGCTGCAAAGTCGACTGTGTCCTGTTCTAAGGCATAGAATAATAACTTGCTCTGGTTTGTCCATAAAATTGGTTCTGTTTTTTTTTTCTTCCTCTTATGACCTCTTTTCTGATTTTATCTCTTCTGGTCACTAGTGTAGCCTTTCTCAGACATCTCATTTCTGTGACTACTAATTGACTTTGTTCATTGTGAGTGACCATCTCATACACTGGTGACATAGAGTGGAAATGAGTATGCTTTATATGAGGATGTTTCTGTGGTCATGTGATAAGAAGGAGAAAACTGGAGTACATCGCGACAGCAGGAAAGCTGGAGGGGAGGAGAGGCAGAGGGAGACCATGAGAAAAGATGCTGGACAGTCTGATTTCATGGCATGGAGGATCATCTGTGTCAGAGTTGATTGAAAGTACACGAGATAGAAGGTTGTAGATAGACATGACTACCAACGCAACAACGGCATGGTAAGAAAAACTTCACAGGGGAGCATGTACAGCAAGAGTCTAACAATCATCAGTAGAAAGATCCCTCGTCGATGATTGCATGGACTTTGAGAAGAAGTAGAGATGTGTCTCTGTGTTGATTGGGATTGTCTTATGCTCTAAAAGACGTACACTCATCTCTGATTTAATAAAATATTTCAGATATACTTTGGCTTCTTCTTCTTTGCGTTACCCAGTTGTAAACTCCGGTTGTTCATCTCCTCTAGACTTCAGTTTTGTTGGAGAACATGAGTACTGCATGCATATCTGTTTTACAGATCTGGCTTATCTGTATGCAAACTGTTGGTTCCTTGTCTCTCAGGCAGATGCACTCTGACTTCAAAGGAAGCTCCCAGTTAGTCGATTCTTACCACATGCTTGTTTTCCAAACAATGTGGCCCCAAAACGCACACAGGGTATTTCCGACAGACAAAATAAAGCGCCTGAGAAAACTAACCTGTTTAGCTGAAGGTGGCTCCACTCGTAATGGCTGGGGCTGGCTAACTGTGAACATTCAAACAATCAACATGTCAGAAAGAAGAAATTAATTTCTACCTTGGACAATAAACTGCTTCTTCTTCTTCTTCGTTTACCGGATGTAAGCCTCTGTGGAAAGTCCTGGTTGTTTGTCCATTTGGGCTTAACCTTGGGTCACAGCCTGAGTTTGGGTATACATCCGTTTTACGGTTTATGTTAACAATGCTTTTTCTTCTTCTTGTGTTCGCTTTCTGATTTACACCGACAGACAGGTTCTTGTGATAAACTTGACTGTTTTTATGAGTTCATTTTTAGTCCCATACAACTTAGTGTACAGTGATGACTCACTGGGCCAGTATTCTTTTCTTAATGGGCTGAACAAGGGACAGTCTTGCAGGACATGTTCTGTAGTCTGCACACACAGCCCACAAGGGCAAAAAGGTGAACTACTTAGACGAAGCCTGTGCATATGCTGGTTAAGTTTGTTATGTCCTGTCCTGAGACGTAGGACAATGACCTGCCCATGCCGGTCAAGTAAGTGGTAGTCATCTTTGGTCAGACTCTGTTCACTTCTAATAGCCTGGATGGCCCTTTTCTTCTCATAGTATGTTACTGCATTCTCTTCCTGGTCACATTCTGCCCCTTTTTTAGCAAGTTTATCTGCGGTTTCATTTCCTGGTATACCACAGTGGGATGGCACCCACTGGAGTACAGTACACTTTTGGGCAGCCACCTTGCCAAGTTCAGATCTCAAGTGAAGGAGTTTGCCACTCTTGAGTGCTTGAAGCACTGAAAGCGCATCTGTGAATATAACCACTTGGTGTCAGTCAGAACTGGTGTTGTGTAACATTTCGGCAGCCTGCTCTAGTGCTACAATCTCTGCTGTGTAGTTGGAACAGAATTTACCAGTGGGTATCCACTTTGTGTGGCGGTGGTTGCCTGGGTATGTAATAAAGACTCCAGCACCCCCATTTTTAACCGCACTGGTTGCTGATCCATCTGTGTAAACATGTATCCATGACTGTTCGGGATAGTTTTCATGAATCATGCTAAGAGCAGCTGTTCGTTTTTGAAGATCATTGGACTCATCTCCAGTTGTGAATCCACTGACTGAAGTCATTATCTGTATTGTGTCACTGACTTGCTCCCAAGGTACAGGGTATAGGGTAGGTTTCAGCGGTGTTGTTCTAATAGGTAGATCAGCTTGATACTGTCTTCTAAGTCTTTTCCCCCGATGGACAAAGCTGCTACGTTTGAGACGCCCTAATGCCAGATCATCTAACCTTTTATTCATTGGGTGTGACTGCATACTATTAAACTTCTCCATCTGGATCATAGTTTTAGTGTCTCTTCTATAGGACAGTGTCTGCATTGCAGTTATTTTCTGCATCTTCAGGATTCCATCTGGATCATAGTTTTAGTGTCTCTTCTATAGGACAGTGTCTGCATTGCAGTTATTTTCTGCATCTTCAGGATTGGTGCAGTTTTCATGGATCCCGTGATGAGTCTAAGAGCTTGATTTTGCACTCTGTCTAACGATTGTAGATGGGAATTAGCAGCTGTTGACCATGCTGTTGCACCAAACTCCAAGTGGGGTCTTATCGCTCCATTATAAACTTTCTTTAGGGTTTTTCCATTCGCTCCCCATCCTGTACCTGGCAGTTTTCTAAGTAGGCCTAGTCGTCTCCTGGCCTTCCCTTCTACATTTTCTGTATGTTTGCACCATGTGAGCCTTTTATCAAATGTTACTCCAAGATAAGTGGGGAAGCTTTCTTCCTTTAGCAAGGATGTTCCTAGGTGAATACTAGCAGCTTTGTCCCTGGGGGAAAGAGAGAAAAGCATTGTGGATGTTTTGTCTGTGTTGATGGCAACATGCCATTTTTCTGCCCATGTCATCAAGAGATCTGCTGCTCGTTGTATTCTTATATTTGCCACTGTGGTGTGTTCATCGGTACACCAAAGTGCCAGATCATCTGCATACAGGGCAGCTTTTACTCCCGTAGGGAGGTCTTTCACCAGATCATTTATATACACAAGAAAGAGAGTTGGAGAGATAACTCCTCCCTGTGGTACTCCTTGCCAAAGTAACACTTTTCTACTCTGCTGGCCATCACGACTGACTCTAGTTCTCCTGCTGTGTAAGAAGGATTGGATCCATTTTAGCATGTTTCCTTGGATTCCATTTCTCTTCAGTTTTGCAATGAGACCATCTTTCCAGACTTTGTCAAAAGCTTGTTTGAAGTCAACCCATACCGCCAGGACCTTTTTCTTCTCTTGGTAGGCATCCTCTATAGCTTGTGACGTTAACAATGCTGTATGAGACACAACAGCACAAACAACTCAGAATTTGTACAAAATACTGAGTGAGACACAACGGCACAAACAACTCACAGTGTGCCGGCGGGGCCTGCGGCAGTGCTGGCCCCTGGCTGTTGCGCACCACAGAGCTGTGCAGCTGGTTCAGGGGGTCATAGTCTGCGATAGATCCTGGCTGCACTTTTTGGGCTTGAACTGAAGTGAAGACAATTCAGTCAGTCAGTACAATCTACAGCACTGATCTTTACAAATGTTTACATGTGAGGTAATCAACTTTAATTAATAAAGCAAAAGATTCTTCTTATACCATCTGGTACATCAGGCATATGGTTCTGTGCCCATATTTGTACAGACAAAGGCTGATATGGTCAACATAACATCAGCCTCCTTCTTCCTTAGCCCTTTTACCCAGTACTACAAAAATGGGTCAGAAACCCACAGGAATTTTAAGGAAAAAAGAAATTTAAAAAAAAAAAAGCATACTGCATAAGCCGCTAACAAATTTACAATAATTTCTCGTTGTTTGTCCACTTCTATACTGAAGTCATGTTGCAGAACCAGAGTGATGCATGCGCATCCATTTAACAGATTTGACTCCTTTGTATGCAGACTGTTGGTTCCTTGCCTCTCAGGCAGATGAACTCTGACTTTGAAGGATACCCCCAAATTAGTTGACTCTTCCAACATGCTTCTGGGTGTAGCGGCCAGGCGCTCACCTGTGGATTGGACGGTCAAGGGTTACAGGTCGACGCAGCCTTGAGATGCAGTCTGTGAAGTCAGGACGGCTGGCGTGATGTTCCCCACATCACCCACCAAGTGTCGATTTGTCTATAAAATATAGGTGAAGCCCTATTTGCCCATTACACTTGAAGGTGTGGAAAGGTATTTTTATTCCCAGGGAAAAAAGCCCTGATAATTACAATTAAAATAAAAAGATTTAGTAAATAACCAACCTTCTCCTCTCTGTGACTGATAGACGACATTTGCTGAATTGCGTTGACTGTACGGTGAGTCACGGCTGGGTTCTACTGGATCGTAGTCGCTAATTTTGCCTGGATTGTGTGATCTTTTGTGACTGTGATGAATAATGTTGTGGTAAAATTGTTATTTAGACATAAGAGATTATCTTTTGTGTGTGTGTGTGTGTGTGGATATAATAAGACCAAATGATTAAAGAAAACTCTACCTCTGTTGTTATTTAAAGATAAAAGACACCTCACAATTTTTGAGGGAAAAAAAGGGGGGGGGGGGGGGTTAAATAATAAGACCAAATGATTAATGACAACTCTACCAAGGTGTCAGTCCTGACCTATGGGTGTGAGTAGTGAGCAATGATAACACTCACAGAAGCCAGCTTCAGGTCTCAAAAAATGAGGTATCGCAAAAAGGTGGTCCAGGTGACAAGAAGGGACAAAGTTTGCAATCAAACAATACATAATGAAATTAAAACCCAGACCTTACAAACTCAAGTGGATCAGTCAGTGGTGATGGATTGGACATGTCTGCAAAATAGGTTAGAATCAGCATGGCAGGCATGAGATACCAAGAACCAGGACAACCTAAAGTTCGCTGGGAAGAATGGAACAAAGCCAAAAAGAAAACTGCGGACAGAGAGGTCTGGGGAACACCTGAGGTTAGTCTGTTGATCTTCCTGTTAATAACAACTATTGAAAACTGCAGCTAATGAGAAGAACAGAGTGAGTTAGAAAAAAAAAAAGTAAGGAGGACCAAGATGTCAAAGATGAATGGGAACGAAGTAGAAAAGGTGGCAGGCTTAGATCAAAAAGAAGAACGCAAAAAACAGGTAGATAAGGAAAGCAGCAGAAGAAGGGAAGGTGGAGGATGAAGAAGAAGCAGAGGACAAAAAAGCTGTTTCATCAAGTCTGTCTGCCAGAATGTCTAATGTTCTCAGAGTTAACTGTGCCTGTTCACATGATGATGGTCATATCTGTGCCTTTCTGTCGACTTCATTCATTTGTTGTTTGGGTTAACCTTTATGGTTACCTTTGAAGAACACTGCAGTCTCGCTGGTGTGTGGTTATCTCTGCTTCCTAATCCCCAGGCAGTGATCAGTGATTAGAAAGGATTATCAACACAGCACTACGGACAGATCCATGAGTGCTTCGATCTCTTCCTCAAAAGCTCCACAAGTATAAAATGACTGATGTTGGTTAATGAATTGTCCCGTCCCCTTGGTGAAATATTCATTTCTTGCAGCTTCAGGCTGCACCCCTGTGTCCATCAGTCTAGACACGGATACAGAGTTATGTATCCCCAGGCAGTGCATTTTTCCATCAATCAATCGATGGAACAACTTTAATAAACTATAACTATGTGTGAAATGTGCCCATAAAGTAACTAACAACATAAGGGACAAGGTTATAAATACCAGAAATAGAGAGAAGCTGGAATAAGACCCTGTCTGAATTATATTAACAGACCAGGTTTTGGCAGATGCTTGAGGCTCAGAAGAAAGGCAAGACGGACGTTTAATCAGAATGCTAATGGCACCATTAGTATCAGAGCTCTGCACTGGCTGCTAAAGAGGGGGACAGAGCGCATATGGGAATGCCCTGAGTACTGTGATGTCACTTCTTGAATCAAATCAATCAATCAAACCAACCCCCAAAAAAAGTCTTTGGGAAAATGCAGAAGAAGAAGAAACCAACATGCAGCTCCATCTGTGGAACCTTACCATCATCGACAGACTCTAGAGGTCTGTTCACTTCCATCTTGCCTCGCTGTTCCCGGAGTCCCCAGTAATTGACATTGGACTGAATTTGAGTGTTTTGTCGGATGCGCTCAATTTCAGGATCCTCTGCTACTGAAGTCTTGTGCCCTTTCAATTTCTCAAAGTCAGCATGATACTGTATCTGGTAAAGAGAAGCAAGTCACTGTCATTAAACGTGAGATTCGATATACACAGACCATTGTAGAAGAACACAAAGGCCTTCAGTTTATATAAGTAGAGCAGTCACAAATCACAGGGTTATTAAGTATACAAAGATCATGGTAAATAACACATAAGGACCTTCAGAATACACAGGCAGTCTCATGGGAGAAAGTAGACATGCATCACGGTACAGGGGTCTTGTGGATAGACAGGCAGAGCAGTCACTAATCATGGATAAAGTGGGCATGGATCATAGTATTGGGGGACACAGCTGTCCTGCGGATAGACAGGCAGAGCAGTCACTGATCATGGGATAAAATAGGCATGGATCATAGTACAGAAGAGCATATCTGCTTTGCGGATAGACATGTAAGGCAGTCACTAATCATGGGATAAAGTGACATTGATAGTAAAGGTGAACACAGCTATTTGTGGATAGACAGGCAGAGCAGAGCACACAGCGGCCTTGCAGTAGTACTACAGTACTTGCAATAATACAGTACCTGAACAACATACAATGCATGAAGAATTTACAGTACCTGAAGAATATTAAGATTAAAAGATTACACAACACAAGAATATTCATGAGCTCAGTTTAAGATGAAACAATACCTCATGCTCTGAAGGTCAAGGGTTCGTCTTCTGACTGCATTGTTTGGTTCATGGGTGTAATTTTAACAGAGATCCCCAGGCATCATTATCAGAGCATCTCTGTGTAAAGCTCTTAGCAGGTGACCTGCAATTTTGCAGAGTAGGGCCAAACCATTTGGGATAAAACCCAGTGAAATGATGCTGATTCTCTCAACTTAACCTTTAACTATATTTTTGTGTGTGTAACGAATTAACCTTTAACCTCATCACTCAAGAACACAGAGGGCACAAAATTGTTATACTTAGTGACTCATTGTCTGTTCTCCAAGCACTATCAAGCAAAAAACAATACAAACTAATTGCAGATCTAAGGACCAACATTGGCTTACTCTCCAAGGAAGCAGAACTGGTCTTGCAGTGGATACCAGCCCACTGTGGTATTCAAGGAAATGAGAGAGCAGATGAGTTGGCAAAAGCTGGGAGTAATCTTCCACAACATCATCCACCACACAGCTACAAGGAAACCAAAACAGCGCTAAAGCAGTCTTTCAAGCGGGAGTGGAGAAGGCAGAATGGAGATTACAGACCAGAGAGTGACAGCATAAACAAACTCAACAGGAAAGAACAAACATATCAATTTTTAGACTTCGGACTGGACACTGTGGTCTTCGAGCACACCTGTACAGGATAGACATAAAAGAATCTGCTGCCTGTGATTGTGGAGCAGAAAGACAGACCCCTGAGCACATACTGCAGTACTGCCCTTACCTCTCCCAGCAAAGACTGTGGATCTGGCCCAAGGGAGCCACATTGCAAGAGAAGCTATTGGGGACTGGTGGCCACCTTAAACGCACAATCCTATTTGTGACCCAGATGGGACTCATTGTTTAGCGTGACTGATGTTGAACGCAGAAGAAGAAGAAAACCTTTAACCATATTTTGTGTGTGAGTGTAACTTACTAAAAGTTATGCTTACATTGCTCTGAATCTTTGTGTTTTCAGCTATTCTTCTGGTTTCAGGAGTGTCTGCCACTTGTGTGTGCTTGACCGTTGGGCAATGACTGTGGATATAATAAGAAATACCACATTAGAATTGTTAGGGAAGAGTAAACTGGTTAATATTATAGCATGCAAAACAGACCCATGTGTGTCTCTAGATTTACTGGCTAGAATTAACATTATATCACTGGCGAAAGACTCAGTATTCTCTTTCTTGAAGCCTCTAGTTAGAGGTGAAGGAAGTCACTGCTGTCTTCTGCTGGCTTGAGAATCAGCTGTACACACGTGCAGTGATTGTCATTGACTCATAGAGCATGTTGAGAAAGGTGGAGACAGGCATGCTCCGTGTTGAGTGGTAAGCATCACTTCAGAGGTCCTGGGTAGTTAGTATCTTTTCGATATTCTCTCCAGGTAATGCCGGTGTGTTAGGAAATCAGCAGGCAGATAGACTGGCTGGTTGTGCACCACTTGGTGGGGAACTGATGTATGACAAGCTGGATGTTGTGAAGGCCCTTTGGGGGTGAGTGAACAGTGCAAAAGCGCAAAAAGATCATTACGGTCTGAGAATATCTCTGCGAGGAGCTGCCAGGGGATCTGGCGGTACTTAATTTATAACTTACCCCTGACGTCACGACAACGTCACGGGAGACATTCCCAATAAATTCTAGGGTGTTCAGGTTGTAGTTTCTCGCGATTTCTCTACAGCCAAGTTTTAGGGTTAGCATTAGAAGACACTAGATGAACACTAAAAAAAAGCACCACACAACAGCACACTTCCACCCCTTGAAATAATGGACTGTCAGGTCAGCTGTGGATTTCCCACGGGGATTTCGTGTTTGGGGTACGTTATAAATTAAGAACCGATCTGGCTGATGCTCAACACTCAAAGAAAAGGTGAGACGGATATACAATCTGACAGTTACTGGTGCTTTCGGAATTGAAACTCTTTGTTGGCTACTAAAGATAGGTATGGAGTACGTATGAGAGTGTTAAGAGTGTTATGATGTCGATATTTAATTCAACATTCTCTTTCTTGATTGGCTATTCAGGTGTGCAGGACAATAAGCAGGCTGACGGACTGGTTGCTGCTGCTCCTCTGGGTGGTGGGCTACTTTATGATAAAGCAGCTGTAGTGAAAGCTCTCTGAAATCACATGGACAGCGCAAGTGAACATACAGAGAATTGGTAGACTGAACGACTTATTCAACAAGGAGAAAGTAGAGGATTTAGAAGAGAATCTTCTTCTTCTTTGTTTACCGCCTGTAAGCTCCTACGGAAAGTCCTGGTTGTTCCTCAATTAGAACTTTGGCTTTGTGCCAGATTCTGAGTTTTGTGTGTACATTAATGTCACTGGCGTATCTATGTGCAGTGGGTTGTTCCTTGCTGCTCGGGCAGATGCACTCTTGACTCCGAAAGGAAACCCTCAGTTAGTTGACTCCTATGACATGCTTGTTGGTGAAGCAGTGGGCCTATTCTTGTATTTCCCACAATGAGGCCCAGAACCTACATGGAGAGGAAGATATTCAACAAAGGCGGATTTTTAATCAGGTTGCAGCTGGTACTATGAGCATGCTGACTCTTCGCTGGCTGTTGAAGAAGGAGACGGAGCACCTGTGGGAATGTCCCAAGTAAAGTAATGTCAATCCTTGATTAATTCATTCCTTCATAGCCTAAAATTTACATATCACAGTAAGCAGTCCCATAAGTGTTCTGATTCTTTATTGACTGCTGACCAGAACAAACGAATCACAAGGCCCATATGTTTTCTGTCTCTTGTAGCCGACTAAAACTGACATCACATCACACAGGAAACACATTCATGTGTCCTGTCCTAAACAACTGATGTCTCAGTGTAGGAACAACTAATGTCTCCATATAGGAACAGCTAATGTCTCCATATAGGAACAGCTAATGTCTCCATATAGGAACAGCTAATGTCTCCATGTAGGAACAACTAATGTCTCCATGTAGGAACAACTAATGTCTCCATGTAGGAACAGCTAATGTCTCCATGTAGGAACAGCTAATGTCTCCATGTAGGAACAACTAATGTCTCCATATAGGAACAGCTAATGTCTCCATGTAGGAACAACTAATGTCTCCATATAGGAACAACTAATGTCTCCATATAGGAACAGCTAATGTCTCCATGTAGGAACAACTAATGTCTCCATGTAGGAACAACTAATGTCTCCATATAGGAACAGCTAATGTCTCCATATAGGAACAGCTAATGTCTCCATGTAGGAACAACTAATGTCTCCATGTAGGAACAACTAATGTCTCCATGTAGGAACAGCTAATGTCTCCATGTAGGAACAACTAATGTCTCCATATAGGAACAGCTAATGTCTCCATGTAGGAACAACTAATGTCTCCATATAGGAACAACTAATGTCTCCATATAGGAACAGCTAATGTCTCCATGTAGGAACAACTAATGTCTCCATGTAGGAACAACTAATGTCTCCATATAGGAACAGCTAATGTCTCCATATAGGAACAGCTAATGTCTCCATGTAGGGACAGCTAATGTCTCCATGTAGGGACAGCTAATGTCTCCATGTAGGAACAGCTAATGTCTCCATGTAGGAACAGCTAATGTCTCCATGTAGGAACAGCTAATGTCTCCATGTAGGAACAACTAATGTCTCCATGTAGGAACAACTAATGTCTCCATGTAGGAACAACTAATGTCTCCATGTAGGAACAACTAATGTCTCCATGTAGGAACAACTAATGTCTCCATGTAGGAACAACTAATGTCTCCATGTAGGAACAACTAATGTCTCCATGTAGGAACAACTAATGTCTCCATGTAGGAACAACTAATGTCTCCATGTAGGAACAACTAATGTCTCCATGAGGAACAACTAATGTCTCCATGTAGGAACAACTAATGTCTCCATGTAGGAACAACTAATGTCTCCATTTAGGAACAACTAATGTCTCCAAGTAGGAACAACTAATGTCTCCATGAGAAACAACTAATGTCTCCATGAGGAAACAACTAATGTCTCTATGTAGGAACAACTAATGTCTCCATGTAGGAACAACTAATGTCTCCATGTAGGAACAACTAATGTCTCCATGTAGGAACAACTAATGTCTCCATGTAGGAACAACTAATGTCTCCATGTAGGAACAGCTAATGTCTCCATGTAGAAAGAACTAATTTCTCAGTGTATTAAACATTAATAATTATAAAGACCCTTTCTTCATGTTAGCGGTCACCAGCTGTCAAGTCGGGCCAAAAGGTCAGACTGTTAATCTACTTCTAGACTTTGGTCTTGTTCCAAAACTTGAGTTTTGCATGAGATCTGTCTCACAGATCTGGCTTTTTTGTATGCAGACTGTTGGTTCCTCATCCTCTCAGGTTGAGGCACTGATCTCAAATAAAACACTCCTACTTAGACGCTTTTTTACAACAGGAGATCAAGGGGTCTATACCTTCCCCTAACCCTCCCCCTCCCAAATGGGACCTAGGAGCCCCCCCCCCCCCCGGGGGGCAAACAAGACAACCTATGGTCTATTTACTTTAACAATATAGACACCACAAAGCTCAATCAGATGGGGGCAAGTTTCAGTATCAAGGTCATGAAAAGTTTGCCATATCAATACAAAACAAACATAATAAGATAACACTTATCTCTAGATATGATAACTAGAACTTACGCATTACAATACGGCAGCTTCTCGAATCCTTTGTAATTCTTCATGTTTAGTATCATACCACATACTTCACACTTGAAACACAGCTTGTGCCAAATCTGTGAGGAACAGGACAGATGTAATTACAAATTTACCCCCGTGTGGGTTCCGGGGCCCCATTGTGGGGAAAACAAGAATAGACCCACTGCCTCCCTAAAAGCATGTCGTAAGAGTCGACTAATTGGGGAGCTTCCTTTGAAGTCAGAGTGCATCTGCCGGAGAGGCAAGGAACCAACAGTCTGTATTCAAGAGAATGAGATCTGTAAAACTGATGCACACGCAACACTCAGGTTCTGGAGCAGGACTGCAGTTCAGTAGTGGACGAGCAACCAGAACCTTCCGCCAGAGTGTACAGCTGGTGAACGCGAAGAAGAAGAAGAAGATTACAAATTTATGTACATTAATAACTCTATTCTCCTCTTATTTGCATTCACTGCCTGTAAACTCTGGCGGATAGGTCTGACTGCTCCTCCACCTCTTGCTTCATAATTTTGAGTGCAAAACCATTTTACAGATCCGGTTTATTTTTATGCACACTGTTGGCTCCCTGCTTCTCAGGCAGATGCACTCTTGACTTGAGAGGAAACATCACTAATTAGCGTCGCTGTAGCTACAGAGTTACGTGCGAACGGCGACACAGGCGGACAGTTCTTATCAGCTGTCCGTACTGGTGGCAGAGCACATATGGTTTATAACTATGTGCAATGACGCTGGTTCACATCTCCCGACTTTACCTTTACCTTTCTTCTGGAAATCATTTTGGTTCAGACATTTGGGGTAATCTGGGTTCAGATTTGACATCGCAGTTTTCAGGAAGAGCCTGTCATATCTGAGATCTTAGGTCAGTTTGGTTCGAACAAATGGGGGTCATCTGGGTTCAGATTTGACATCAGTTTTCAGGACAAGCCTGTCATTTTTATCTTAGGTCAGTCTGGTTCAGACATATGGGGGCCATATGGGTTCAGATTTGACATAAAACTTTCATGACAAACCCATAATAGGTTGCCCTCCCTCCTCAACTGCCAGCAAAGAAGTTTCATGCTGATGGTACCCGTTATCTGATTAACTACTCATCTTGCCTTTCCTCAGAGCAATGAGTGGCGCCAAGAGACAGAGGACACTCAACATGGTTAAGCTATGAGTGGCGCCAAGAGGACACTCAACATGGTTAAGCTATGAGTGGCGCCAAGAGACAGAGAACACTCAACATGGTTAAGCTATGAGTGGCGCCAAGAGACAGAGAACACTCAACATGGTTAAGCTATGAGTGGCGCCAAGAGACAGAGAACACTCAACATGGTTAAGCTATGAGTGGCGCCAAGAGACAGAGAACACTCAACATGGTTAAGCTATGAGTGGCGCCAAGAGGACACTCAAAGTGGCTGAGTTTTTGTCCAGAAGGGTAATTCTCCCCAGGTGTGTTTCAGACATACAGTATAATTGTCATTTACCTGTGTACAACAAGGACATCCCACATTTAAATTATATAGACTCTGTAAACTAACACAGAACTGTTGAGTACCCAAGGTGGGATACACAGTACCCCTTTATATATATGGACCCTTTTTTGGGGGGGCCAGAGGGTGAAAGCTCATGCGCTGCTGGATCGACAACAACAACATATAAGGACCTTAACTTTCAACATCACTGCAAACAAAATAACTAAAACGAAGCTTTCTACTGACCATGTAGTCTGGGCAGTTGCCCACTCAGCCTTATTAAACTTCCCTTTCTAACTCACTACTTTTACAACTTATTTTCTGTGTGGGTTCTGGGACTTCATTTTGGATAACATATAATAGACCCATATTCTTCCCCCCCCCCCACCCCTTTTGGTGCAAAGCACTAAAAAATGTTAAAAAACATTAATGCTGCCTGGGAACTAACAATAACATGTCTCAGCTGAAACTAAAATCTGTGTTTATGTTAATAAGGTTTTACTGTATCTGTTCCCTGTGTGGGTTCTGGTGTCCCGTTGTGTGGAAGACAAAAAGAGACTCACTGCCTCGCCAACAACTATCATGCCATAAGAGTCAACTAATTGGGAGCTCTCTTCAAAGTCACAGTGCATCTGCCTGAGAGGCAAGGAACCAACAATAATGTTACAATCTGCATACAGATAAGTCAGATCTGTAAAACCGATGTGCACGCTACACTCAGGTTCTGGAGCAAGACTAAAATGCACAGGTGGATGAACAACCAGGACTTTCCGCCAATGAAAGTGAAGATGACGAAGAAGAGTTTTTTTTACTGTATCTGTTCAGTAGGACTGAACCAGTTAATATCCTTGGGCTGACACAGACTGAACAGCTACATGTTTGCAAAATCAAAGCTACAAACAGCTTGCTGCGCAGTAGTGTGTACATGCAGGTAAGCACTAGAAACTTGTAAGGACCTGTAAATACTAACAAATTAATTGTTAAGGGTGTGAATTATATTGATTATTTACCCCCGTGTGGGTTCCGGGGCCCTATTGTGGGGAAAATAAGAATAGACCCACGGCCTCTCCCAAAAGCATGTCGTAAGAGTCGACTAACTGGACAGCTTCTTTTGAAGTCGGAGTGCATCTGCCTGAGAGGCAAGGAACCAGCAGTCTGCATTCATTTGAATCAGATCTGTAAAACTGATGCACACGCAACATTCAGGTTCTGAAGCATGACTGCAGTCCAGAAGTGGACGAACAACCAGAACTTTACGCCAGAGTGTACAGCTGGTGAACGCGAAGAAGAAGAAGAAGAAGATTAATTATTTATAACTACAGGGATCGTGAAGAGAATATACACCACAGACCTACAAAAACACTTTGATTTTGAAGGCGAAAATTAATTAATCAGAGAGATCAAAGAATTTGTAGTCGGTGAAGAAGAATAATTAATGCAAAGATCAAGACAATATCAATATCTGCTAAAATCAAACTACACATTAAATATTATGAGTTAATATTGTTTTTTGTTGTTTGCGTTCACCGGCTATAAACTCCAGTGGAGAGACCTGGTTGTTCATCCATTTCTGGACTTTGGCTTTGTTCCAGGACCTGAGTTTTACGTGTGCAACAGATGTGACTTATTTGTATGCAGATTGCTGGTTCCTTGCCTCTCGGGCAGATGCACTCCGACTTCAAAGGAAGCTCTGCAGTTAGTCGACTCTTACGACATGCTTTTGGGGAGGCAGTGGGTCTATTCTTGTTTTCCCTATAATGGGCCCCAGAACCCACACAGGGGTATGAGTTTATGATAATATCATCACTGATAATGACATATATACCAATTTAGCTCATCTAAACTTTTCTTTTTAGTAAAAGTAAACGTCCGCATGTGTACTTTCAACTTTCATAAATACTGGTTTTAAAAGTAAAAAATGATTTTGAAATTTTGACTAAAGTAAAGTCTTATTCTTATATTTTAAAATATAATATTTATTCAACCACTTTCATATTTGATATGCAAATGTGAAATATTTAAATTAAAATACTACTGACCAAATAACTGTACAACAAACGTTTAAGTTTAAATACAAACCAAAACAATTTTTAGTAGCTTTTAGGATTCCGCATATCAAGAATACAGCACGGAAAGCCAATGCAGAAACAACGAGCCTGTTGTTGAGGGCAGAAAACAGAAAAGCTGGAGAGAGAGAAGACCATATTTAAATTATAATAACAGACTCACCTTGTCCAAGCACTTCAACTCCTCCGTCGGGTACACCGTTTTCAAACATTTTGCACACTTTTTACTCATTTTGAAACCCCACACACAATCTCTTTTTTCGCAGGGAGCAGCCCAGAAAGTTTAAATACAAATTAAAAATGGCTAAAAGATTAAAAACAGGATATTTAAGGAGTTAGAAATCAACAAATGTTGTAAGCCACGACGAAAGCTGACAGCGGAAGTCGCATTACATATCAGTCAGCAGAAGACACAAGCTCTTGGGTCGTGTGCAAAAGATGGACGTGCTTTCAAAACGAACCAGTGGATGTCGCCTAGTGGTTCTCTGCCTGTAGATGGAAGGGGGCTGCGTGGTCTCGATGCTTGGCGTCCGCCTCGAGTGCTGGAGGTCCCGGATTTAAGCTCCGGTGAAGGCTGTGATTTTTTCACGTGGACTTCTAGTAATTTCCCATAATCTCTAGGTAGTAAGATCATACGCCCGTGTGTATTGTTGCGCACGTAAAAAAATTCTTTGGCAGTTGGAAATCGAAAAAGAGTAGCCTAAGGAGGCTGCCTGGCAAAATGTGTCGTAAGAATCGACTAATTATGGGTGCTGTGGAGGTGGAGACGCCGCGGACCAGGCTGATGTACCGAATGCTCTTCATGAAGTAAGATGTTAGCGAAAACCAAGAGAGGACAATCTGCAACAAAGGTCAGACTGCAATGATAGCAAGTTAAACGTGGTGTGGCCAAACAAGAGCACTCTGCAAAAAGCTAACAAACCAGCACATAAATGATGTTGTCAGACGCTGCAGGGGTTACTGATAAGGAGATCTGCGCACTTATGGAGTGAATAGCTCGATGTACAATTTTAATGTCCTTCTTCTACGCGTTCACAACTGTAAACTCTCAAGGAAAGTTTTAGTTGTGCGTCCTTTTCTGGACTTTGGTATTGTTCCAGAACTTGAGCTTTGCGTGCACACCCGTTTTACAAATCTGGCTTATTTGTTGGTTCCTTGCCATTAATGCAGATGTAATATGACTTCGATGGGAACACTCCTAATTGTGGGAAAAGGGGATAATCCGTCTACTAATTACTGTAAAACCTCGTTAACACAAACTCGATTGAAAAAACGTTCAATTAACAAGAATAGCATTGTGGTCCCAGCGCTGTTTTATCTCGCCTAATCTTTATCTTTGTGCGGGACCACTCAGGTGTTCGAGGCGATCAGCGTGCAGATTATCTGGCAAACAAGGCGGTTACAACGGATAGGAATGATGTTACTAATATGTCAGCTGCATATCGCAGAGAAAAACACCATAACAAACAGGATTCAACATCCTTACCCAGGCTGGTAAACATTGGGGAACAGCCTGAGTAGCCAGGTAGGAACATTTCAACAAGGGCATGAGGCGTCTGGTTAATCAACACAGAATGGGAGTGATCAGACGTTTTACTATTGTGGAGCTACTGAGGGGGAGATCGAAGCACCTATGGATCTGCAGAGAGTACTGATTTGATAGTCCTCACTAGTCACTAATGTATTGTTATTAGTTCCCCTTTATTGGTTAGTTAGTTACGCATCCTTTACAGGACGTTGCAAATTTAAATCCAGAAGTTTGCCAATAAATACTGGACGGTCGGCTTTCTTGACACCACGGTCCAAACCAACACAAGGCGCATGGCTCGCAGCTGGGATCGAACCCGGCATCCCGGCATTACGAAGCGTTCGCACCGACTTAGCCACAGAGCCGACAAGTTCCCCCTTTATACCGAATAGTTTTGGTACGAACTTGATTTTGTGTCCTTTGTAATTAGTGTTTGACTAAAAATGACAAATGAGTAAGTGAAAGACGTTTAACCCACCAGGACAGCATAGCGAGCGATGAACACATGGTGACACAAAGTACCACCATTCTGATGAGAACCTCCCATGTGCAAGTCCCTGAAACCCTGTTCAACCGTTAAGTTATATTAGGGCCCTATTGTGGTGAAAACCAAAACAGACCCACTGTCGTAAGAGTCGACTAATTGAAAGCTTCCTCCAAAGTCGGGGTATATCTACATGAGAGGCAAGGAACCAACAGTCTGCATGGAACTGGGCTAGAGTCCTGAAGTGGACGCTAAACCAGAACTTTCCGCAGGAGTTTACAACCTAGTGAACGCGAAAAAGACGAAGAAAATAATGAGATATAGGGAAACGCCAGGCCAACACTTGGAACATCTCCCCCATCAATGAAAGTCTACTTCACTAATGCAGAAATGCTTCTTTGTATTCACTGGTTGTAAATTCCGACACAAAGATCTGGTTGTTCGTCCACTTCTGAACTTTAGTCTTGACACAGAGTTTTAAACTTTGCATGCACATCCGTATTACTTAGTCCACGGCTCACATTCGTATGTTGCTACAGAGTTGAGTTGAGTTAAGAATTGACATCACAGCACTCAGGGCTTTTCCATGCATATTCAGTCCTTATCTTCAGCAGCCAGAGCAGAGTTCCATTACTGATGGTACCGGTCACAATCTGGTTAGAAGTCCGTCTTGCCTTTCCTCCGAGTGTAGTGAGCAGGCCAGACCCTCTGGTTCCACCCAGGTGCCCCGTTCTCTCAGGCGATAATAATCTTGTTTCTCAACTGATTCCGTTGCTTGTTCCCAAAGGTCATTGACCACATCAGCCTTGTCATGTATCAATTCACCACCCAGTAGTGCAGATCCAGCCAATCTGTCTGCCTGTTCACTACCCAACACGCTGGCATAGCATGGAGAAAAGATCCAAAGTATGCTCACCGCCCGTGACCTTTCCAGTGAAGCTAGCCCCTCTGCTCGAAGCAACCCTGTCCTCACCTTTTTCAGCATGCTTTCAGTCTGTTACAATTACGACATGTCTATGCATCTTGTGATTTAGCTACAGGTAAGATAGATGCTCATAAAATATTAGGGATGTTTGCCATAGAGATTTGATGTTTCTATGTTTAACTAATCATACATTTTTCCTGTGGTGAGTCCTGGACTCTCACTAAATCTTACTTACTTACTTGGTCGCTCCTCTTCTACCTTGGGGTGTAGCGGTTTGACAGAGAGATCGCCAGATATCTCTATCAGCAGTTTTCTTTCTGACTTTGTTCCATTTCAGTCCTCTGACCATCAGGGACTGTCAGATGTTGTCTTCCTACTGGACACTGGGTCGCCCTGGCTGTCTGGTTCCTTGGTTCTTAGTCTCCCATGTTGGCCGATTTTCTCCCATTCTGCATACATGTCCAAACCATTGTAACTGTGATTGATCCACTAGAATTTGTAAGGCCTGGGTATCAAGATCATGACGTATTGTCTGGTTACGAACTGTGTCCCTTCTTGTCACCTAGACCACCTTTCTCAGATATCTAATTTCTGAGGTCTGAAGCTGGCTTCTGTGGGCTGTTGTCATTGTCCATGATTCACATCCGTAGATCATGACTGGTACATAGGTAGAGAGGTGAACAGCTATTTCGATGCCTCATTTCTGGTCTATTACAGCTCCATGGTATTTGAACTGGTCTCTCACTAAATCACTGAAAAACAAGATTGAAGCTTTTGAATTGAAATCGTTACAAAAAAACATTCTCAGAATACCATGGATCAAGAAAAAGAAACACATCGACATTCTACACAATGTTAAACATCAAGGAGAACTGGCTCATAAACAGCGTCCTGTCTCAAAAGTTGAAGTATTTTGGCCACGTCAAACGTCATGGTGGCTTGGAAAAGATGGTAATACAGGGTGCGGTTTGTGGAAAGCGAGGCAGAGGCCGACCTCATCGAATATGGATACAGGACACTGAAGATGCATTGGCATTGAAAGAGCATGGGGCTGGAGAGCTGGCTAGTGAAAGGGATAATTCCAGGCATGCCGTGAGGAGAGCGACGTTCTGTAAAGGACTTGCTGATTGATGATGATGTTCAACCAAGGCCGTCTTCCATATTGAAGACGTCCTTAGGTTCATTTATACAGAGCTAAAGATCAGATGTAAAGAGTAGTGGTATAATTTTTCAGCAACATCGAACAGGCTTATAATTGGGATATAAAGTGTTTATTAATAAATTTAGCAATAAATTAAAGAGAGCTAACTCACAAAAGCGCACATCCTCGGTTACAACCCTTTGTTTACATCTCTTGTAGTGTTGTCACTTTTCTTTGACAGAAAACATCTAGAAAAATATCTAGAAATATCTAGAGTTCCACATGGAAACATCTAGAAAAAACATCAAAATTAAAACAGTGAAAAAAAAAAATGGCTATTGATATGACTTAACCTAAATAATTATGTCCTAATCTTCAATGATGTCTGTCTCACAAGATCCACAGTATAAACTTACCTTAAATGATAAGTTAAAGCTTCAGATCCAAAATGACTTTGGTGTGCTTTTAGCTGTTCCAATTTCTTTTAATAAACAATCAGGGAGCTGATAAATTGAACAGCATTTTCCTACTCTCATCAGGCCAAATTTTATAGTCAACATTGTATTTAATAAGTCAAGTTTTATCATATTTCTTAGGTTAGATTTGATATAATTCATAGCACTGAAAAACTGTTTATAGGCCAGCATTTGAATGGGATAGTATGATGAGAGACATAGCACATTCAAAGAGCTTACAGTGGCGCAGTGATTTAGGTCACAGGCGTGAGGGAAAGTTAACTGACGTGATGTGTATAAGGAGATACTCCGTACCTCACTAGGGCGCTAGTCCTTCACTGTTCTGGTTTTATGGAACCTCATGCAAGAATCCTGTTGCACGTCCCCGTCGTGCGCCACGGATAATGTCTCAAATGAGCATTAACAGAGTTGGCAGGGGATCTCGGAGCTGGCGGCCCCCAGAGGTGTAGTGTCCTGTCTGGCCCTCACCAGCCTGCCCCCAAACGCATGGGTGAAAAGTCTATCAAAACTCATTCGGTACATGAGTCAAGTCTGCTTGGCAAATGTACCACCAAATGACAACTCTCGGTTAAAAGTCTGGAGCGAACGGAAAACTGTGCTGTTGAGACTCAACCCTTGACAAAAAGATTTACCCGCATCCAAGACGAGTAACATCTCTTGTGGGTGGTTTCTCGCAGTCAGATCTACCTACGTACACCTTCTGTCAATTCTCAGGGTCGTCGTCACCGCGATGAGGTACACAATGACAGCAACTTTTCATCTGCTGGCTAGTTAATAATGTCCAACAAAGTCAGATCCTACGGCACACAAGCAAGCTCAAAGTCCGACCATCACAATTCGTACCGACTAGAAAAAAAAAGTCCAAATGTCCGTATACACTGGCCCCACTCGCCCGAGTGCTGGGACCAAACAGTTGAAGCCTCGCCTGACGCATGCGTCCACGTGGGCCCCCATGTGTCCACTTAGGTCCCCATGTGTCCCCTTGTGTCCACGTGTGTCCCCTTGCGTCCCGCGTGTCCCCTTGTGTCCAATTGTGTCCACGCGTGTCCTCTTATGTCCACGTTGGTCTCCTTGTGTCCACGTAGGTTCCTTTGGGTCCGCATTGTCATTTTGGATCCACGTGGGTCCCCTTGTGTATAGTGGGTCCTGTTGTGTTCACTTGGGTCCCGTTGTGTCCACGTGTGTCCCCTTGTGTCCAAGTGGATCTGCTTGTGTCCACGTGTGTCCCCTTGGTTCTACGTGGAACCCATTGAGTCCACTTGTGTCCCCGTAGTTCCCCTTAGGTCCACATAGGTCCCCTTTGGTCCACAAGGGTTACCTTGTGACCACGTGGGTCCCGTTGTGTCCACGTGGGTCTTGTTGTGTCCATTTGGGTCTCCATGTGTCCACGTGGGTCTCTTTGTGTCCAACACAGCCACTCATTCTGAAATTTTTGCTCATACTGCTTTACTGTTAGCACGTTGAAAGGTTTTCCAAAGTGGAAGACATATATGAAGGTAAGCAATTATAAAAAAAATAAAAAGATTTACAAAGTCAGCATCAAAGCTTTACTTCACAACACATAGAGGATACAGTTCAAACAAAGTCAGTATGATTGACGAGCGCTCTTAATCAGTACCGGGGCTGCCAGATTGTTGAGCGTTGATCACAGTGAGTTCATGCGAAAAAAAAATATGTCATAAATATTTCATACAGTAATTATTAAACAATTGTGGTTGGTGGGCACAATATAAACAATTTACGTTATGCTGATGACACAGTCTTGATAGCAGTTAGAAAGTGGAAGAATGGGCCTCAGTTTTAATAATGGGAAGACAGAAGTAATGGTGGTATCAAAGAAACAAATTATTCCTAAGTGTGTAATAAAAGTCAATGGTATTATTTTAGGACAAGTACAGAAATTTAGGTATCTGGGCACATAGATAACATCAGATGGAAGATGCATAACTGAGATAAGAAACAGTATAGGACAGGCAAAAACTGCATTTTATAAAATGAAAAACATCTTGTGCAATATATCCTTGTCATTGAGAGTTAGGAAAAGAATTCTTGCTTGCAACATACATCCAGTTTTAACATATGGCTGTGAATCCTGGACAATCGGTAGGCAGGCCAAACAATTTTTAGAGGCCTCAGAGATGTGGTTTTACAGTAGAATGAGTGGCGCGGTGACTTATGTCACAGGCGTGAGGGGAAGTTAAGTCCAACATGATGTGTATAAGGAGATACTCCGTACGTCACTCGGGCGCCAGTCCTTCACTATCCTGGTTGTACGGAACCTCACGCAAGACCCCTACAGCACGTCCTCGTCGTGCGCCACGGATAATGTCTCAAATGAGCATTAACAGAGCTGTCAGGGAATCTCGGAGTTTGGCGGCCCCCAGAGGTGATGTGTCCTTGTGGCTCTCATCAGCCCGCCCCCAAACGCTTGGGTGAAAAATGTTATCAAAACTCATTAGGAACATGAGTAGGTTTGCCAAACGTACAGCCAAAATTACAACCCTTGGTTAAAAGACTGCGGAGTAAAGAGAACATTGTTCACTGCACATCCTCTGTTAACTCTCAGTGTCGTCGTCACCGCGCTGAGGTGCACCACAACAGCAACCATCCATGGGCTGGCCATCCTTGTGCATCCTCGGTTGGCCCTCAGTGTCGTCGTCACCGCGCTGAGGTGCACCACAACAGCAACCATCCATAGGCTGGCCATTCACGTACATCCTCGGTTTACCCTCAGTGTCGTCGTCACCGCGCTGTGGTACACCACAACAGCAACCATCCATCAGATGGCTAAGCCTAAATGTCCGACAAAACCAGATCATACGGATCAAAATCTGACCATCAAAATTTGTATTGAACTGAAAAAGACCGAATGTCCACACCCAAAGACCCCACTCGCCCGAGTGTTGGGACAAAACTGATAAAGATATGCCTGATGCAGGATGTAAAATTCTGTCGGGCTAACGGCTCGTCAAAGAAATCTAACATGCGAAGAAAAAGAAGAATGTACCTATCTGTGTGGTCACAAAAGTCCAAAACCCACGGGCTGCTCCCCGCTGACTTCCAGAGGGCGCAGCCCCTGTCGAGCGGGAGGCCTGATACGGTTGTGAGGTTAAGCAGGCATGTGCAGGACGTGACGATTCCTTGGGTGAGCCCAGAACCAGAGCGCCATGTACCGGCTCTGCATTCATGGAAGCCTCCTTGGATGGCGGGGAATGCCCATGATCTGCCCCTGCCTTCCCTTGAGGGCCAACTGTTCCACAGGGGGCTGCCCCAAAGGGGTACTCCAGGGGCAATACCTGCGGCGAAGGAAACAAAGCGGACACCACACAAGTCAGGCAACGTCTCGACCCAGACAAAACAATGGCCACAGTCACCCTAGAAATAGGCCTGACTTCTTCCTTCGAAGTCGGCGTACAGCTGCCCATGAGGCAGGGAAATGAAAAACGGTTGTACACGCAAAAATCAGGTCCAGGTGAAAGCCAAAAGTCCAAGCGGACGATTAACCGGGACCTTCCACTGGAATTCACAGCCGGTGTTCGATGGAAAAAAAAAAAAAAAACACAGTAGAATGCTTATAATACCTTGGACAGCCAAAAAGAACAACCAAGAGGTTTTGAAAGAGGCAGGAGCCCGAAGACAACTTATCACAGACATCAGAAGGAGACAGTCATCATTTTTCGGCCATGTTATGAGAAGAGGGAAAATAGAACATGTTGTGACCACTGGAAAGATCTGTGGAAGGAGGGACAGAGGAAGACAAAAAGAGAAGATGCTTGACAGTCTTGTTGCATGGCATGGAGGTGTGTCGGCACACGAACTGATACATGCTGCAGGAGATCGCAGATTATGGAGAGGCATGATCGCCCACGCCAGTCGGCAAGGCACCTGATGATGATGAATTATTAAACTGACACTGAAAGAAAGAAAAAATCTATAAAATATCTAACTTCAAAATGAAAAGATCTAGAATTACATCTACCATATAGACGTCAAAAAAACACCATCAAGATGTAAGGGAAAACATCTAGATCTGGATGTAAAACATCATCCAAAGTGGCAACACAAATCTCTAGTATTCAGAACTTCCCGGACTTGCGCACTAATAACTTCCTTTCTAAAACAAAATGTCTAAGAGAGGTAGGTACAGAATGTATTCTTTAGCTTGTATAAATCCAGAGTGATCCATTGTAAATTTTATTGATCATATACGTTTGTAATGCGTCTTTATTCCAATATATATATTTTTCTATAATCACTATTTAAATATCAGTTGGCTACAAGCTCATTACTTTTGAGATAAAAAAATTCTTCTTTAATTCTTCAGCACGTCAGCCCTTTACTTTACCAGACCTCACTCTTATTACCAAAACTTACTACTGTCTGTGTGCGCCACTTTTTAGGGCGATGTAGACACTGTAACACAGACAGGGATCGTGAGACTTAATATTTAGGACCGCATGGCTGGTGCTGTCGCCACGGACTGTACTGTACAAGTTAGGATGTTGAATTTTTCCACTGACAGAAAAACTCCCATTATTTTCTCGGGAGTCGAAGCGCAGTCTCTCTCAGGAAAGCCTGGCGTTCTAACCGCTCTACCAGCCGCTCACAAGTTGCAGGTCGCCAGATATTATTGTTGCCAAACCCAGAACCTTTAGGTTTTGTCTAACGTCTGCCTTAAAAAAAACCTTGCCAACTGTCTCCCGTCTCATGCACTCTTTATATCAAGTATTTAAGTAATTACAAGACCTCACTTATTTAATGTTATAAATTTATAATGTTACAGTTTTCTCTCTTTGGGGTTCGCCCTGGCTCCTCCTTTATGGCACCATACCTTCTTAGCTTCTGTTAATAGTTTTTCAACAGTTATTAGTATATTTGAATTAGAGAAATTAAAACATGTTATCGTCTTTAAAAGTAACAAAAGGCTATCCTCCGAATAATGTCGGCTAAAAACACAACCCGGCGGCCTCAGTCGCACGTAAATTGCTGACTTCCTGCGACTACTGCCACATCCGAGAGTATCTCTAGCGTCACTGCGTGTGGAGCAGGAGTAAACTAGATGGCTGAGACTCGCTAGCAGCAGCTTCCGCAATTCCTGCAGATTTGATCCCCCTAAGTTGCAGGAAGTCCGCAATTTACTTGTGACTCACTGTAACTGAGGCCCTGTTTTTGGCTGCTATAATATGTGGCCGTTATTCGGAGGATGGCCTAACAAAACATGAGGAGGAACAGTTTGCGATCCTTTGCTTGATGGGCGGCTATGGTTATTCATTATTCATTGTTGATGTAAAAGCTCTTAAATCTTTTTTCGGTCCCAAGGAACGCATCATGATCATATACTCATATAGGTTCACATCAAATCTGTTCATGTAGCGTGGTTTTTTTGGCTGCATTCTCATTCTTACTAGATGACCAAACCATTTGATCTTTTGTTTTTCATGAATTTAATTTGCTGAATGATTTGTGTTGTTCCTACCGTCTTGTCTCATATCATTTCCCACTGGATGGTTGCGTTGGCTATGATGCTTATTGAGAATCTGACCAGCCAGTAATATTGTTAATTTAAATAACTTGTTTTTCCTGCGCAGGAAGAGGTGGTTCCGCTGGAGGCAAATTCCGCATCTCCCTGGGTCTCCCAGTCGGGGCAGTTATCAACTGTGCCGACAACACAGGAGCTAAGAACTTGTTTGTTATTGCTGTCCATGGCATCAAGGGTCGTCTCAACAGGCTGCCAGCAGCTGGCATTGGGGACATGTTTGTGGCCACAGTCAAAAAAGGAAAACCAGAACTTAGGAAAAAAGGTGGGTTGAAAAACTTTTGTTGTTGTTTTTGAACAGTTTGCCTAATTCCCCGTGAGTTTTAGTAGCTCTATAATAGGGAAAACAAGAATAGACCTGCTGCCTACCCAAAAGCATGTCGTAAGAGTTAACTAATTGGGAGCTTCCTTCGAAGTTAGAGTGCATCTGCCTGAGGAGTAAGGAACCAGCAGTCTGCAGTCAAACCGAGGCGCATTAAACACTCAGGTTCTGAAACAGGACTGCCTTTCAGAAGTGGACGAACAACCAGAACTCAACGCCGGAGTTTACAGCCGGTACGCACTTAGGGCTGAGTCAACCTGGGAGTCAGTATTTCTGGGGGGAAAAAAACCCTGTCTGGCTCAGTTAAGACACGAACCCACAGCCTTCCGATTCGCAGTCGGGCGTGTAGCTGCCAACGCCTTGCGACTCCCGTCAATCTTCTGAACTTTTATATACTGGTCAAAATGTTTTTTTTTTTAAAATGTAACCCACAAATTGATAATTTAACCACAAGAAAAAAATAACGAATTCTTTGTTGCAAATACCCTTTTTAGTTTACAGTTCCTCAGCGAGCTTACACTAAGCAAGCTTTTTACCACCACTTGTAGTTTTCTTCTTTGTCTGCTGTGGCAGCATATTTTTTTTTCTTTTAGTTTGTCTAGGATTTAAGTTCCTCTTCTTTTGCCTAGCACTAGCAGTTCTGTAAATTTGGTCTTATTTTTATTTTGCACCTGCTAAGGTTTAGTTTATAAGATTGAGTCCTTTACGATGTTTTGTAGAAATAACATAGATATTATTTATAAATTGTCTTATATGGCCTTTTATTTGTCTTGCAAACAGTAATGCCAGCAGTGGTCATACGTCAGAGGAAACCATTACGAAGAAAAGATGGGCTGTTCCTTTATTTTGAGGACAATGCCGGGGTGATAGTCAACCCTAAAGGGGAGATGAAGGGTAAGCTAGTGTGGTTGCTGTGACAGTATACATTAGAACTTACTTTATGTTGTCCCAATTTCTGCAGGACTTGACGATTCCTAGGGCGAGCCCAGGACCAGAACATTGTGTGTCGGCTGTGCATTTATGGAAGCCTTTTTTGATGGCAGAGAATGTCCATAATTTGCTTTCCCTTGAGAGCTGACTAGTCTTCACTTGGTTGCCCTAGATGGGTTCTCCAGGGACAGCACCAGTGGTTAAAGGGACAGAGAGGACACTACACAAATGAGGCAACATGTCCCACAAAACAGTGGCCAGAGTCATCCTAGAGATAGGATGAAACTTTTCCCTTTGAAGTCGGAATGCATCTTCATGAGAGGCAGGGAGCAAGAACTGCACACAAAAGTCAGAAAAACAGATGTACTTGCAAAACTTAGGTGCTGGTACAAAACTAGTATTTGGATGAACAGCAAGGACTTTTCGCATCAAATTCACAGACTGTTAAATGCTAAGAAGAAAGACATACTGGCTTCTGCCACAACCCTTTAGAGAATGGAGGTGAAGGCAGTCAGGGCAAGCTTCCTAGGAGCTGGAGAGCGGTATAGTAAAGGGCCTTTTTCAGCTTTTAGCGCAGCGGGTATATGATGCCAGAATCGGTGGAGTCAGAGAGTAGAACAGCTAACATGTAGTTAAACAGAGCATTGAGAAAAATGCAAAACTGATTTCCTATGCATAGATTGGCTTGCAGATCAGCAGTATACATTACAGATCTTGGATGTGGTGAATTTCAGTTGTGAAAAATTTTTCTTGCTCAAAGTCACGATACGGGGAAATTATGATAAGCAGAACTATTTCTCGTGGCCCCGGTGTGTTCTTATCCGGTCTTCATTTCATAGATTTTCTGACCACAATAATCAGGCATGCAAGGCAATGTAGGCAGTGGCATAGCAAGGTCAGCTGGTACCCGACATGGACAATTTTCATCACCCATTTCACACATGCTCACCCACATTTTTTCATGGTTAAAAAACACATTATTTTGTCACCCCCTCCCCGTTTTTAGTGATACAACCCTGTGCTTTCCCTTCCCACGCTACTGAATGCAGGTTGATGGATTGCCTGGTGTCACTTTTTATCTCTTGTATTTTCTCCCCTGTGAAACCTTTTCTATTGATGCTTTAGCTCTTTTCCAGTGTGGGTTACGGGCTCTATTATAGAGAAAACAAGAATAGAACCACTGCCTACCCCAAAGCATGTTGTAAGAGTCGACTGATTGGGAGCTTTCTTCAAAGTCGGAGTGCATCTGCCTGAGAGGCAAGGAACCAGCAGTCTGCATACAAATGAGTCAGATATGTAAAATGGATGCACACCTAACACTCAGGTTCTGGAGCTGAACTGAAGTCCGGGAGTTGATAAACAACCGAATGAGAACTTTCTGCCAGTTTACAGTTGATGGACACAAAGAAGATGCATTAGCATCCCTGCCGTGGGCAGCAGTATTATATTTTCTAGGGTAGTCTTTCTTCTCTTTACTAAATAAATTATGTGGTACTTTGGCCAATTTATGCGGCTGCTTCTGGAACAGCTCGTTTTCAGCAGCTTCTAGATGTGCTTAAAATGCTGTTCTTCGTAAACCTGCATACTTATTTATGCACAATGGCAGCTGATTGTGGCCTTTTTTATGTTTAGATTTAGTTCCCTCCTTCGATAGCAGAAAATGCCTCTGACTTACATTGATCGTCAGCCAGTTTATACTTAGTCACCCTGGAGGGTTTTTTAAACTATAGGTAAAGTGGCAGTGACGACTACATCATGCGCTACTGAACGCAACAGGGAAGACTGAAACTGTGAAAAAAATGTCTTGGGTGTCTCGTTAGAAAAGCACAAATGTTGCAGCTGTCCAGTGACAGACAGTAAAGTTAAAGCATAATTTGGTAGAATGATGTAGAAGGTTATGCATTTCTAATGCACGTTAAGTATCATTATTGTGTGTTAAAACAACACATTATTATTATTATTGCACTCATTGACATGTATTCTGTTTTCTAGGATCAGCTATCACGGGGCCTGTTGCTAAAGAATGTGCTGACCTCTGGCCTCGAATTGCCTCCAACGCAAGTTCCATTGCTTAGCCTTGTCCTGGATTCACTTGTGTATATAATGAACGATTTACAATACATGCCTAACAGATTCTGTGGCCCAGTACAAACTTTGAAGTTGTGGATTGTGATCAGAATGTGTTTGAAAGTGAGAGTGCTGAAAGAAAACCTTGATCATGCAAATTTGTCTGCTATAGAAAATGGCTTCTGTGACTGTTTAAAAACTACGTTTATTTGCATAAAGAATTGCTGAATTGGGGGCGAGGTGGGGGGGGGGGGTTTGGTGTAAAGTTAGGAGAGCAGACAGGTCTCTGTGGTTGCTAAAAATACAGGTAGACACTGTTACAGTAAAGAAAAAAGCCAAACTTTTGGCGAAGAGAAACATTAGTGCTGCAAGTCTTTTTTGGGTCGCTGATTGAATTAAAAAGAGACTGAAGTTCACACTAGTGGCAACATTACAGATATAGATAATCTATTTTCAAGCTAACGAAAGAAGAAATAGGAAGATAACACCGAGAAGTGGACAGCTGTCTGAGATATACATTGGTCCACAATCTCTTGACCTGCCTCTCTTCTCAGTTTTTGTCTTGTCCATGATGTACTTACTTCTATCTACTGCTAGAGTAACTAGATATGATTTAAAAATCTTTGTTTACTGGCTGTAAGCTCTGACAGAAGTCCTGCTGATTGTTTGGACTTGTTTTGAGTGCACTGGCTCATTTTCTGTTTTTTCCGGAGGCCCATTAAGAAAACAAAACAGACTCACTCTGGCTACCTATTTCATAAGAGTCTGGGAACTTCTGAACTGGTTAACCTGCTCCAGCGCATACTGTCCCATCATGATCTGGTGTTTCTTCTCCTCTTGAGATCACCATGGTTTTAGTTTTGGAGACACTGATGGTCATCCCTTTCTTTTCAAGCTCTTCCTTCCAGACAAGTAAGTTGGACTGAAGGTGTGCCTCTGATTTAGCTATCAGGGCCACATCGTCTGCAAAAGACTGACAGACATACTGCATAGAACCTTATCTTTTGAAGAGAAAGGAAATAATTTGGTGTGATTGTTGTTCTTGCATTCACCTAACAAGTTCACTTGTAACTTATTTAGCTCCAGATTAATTACCAGATCCTATTTCACTTCAGTATTTCTACAAGGAAGATCTTTAAGCTAACCATTAAAATGAGGTGTCTGAGAAAGGCTGTAGGAGTGACCAGAAGAGATGAAATTAGGAATGAGGTTGTACAAGTTGACACAGAACCAATTTAAAATTACATAGACAGCAAATCCAGTTGGAGAGAATGCCTTCTGATGCTATACCATTCAAGGGATATACCAAAAAATGAGAGGGACATAGAGCAAGATGGAAGAATAACATCAGAGAAACTCTACAGTACCACGACGTGTCTTAGGTCAAAGCAGTCATAAAAGCACAAAGCAGGACACATCACTGACATCCGAAGCGGTAAAAGACTACGACGATCTTTAAGCGTAATCTCATTTTACAACTTCCTGCTGGTCAATGGACTTTCAGGCATGCTTCGGAAATTAGAAAAAGGTGCCTTGTACCTGGAGCGACCTGCAGCACACTAAATATTGTTCCAGGATATTTGGGTGTATGTTAATCATTGGGCTAAGATTAACTGCTGCTGCTGCTCCTCTAGGCGGTGATCTACTTTACGACAGCTGACAAGAGAAGCAGCGTTGTAATCTGAATGGACCAATTAGTGTGTGTTGTGGTCAACATCACGCTGCAGGCTTTTAAATTATGTTTGCGTAATGATTTAAAAAGACACTTTACCACAAATTCAATAAATGTGGCCACTGTTCTGACTGCAAAGTCAGATGCTCATGATATAATTGACCTAAAAACACAATACTTGTCAGAGCTAGTGATTGTTTTGAGATTGACACTGTGACAAATTCTACCACGCCAAACTTCGCTTCATCATTCTCTGACTTTCAACCTTTCCACTGACGCATCAACCGTGGTAATCTCTGCCCCCCCCCCTCTGTAACATCAACCATGGTCAGTCTCTGGTCCTTTTCCTCCAACTCTTCAGTTACCCCGACATACAGGTTTTCCTCTCCTCATAATGCGGACAGTGACTTACTTAGTCGCTCCTCTTCTACCTTGGGGTGTAGAGGTTTGCCAGAGAGATCGCCAGACGTCTCTATCAGCAGTTTTCAGAGTAGAAACACAATTTGGCACAATAATCAGGCATGAGTATATGACTTTAAAGATACAGCATATACTGAGTTGAATATGTGGCCACATTTCTTTTGCCTGCCCATAAAACAAACGTGAAATAAATAACACCAGTCTTGCGTTGATACAAACAGACATAAGCTAAGCACACATGGTGCAATTCTTGGGAGAGAAAGAGTTAATCCATTATAGACTAGAGAATGGGGTCTCAAAGGTTTCTCCAAAGCAAAATTGTCAGGTCTACTGAATGTTTCCGCATGTTCTTTAGCTCCTCCAGTAGAGGAGAGTCTAGTTCTGGGGTCTGTTGAGCAGAGAGCTGTCTGGCTCATACCTGACTTTTATATATGTAATTGCTGAATCTGTAATGTCCTCTGCATTAATGAACAAGTGTGACTTGGTCTGTTCGATTCAGATGTTCATGGGAATCTTTTTAATATTCATTTATGAACTTTAACGGCATCATTTTGTAGCAAAATCACTAACACACAAAGCAAAGATTATTTGAATAATGTAATCTATTAACCTTTTTACCATCTCTGTTCTGCAACATAACCTAAATCATACATAAGCAGCAATCATACTTTATTTTTTTGGCACTTTCTAATGCACTGTCGTCATATGAAGTTATTTGATCTCCTGCATTTAAGGCCTTGTCAAACAAAGGCTGCATCTCTCTACAACTCCCTAATTGTACTCATTGTATTATCAGTCTCTTTCCCTTTGTTATCTTTTCTTAATGTTAAATTGGGAATTGACATCACAGTACTCGGAACACGCCCATTAGTGCTCTGTCAGCAGCAAGCAAAGAGTTCCAGTTCCGATGGTACCAGTCACTGTCTGATTATATGTCCGTCTCGCCTTTCAGGGCGTTGAACGTTGGCCAGATCCCCTGGTAACTTGCCGCAGCGCCATTCTCCTCAAACTATAATATGTTTGTGGCTCTTCACTCCCACTAGACTCTTACAACATCCAGCTTGTCATCAATTCACCAACAAGTGGTGAAGAACCGGCCAGTATATCTGCCTACTAGTTTCCCACCACACTGGCATCACCTGGAGAAAATAACCCAAAGGACGCTAACTACTCGAGACCTCTGAAGCGATGCTTGCCCTGTTATCCCTTGCTTTGCTCATGCGTTCTTTCCAGCAACTGTCTTTTCATGGATGGCTTCAGTGCTGGTCCTCTAGTTAAATGGGAGACAATCATGGCCTGTTATATGATACAGCTCTCTATCATTTTAGTAAGACAAAGGGACTGAAGCCATCGTCAAACGGAGACTTCTGATGGCAAGAAGCCTTCTCTTGTTTTTGCTTCACCACAGATCTCTAAAGTGTTGATTTGAGTTCAGTTGACATCTTAGTTCATTGTTACAGGGAAGCAGGGTCGTCATTTGCTAATTAACAACTTAACTCCTTTAATACTTGGACAGCTTTTTCAAAGGGTCTGCAGGCTCATAGTTTTCTGGCGGGGCCGGGAGTGTGTCGGGAAGATGATGTGGCCGAGGACCTGGTTTAGGCCGGTCTGTTTTGTGCAGCCTAACCTTGGCAAAATATCCCAACTCAGGGCGGTCTTGGCCCAGGTTCTCCTTGATGCAGTTGTCGTAAATATCCTGGGTTGTACGACAGCTGAAATAAAATGAAAATATACAATCATTATGTTTTTGTCCTGGTGAACTCTTAATGCTTTGGCATATCATGGAAATACCATTTAATAAACAAACTTCTTGAAAGAGCAGATACTACTACTGCACTCTCTCAAGCTGAGATGTCTCTGGTGGCTGAGCCAAGGATGACTGGTTGTATTCCTAAAGATCTTTACTGAGAACTAGTCACAATGAAAACCCTCAGCATAGATGAACTAGCCACAATGAAAACCCTTGGCATAGATGAACTAGCCACAATGAAAACCCTTGGCATAGATGAACTAGCCACAATGAAAACCCTTGGCATAGATGAACTAGCCACAATGAAAACCCTTGGCATAGATGAACTAGCCACAATGAAAACCCTTGGCAAAGATAACAGAAACATGCAACAAACTTCCAGCAGACAATTCCTGGAGAAGAGATGTGTGAAATGGACTGGTGCTCTTCAAACACAAACTGATCCAACTAACTGAGGTGCAGGTATAAAATGCAGCAACTTCATGCAGGTCCTGTCTCTCCTCTCACGGATTTAGAAACCATGACAGAGACAGGTCACTCTTGCACTGGACTACAGTCATCAGAGGCACTGTCATTTCCCGCAATGCCAGTCTTATCATCATCATGTTGTACCGTTATACATCTCAAAGGGCTTGCAGTTTATTCTTTATCTCCTGGGGTAAATAGAGGAACGTAGCTGTAGCTATGGAGCTGCGTGTGGACGGGGACAGATTCTTATCAACTGTCCGTACTGGTGGCAGAGCACTTATGGTTTGTAACCGTGTGCAGTGACGCTGGTTCACATCTTTATTATATTCCTCATCTCTATCCTGTGAGGCTGTTTCAATATCATGGAACACAGCCAGGCTCCTCTCTGACATATCACATTAGGATTGCTTTTAGACCTCTTTATTTCCTCAATCCATCTGCTGCCCATTTAGGTTCCTGGGTCCAATTGCAGAGAAAAACAAGAATAGGCCCACTGTCAACCCAACAGCATGTTGTAAAAGAGTCAACTAATTCACAGCTTCCTCAGGGTGCATCTGTCTGAGAGACAAGGAACCAAAAGTTCGCATACACATGAGGCAGATCTGTAAAACAGATGTGCATGCACAACTCAGGTTCTGGAACAGGATTAGAGCCCAGAAGTGGACGAACAATTATAACTTTCCCCTGGAGTCTACCGCTGATGGACGCGAAGAAAAAAAAAAGATTGCCGGTTAGTGATTCTGTCTGCATCTCCTCCGGATATGTACAATATACTGCTGTATTTCCAGTCTTATAACTGTTGATACCAGCGCTAAAGTCTTAAACCTTTCAGCAATTTCTCTATGTCTGCTGCCTCTTTTACCACACATCTTTCTCATCATCAGTGTTCTCGTTTCATCACACTATCTTCTAGTGTGGGTTCCAAGACCTCACTGTGGGGGAAAACAAAAACAGACCCACTGCCTCCCCAACAAGCATCTTGTAAGAGTCGACTAATTGGGGACTTCTTTCTAAGTTAGAGTGCATCTGCCCGAGTGGCAAGGAACACCTAACTACACACAAATGAGCCAGTGAAATGGAAATAGATCTACTACCCTCCCTAATATAAGAATGTCAAGAAAGGAGACCACTTAGGGGTTTTCCTTCAAAGTCAGAGTGCCACTGCCCGAGGCAAGAAACACAACAGTCTGCATACAAATAAGCCACATCTGTCACAGGGATGTGCATCCAACACTCATGTTCTGGGTCAAGACCAAAGTGAGTGGTCAGAATACAGAGCTCTCATGGGGCCTAAGTACGATCCTCTGTTGGACGATGGTCATCTGTGCTGGGGACAAACATTTAAATTCTTTTGTCGCAACTGCGGCAGCCATTTAACCCTAAATCCTCAGGTTCAAACACCCCCTTCTGATCTACACTGCCCAGGGGCTAGGATTTTCTTCTTCGTCTGCAACCATCTGAAGATGTAAATGTGTTGGCTGCCACATTTGTGCTATTCCGCCGACATACCTGACTTGTGCAGGCATTCGTTGCCTGAGTTAGCCTTTTTTGGGAAACTGCAGTCAAACTGTTGTGAGGTCATCTCTGTTTCCTAGGTGATGCTTACCATCAGAACAGTCCAAAGCAGCCATGCAATGCTGGTCAGCCCTCAATAGAAGGCAGAGACAGAACATGAGCATTCCCTGCCAGGCATAGAGGCTTCCATGAATGCAGAGCCAATACATGGAGCTCTGATAGTGGGCTCACTCAAGGAATCGTCACATCCTGATCATTCATTCATTCATTCATTCAGTAGCATGTCCCTCGCGGAACCTCGCTGCCATAACAACCCTCCGGAAAACCTTCCTATCATGAGCAAGATGTCCTGCGTCTGATACACCCATCTGGAGATCATCTGCCACATCCTGCACCCATCTTCTCCTTGGCCTTCCTCTTCCTCTCTTCCCAGGCATGTACCCCTCCATTATTGTTCTCTCTAGACTTCCATGACGTTTCAAGTGACCAAAATATTTCAATTTTCTTTGTTTTATTGTCTTTACTAGCCAACCCTCTTCAATATTCAGCTCTTGAAGTATGGATGCATTTGTTCTTTTCTTTACCCAAGATATTCTTAGAACCTGTCTGTAACATTTGTATTCAAATGCATTTATGCGCTGTTCCGCTTGTTTAGTAAGTGTCCAGGTCTCACAGGCGTATGTTGCAATGGGAAAGATGCATGCTCTTAAAAATCTGACCTTTGTAATTCTATCTGTACAATTCCATAATTTATTCAGTTGTTTTAGTCTTTGAAGAGCAATTGATAGTCGCCGTTTAATTTCTTTCATTGTGTCACCATTGTTGGTAACCAGTGACCCAAGATATTCGAAATTTTCCACCACTTCCAATCTTTCCTCATTAACATATATTTCCTTCTCCATGGCAGTTTTGTTTGTATGCATTATCTTTGTTTTTGCTGTGTTAAGAAATAAGTTATGATTTTCACTATTTCTTTGGAGTGAGGTTAATAAGTTTTCTAAACCATTTTGTGATGTTGATAGTAATACTGTATCATCAGCATAACGAATTTCTGGTATTTCATGACCACCGATGTTTAGGGCATCATATTGTTCCTTGTTTATATCATCTCTTACATTTCTCATTATATTTTCGGCGTACAGGTTGAACAAATACGGTGACAGCACACATCCCTGACGGACTCCTTGCTTGATGCCAAACCAGTCTGATGTCTCTCCATCTATTCTGACTGCTGCTTGTTGGTCTTGATAGAGCATTTTAATGAGCTGCACTATATGTGATGGAAAGCCCATATTCCTCATGATTTCCCAAAGCTTCTGATGTTGTACACAGTCAAATGCTTTTGAATAATCCACAAAACATAAGAACAGATTTACATTAAATTCTCTACACTTCTCTATTATTAAACGCATGTTGAATATATGATCTCTTGTTCCTCTTCCCTGTCTAAATCCAGCCTGAGCTACATTAATTTCTTCTTCCATTTTCTTATGCAGTCTTCTCATTATAATTTTTAGTAGAATTTTACTTGCATGACTGATCAGGGCAATAGTTCGATAGTTTGTACATAATTTCAGGTCACCCTTTTTTGGTATTGGAATGAAGATAGTTCTCTTCCAGTCTTTTGGCCAAATACCATATTTCCATATCTTTACACATAATGCATGATAGATTTTTGTGCTTTCTTCTCCTCCCGCTTTAATCAATTCAGCTGGTATCTCATCACATCCAGGTGATTTACCATTTTTCAGGCTCCTTATTGCCCATGAAATTTCATCTAATGAATGTTCAGGTTCTGCCTCTACTGTTACTGGTTCATGTATATCATTCATATCCTCACTGTCATTCATATCATACATTCCGCTGCAGTATTCCTGCCATCTTCCTAGAATTTGTCTAGATTCTGTTAAAGTATTTCCCAACTTGTCACAAATAACATTTAACTGAGGTTGAAAATTTCTTGTCAATAACTTCATTTCCTTGAACATTTCGTAATCTCTTCCATTTTTATGATGCTGCTCTATTTTAATACAGCAATCTTGTACATACTGATTTTTATCCTTTCTTGTGTACTTTCTTATTTCTTGTGTTAAAAATTTATACTTCATCCTACTGTCATTGGTTTCTTCTTTCTTTTTCAGTTCCCTTCGTAGTTTTATTAGTTCTAACGTGTATGGTGTGATCCATGGTTTATGTTGCTTAGTCTTGGTGGGTATTAGGTCTTTAGCTGCTGTTATCAAGATATCCCTAGCTTGTACCGCCAGTTCATCAGGTGTCATTTCCTCTTGTACAGACATCAAGACCTCAAAACGGTTCTTCACTTCTACGTTGTATGCATCTGGTATTTTTGTGAGATCAAATCGAAATGGCCTTGGTCCTCGGGTAAGCTTTTTGAGTTTTAATTTCAGATCTGCTTCTAGTAACTGATGATCTGTATCGCAATCTGCACTTCGCAGAGGTTTTTGCAGATGTTATGCTCGATCTCCATCTTCTTTGTATTAAAATGTAATCTATCTGATTTTTGGTAACACCGTCAGGGGATGTCCATGTGAAAAGCCTTCTAGGGTGTTGTTTATAAAGTGTGTTAGCTATTGTTAATTCATTTTCTATGCAAAATTCAATCAATTTTTCTCCTGTTTCATTTCTATTACCCAATCCAAATTTTCCTAAAACGTGTCTCTCATTTTCAGCTCTGCCTGTACCTACTTTAGCATTAAAATCTCCCATTATTATTATTATATCATTCTGATTAATTTTATTTAATGTGTCTTGCAGTATGGCATACAAATCTTCAATTTCGCCCTCCTCTGCTGTTGAAGTTGGTGCATATACCTGCATGAAAGTTATGTTTTTTGGACGGCCTTTAAGTCTGATAGTTAGGATTCTATCACTAACTGGATTATATCCCATAATATGCTGATCATGACTGTTTAATCTCACACACGTATACTCAGCCTCTCATTCATCATGGGCTATGTCTTTAGAAGCTAGCAAGAGGCAGCCTGCAGAGCTGACAATTTGATTACAGACACAAAATAAGCAAGAGCTTGAGTTGAGTCAAGAATTGACATCACAGCACTCAGGGGCATTCCCATGTGAGCTCTGTCCTCATCTTCAGCAGCCAGCGCAGAGTTCCAATACTGATGGTATTAGTCACGATCTGGTTACATGTCTGTCTTGCCTTTCCTGGTTACATGTCCATCTTGCCTTTCCTCTGAGTTTAGTGAGCCGGCCAGACCCTCTTATTACATCCTGGTGACTCATTCTCTCCAGGCCATAATAATTTTTAAGAGCTAAGAATGTTAGCTCATTCCTGTATTAGTAATTAATTATTTTTAGATCATTTATGATATAGAAATAATCAAAAAGTTCATTATTTTAGCTCATATCTGTCAGAGAAATGGTCAGAAATGCATTATTCTAAGCTCAATCCTGTTAGAGAAATTGGCTCTCCTGTAAACTACGGCAGTTAGTCGGAGTTCTGTCCCTTGGCTACAGTGCAATTACGGACTGGAGAAGGCACGAATCAGACCACAAAGTGAGGTCGACATGCCTAACAGACCCCGCGCTGCGACTCGACTCAACGACCACGATCAATTACCGCGTCTTGCGACGCATTACGGAGTGAATTACAGGGAACGATACAAGTGACAGAATTACTGTGTGTTGGTGATAGACAGTGTGCAGTGCCCTACTGTAATCATACGGTTTGGGTTAGGGTTAGGTTTAGGGTTGCTACTTTGAGTTTGTGCGACGACGAGATGCGCCGACACTACCCGTAACCCTAACCCAAACCGTATGATTATAGCAGGGCAGTGCACGCTGTCTATCGCCAACACACAGCAATTGTGTCAATTGTTTCATTCCCTCTTTCCCACTCCGTACTTGCACTGTAGCCAAGAACTCCGACTAACCGGCCGCAGTTGACAGGAGAGCCGAGAAATTTATTACTAAACTAATTCCTGTGATAGGAATGATCAAACGCTAATTCCTGTGACAGAAATGGTCAGACGATTCACTTGTAGAAGTAAACATGATTAGACATACTTCTTAAACTCCATCTCGGATCCAGAGTGATCAATACACTGCAGGTACTGGTTAAACTCTGCGAAGCACGATTTCTTCACCTTGCGAAGAAACTCAAACCCACATCTCGTCACTTCTTTCCCTTCATTCAGGCATTTCCTGGGGTCATCTTCTTCAGCCCGGCACAGCATGAATTCCTGCAAGTGAAAGATAACATTGTTCTTATTTTGTGGGGGTTATTTTTTTAATTGGGACATTATTTCCTAGCAAAAGCTAAAATTACTACATCGTAAAGAATTAAGACATGCAAGCAAGTGATTCTGGGATGTACAAGTGATACATTCTTGCACTGCCGACTATGCAGACAGGTTCACCTTTTTTTCTTTCCAGACAAGGTCCCATCTCAGTGTAGCCACAGATAAGAAACACCTCCCGTGTCAGCTAAACAAATTCAATGGGTCGTGATTTCATTTTTAAACATCCCGGTGTGGTTTCTAGGGCCCTGTTCAGGGGGGAAAAAATAGAATAGACCCACGGCCTACCTAACAAGCATGTCGCTTCCTTTATGTTGTGCCATTATAGGGCTCCCAGTCTACTCCTCCATTCTGTTCTATCTTGTGCAATAAGTTCAATATTATGGATGGTATATAGTCCAGCAGCTTTGGCCTCTCTCATCAACATTCATCTTAGGGTTTCTTTTGGGCGTCCTCACCTAAATCCCTTTATTTTCCATTCTGATGCCTGTTAATTTAATCACTTTTGTCTCTAGTGTTACATCTGCTTGATCTGTTGTTGATGTCTTGAATATTTTTGTCTTTTCATAATTTATTTGTACTCTTACTTGTAACTTACCTGTGTGCAACTGTTTGTTCCTTGCCGTTTGGGCAGATACACTCTGGCTTCAAAGGAAGCCCCCAATTAGTCGACTCTTACGACTGCTTGTTGGGGAGGAAGTGAGTCTATCCTTGTTTTCCCCACAATGGGGCCCGGAACCCACAAGAGGCTAGCTATCCATTGTTTTTTTTCGGTTAGCCCAAAAATCTGCCTTTTCATTTCCTTGTACTCCTGCATATTCTGGACAGTATATGAACATGAGTCCCCATAATGCTGATGTTCTGATGCTTGGTATCCACTTGTGCCACACTTGTCCTTTCTGAACATTCAGCAGTCATAAATAAGAATCACACACTGGTTAACCAATCTCTATATATCCCACCATCAGTTTTTAAAAAAAGAAGAGTTCAATTTCAACATTAAAAGTGGTCAGATCAAAGATGAGTGGATACACAGCTATCTACTACGCCTACCAAAACCATATAAATACCATTCCAAGATCAGTGGCTACAGAATCATTTCCATGCAGAACACTACGGGCAAGCTTCGGGAGAAAACTAGTATGCAGACTTGCTGATAACTTGGAAGATGTATGACAGTTTACTATTCATAATTGGAGCATACAGACATGGTAAAGAGACATGGCTCAATGTAGCAGTTTTTGCCTGTGAAGTCTACGAAGGTTTTCAGATGAGAGAAGAGACATTCAGCCATACTAGACAAAGGATGCGTATAACAGAGTACCATTTGAATACTTGGTGCACATACTACACCAACTGGAAGTACCTTGCTTCCTCACCTGCTGGGTAGTCGCGGCAACTTCCAGAGACAGGTGACATTCAGGTGTAATTGCTGGTCCTCAGAACCGATAACCATGTCCACGATTGCCTCAAGGTTGTCTACTGTCTCCAGTTCTTTTCAATGTGAATACAGTGCCGATAACTGAGCAGCAGTTGCGCGGGAGTGACAGGACTTTGTCATTTGCTGATGGATGTCCTGATATATCGACATGGAAGAGATCGTCAGGAGATTGCCAATTCAATGCAGAGTAAACCTGATCGCATTTCCTCCTAGTGTGTGGATTCTAATGCACATGTCAACCCTTCAAATGCCTCAGTAACATGGTTCTCCTTGAACACTCACATAGTCAGGGCAGGCATACCAGCAGTGGAAAGCAGTGATGAGCTTTGGCAAGAACAAACCTGATGACATATCTCGGGGTGAGGTTTGATCACAGTCTGTCCTTCAAAGTACATGTTGACCATGTTAAAAGCAGGCAAAGGCCTGTCAGCAATGAGAGTCCTGGTCGCCTACAATGAGAGTCCTGGTTGCCGCCAGTAATGAGCAGTGACTGCTTCTGTTCCAGGGACTTGTTCTTTCTCCTATCGAATATGCTCTAGTCATTCTCACTGTCAGCCATACTCAGGCTGAAAGACTTGAAAAGGTGCAAAATGAAGCAATGTGCATTATTCTGGGGTGCACAAGAGATCCCTCTTATATAGCAATGAAATACCTACCATGAACTACAGGATCAAGATTTGGAGGACTCGCACATACTTCAAGAAAAGCTCCGATCTGAAGCACCCTTTGCACCATATGTTCTTCATAAAAAAACGGCAACAGACTAAAAATAGGAAAATCAAGTAAGGGTAGGGCAGAGGATGACATCAAGCAGGTCTGCAGTCTTTAGGACATCCACCCTGGTGAGGAAATGGATACTAGTGCTTAAAGCTCTCAATTGTACCTCATCCTGGGTTGTCACGCTTGATAGTGGTTGCAAGCAGAAGTCAAAGTCGAGCTTATTAGTGACATATCAGATGTAGTGATCGAAACAGCTGGGTCCATTATACGAGGACATAAGAGTGCAATAATTGGCTATCTTCAGAATAACAGTCCCAAATTATCGAGGCCGCAAATATACCCAAACAGAGCTTCAGTCACATGTAAAATGCTGACTTCTGGCAACTTGAATTGCGCACTTCCGGCGGCTACTGCCACCGCCGAGAGTATCTCCCACGCCGCTATGCGAGGCGTGGACTGGGGCTAGACTAGATGGCTTGGACTCACAAGCAGTAGCTACTGCATCTCCTGCAGCTTTCTTCATTTTATTTGCTCTGAGTCCCAGCCATCTAGTTTAGCTCCGCTCCATGCCGCGCGTAGCGGCATGGGAGATACTCTCGGCGGTGGTGGAAGTCCACAATTTACACGAGACTGAGGCCCTGTTAGGGTATATTTTCAGCCTCGATAATTTGAGACCGTTATTCGGAGGTCATAGCCAGATGTGCTGATTTACACATATAAGTCCATTATAAGAGTTAGTTAGTCTTTCCTCTTGTGTCGAGTGCGGCACATAGGGCAGAGGTCATGACTCTCCATGCATGGCGGTTCGTTGCAATCTGTTGTAGGTCTTGGATGTTTGAGTGGCCCATGAGTGAGCCTTCCCTGATGATAGTTCTTCGTAGGGTTTCCTTTGGTCTTCCACGAGATCTTTTCCCCTGTGGTGTCCATATGAGGGCTTGGTAAGGAAGTCTTGATTTATCCATTCTAAGGGCGTGGCCGACATAGTTCCAGTGGCGTTTTCGTATAAAATTAGACACATACTCTTGCCTGGATTCTTGCCTTATTTGTGTATTGGTTCGGAAATCTGACCATTTGAAATTTAGTATTCTTCTAAGGCATTTATTTTCAAAACTGTCTAATTTTGTGTCTAGAGTTTTCGTTGATTTCCAGCTCTCGCATCCATAGGTTAGTACTGGAATCACACAAGAATTGAAGATCTTGAGTTTTGTGTGTTTGTTATTTATAAGAGTGCAATGATTTAATTCAGTCATCACCAAAAAGGGATAAACAAATGAAAATTACTATTGTCTCTTTCGGTGATGACAAGTTGTCGTTGAGTCCTGATTAACCTCTTTCAAAATATTTGAGATCTGACTTGGTAAGTGGTGATTATTAAAGGGAAAAAGTTGAGAAACAAAAAACTAAACAATCCAGTGAATGAAATACAGTTTCAGTTGGGCAACTTCTCACCTTGGAGGCATTGTCACAGTACTTTCCAAGATGATGCGCTGCTGTCCTAAAAACAGACGAGGTAATTTCTATCTCAGGAACAGTGAGTTCTTCAAGAGTCGGCAGATAATCTTCGTTAGAGTATGCCATTTCGATCTCAGAACGGGATTAACTTTTGCTTCTCTCTCTCTCTGATCTGACCTTGCAATAACCGGAAACCGCGTCAAGACACTAGAGTTATCCTCCCCTGCCCATCATCATCATGTTGCAGGCGATCAGTGCTGCAAGGAGTGAAAAAGGGCCCTGGCCGATGCTCAACATTCACGGTAAAGGCGAGACGGATATCCAGTCAAGACTTTTACTGGTACTTTCCATGTGGATTCAAAGGCCCCATTTTTGGGAGAGAAAAAAATAGACCCAATAACATGTAAATCGTAGAAGTCGCTTAATTATGGGCGTTTCCTTGAAGTCATGGTGCATTTGCCTGAGAGGGGGAAGCGGCAACCGTCTGCTTACAGATCGGTAAAACAGATTTGCACGCAAAAGCCCTGTTTTGAAACAAAAATTAAATTTAAAAGTGAGCCAACAACTGCAGGCGAGCGCGAAGAAAATAAAGATGATGAAGAAAAAGAAGAAGCGCTTGCTGTTTAAAATGGCGACTGAGAGATTATGTGAATATCCCGAGTGCTTTGACATCGATTCTTAATTCAACATTCAACATTACGTTGCAGTTCCTTGTTTATGTCATGTTAGCTCCTGTGCGGATCGTGCAATCAGATGCCGTCTCCACAATGAAGATTTGCCGCAAAGGATCTCCAACACACTAAATCTATTGTCTTTGTTGAACACTCTCTCAGACTGCTGTTGGTCCATCTCTTAGATGTTGTCTTCCCATGTGTATCGTTGTCTACCTATTGCCCTTGACTTTTCCTTCAGTTATGGTTGAAGAGTGTTATGTATTGTAATGTGACAATCATATTTAAGTTGTAGTGGGGGGGGGGGGAGGGGGGGGGGTACGTTGTTTGGCTCAGAAAGAGAGTGACTTCCCTTGACATTCATGCCTAGTTGGGTAGCAGTAGCAGGACCTCTCATTTGGGAGGGGGGGGGGGGTGTTTAGGTTTTCCTTATTGTTAACGCTTTTACCGTTCCCTCTTTTCTTGTCTTTTCATTGCTCGCCTGCGTGATTATTTTTTTCATTTTTGCTACATGCGCGACGGTTCGGCAGTACGGAGCCAGCGATATTTTTATATTCCTACGTTTATTGTAACTGCTTTCTTTCTTTCTCTTGGGGGTGGGGAGGGGGGGGGCACCGACGCTTTTTCTCTGAAGAAAAACAAATTTCATAGATGCCAGTGTGCTGGGTAATATGGTGAACCTCGTCATTTGTGATATCTGTATGATATGCCACGAATTTGTCTGAAAGATCTCTTTTCCAATGCTCGTATCTTCTTTTCGAATTCAACCGGTAAGGTCAACGTTTCACAGCCTTATGTTCTTCTATCTTTCTACTTCTTTCTATAAATAATACACTTTCTGTTAATTCATTAATTCATACTTCTTTCTATGAGTGCCGATCAATACATTTTCTATTACTTTATTAATATATAATATTTAACAGCTTCAAAGGGTTTCCCCTCTGTTTATTCACAGCCACATGTGAAGGTACTAATAGCTCTGAACAGTCGTAGCTTAGTTTTATTTAATTGTTTTTGGGTCTCCATAACATTTGCTGTTTGGCAGCAAGGAGTGATGTTGTCTGGGCAATCCTAGACATGATTTCTGGTCTAGACCATGGATCCTAAATATTTGAAATAATTTACTTGTTCAATTTTTTTCTTCACCTGTCTTGAATTCATCCTATTAAATGACTGAGTTAATCCTATTTAATGATTAAATGCATCCCATTAAACGTTTATCCGCAATAACTTCCTTTTTTCCTTGTTAGTTAATTAATCCGCAATAACTGATATTGCTTATCTAAGCAACAGATGGTCCTGAAGTCACATGACCATTAAGTCACATGACCAACTAGTCACATGATCAAGATATGGCTTGAGCCAAAGTTTTCAGGCACACGTATTTTATGGTTATTACTTGTTAACTCGCAAAAGTTTGTTTGCTTTCGAAGATTATACAATGTCTTTCAATTTTTAAACTATGATTGTTATAACATTTGTCGCGTTTATTGTTTGTGTTCAGTCATTCGTGAGATTGGATTTGAACGGTGCAGGATGGACAGTCACGAATTCAGAAACTGGTGAGTTTATGGTAGTTTTCTTGTGTGTGAACTGTATGAGTGTGTGTTGTTGGTGCAGTGTCGCCCAATAAGTTGTTTTATTGTTGTGCTAATTGCTTATCTGGGTAATATACTAATAATAGGCAGAATGCAGATTAGAGACCGCCATCGTTAGCTGCGGTGACTGCATTAATATTCATCATCATCATGTAGTAGCAGGTCCTTTGCAGAACGTCTGCCTGAAAGAAACTTGGTCTCTCGCTAGCCGCCAGCTCTCCCGCCTCATGTACTTTCATACTCAAGGAGTCACTTATATCCTGTGCCCATCTTCACATTAATATTACTTTAAATCAGTGATTCCCAAACTGCGCGTCGCGGCGCCTCTGGCAGCAGCGACCTCTTAACCCCACGAGACCTGAGGCCCTGAACCTAACTGTCCCCTATACCTGAGCTCCTGGGCATTAACGAAAAAAAAACCCAACATAATATACAAAAATTTTTGTTACATGCAAACAAGTGGCTAGAATATATTGACACTTGGAGACATTGTAGAAAATAGGCTCATCTTTTTATCTAGCGCCAATATTCCACCTTTGTGTGCCAATCCACTCAGGAGGATCAGGATTGTTTCACAAAGTGAGCACCAGATGTTGCTGTTTGAGGGACATGCCCCCTTCTCTTACTATCAATCTTTTTCTAGATTTATAATTTTCAAGATTCTCCTCATTATTCAAACTGAAGGTGTCTCTTCAACTGTGAGCGTATTCTTCATGAAATAATAACTCTGCAGAGTCTGAATAAACCAAAGTATCGATCACCTGTTGGACTGTGAAAAGCCTAGACCTACTTTCCTTTCCTGTCGAAGTGCTTGGTTCATCAGCCACTCGTTTTATTGTGAATTTTCAGAATTTTTTCACGCAAAAACAACACAGATTTTATCCAAACACATGCAGGCAGACATCTAGGAAGACTATCCATGAAATCTGATTATGATTGGCTAGTTATTTTTAGTCTGTGACTCATTGTTTTTCCATACTGCGCAAAAAGCTGAAAAATAGGGCCAGCGGTATAGCGTCAGGTTAAGAAATTCTTGGAAAATGGGGCCAGCGGTCTGGTAGGGTTAACAAAATTGAAGAGGGGCGGCAATTGAAAAAGTTACTTTAAATAATAAATTGGCAGAGTGGTCTCAAGGTATGGTGTCCATCTCAAGTGCTGGATATTCTGGGTTCAGGTGCCGGGGAAGGCTGGGATTTTTCACGTGGACTTTAGTAATTTCCCCTGGTCTCTGGGTAGTAAATCAAACGCCGGTATGTATTGTTGCGCACGTAAAAAAAAACTTTCTTTGGCAGTTGGAAATTAAAAAAGAGTAGCCTAATGGCGCTGCCCAGGTAAAATTTTGAGTTAAAAATCTACCTATTGTATTTCAGGATCCTCGCCGGTGCTACAGAGTTTGTGCACTGCGCTGAGATTCTTCAGACTCAGACTTGAGTTGGAAGTAGAACGGAGCACTTATGGGTTACACCTGTGTGCCATGATGTTGATCCGTCAAATAAACATAAACATACTTGAAATAAGGAGTATACTACACTAGACTTCTGTACTGTAAGTTCAACTGTAGGAGAGTTGGCAGCACCTCTTTGAATGGCGACCCTAGGGGAATTATTCACAATAGTCACCCCCTTGTGGGATGCAATTTTCAGTTATTTTGAAGCCCCACCCTGGCTTTTCCCGGAGGCCCTAAATAAACCTGGGCCTTAAATATGGCCTAACGACTAAACAGGGTTTCTGGGACCTATCCACGGGTGATCATCACCCGCATAGTGGCACTTTGTGTCACCGGGTGTTTATCACTTGTGTGATGTCTTGGTGGGGTAAAACTTGCATACTTACCTGACCCTAGAGGAACACAGTCTACTGTTTGTTTACGGCAACCATAACGGTGACAATCCATGGTTTGTGTGCGTTCACATAATGATGTTCTATAATATTTAATATTGTTTCAGGTGGCCCTAACTCTTACCCTAACCTTAATTTCAAACAATATTAAGTATGAAAGAATATCATTATTTTATTATTATGTGAACTTACACAGACTGGATAACGTCCCCTCCGGTCGGTAGTTAAAATAATGTCAAGTTTCAACAGATTGCATTCCCTTAGAGTCACAGTTTAAAGGAGTGATGAGTAGGTATTAATGTTAACTAAACTACCTGTGCACAACTTTTAAAATTAAAATGCCACAAAAGATGCTCGCCATTAGGAAGATACCGATTGCAGTGAGACAAAAATAGTAATAAAATGAACCTTTATCGTTACATGCATAGGACACATGAACAATGAGCATATTTACTCACAGTGACATGGTTTTTGAGAAGAATACAAAAAAATTCCTGGATTGAAAGAAAAACAGATAAGGCGGCCCTCCTCAAGAAAAATTGGCACTTTTCCGAATACCGGTCCCAAATTATTCACTGCGAAAAACATCCCTGTGAGAGCCTCAAGAGGTTATGTAGTAAAAACATTTAGGCCATCATCATCAGTTTCTACTTCTGTCATTATTGCTCAATGAATAGCAATGTTTAGACCTAAAGCTATGCGCCATGGGGAGGAATAAATTTTGATCCATTAAAGCGTTGTGGGGAGAAATAGATTTTGATCCATTGTTTAAGCGTTGTAGCAGTTTTCAGTGCGTTAAAGCGTTGTGGGGAGCAATAGTTTTTAATCCATTGTTCACATTACCCATTACTTGCCTTGTGAGTTCCAGGGCCACATGTTTGAGGGAAAAAAAATTAGACGCACTGCCACCTAAAAAGCTTGTTGTAAAAGGCCACTAATTAATCGATCACTGGCCGTGTTGTTAAACGCAAGAAAGAAAATTGTATGTACTTTGTTCCATATAGGCACATCTGACTGAGCTTGGAGGATGTGAGAGGTATAATTGTAGAACACTTCCACCGCTGTTCTTTCCAGCTACCATGCCTTCCACCACTGTTCTTTCTAGCTACCATGCCTTTCGCCACTGTTCTTTCCAGCTACTGTGCCTTCCACCACTGTTCTTTCCAGCTACCATGCCTTCCACCACTGTTCTTTCCAGCTACCATGCCTTTCACCACTGTTCTTTCCAGCTACTGTGCCTTCCACCACTGTTCTTTCTAGCTACCATCCCTTACACCACTGTTCTATCTAGCTGCTGTGCCTTCCACCAATGTTTTATCTAGCTACTGTGCCTTCCACCACTGTTCTATCTAGCTACTGTGCCTTCCACCACTGTTCTATCTAGCTAGCCTTCCACCATTGTTCTATCTTGCTATCTTTTCACCACTGTTCTATCTAGCTACTGTGCCTTCCACCACTGTTCTTTCTAGCTAGCATTCCACCACTGTTCTGTCTAGCTACCGTGCCTTCCACCACTGTTCTATCTAGCTAGCCTTCCACCACCGTTCTTTCTAGCTAGCCTTCCACCACTGTTCTTTCTAGCTACTGTGCCTTCCACAACTGATCTTTCCAGCTACTGTGCCTTCCATCACTGTTCTTTTCAGCTACCGTGCCTTCTACCACTGTTCTTTCCAGCTATCCTGTCTCTATTACTGTTCTTTCCAGTTACTGTGCCTTCCACTAGTGTTCTTTCCAGCTACCATGCCGTCCACCAGTGTTCTATCCAGCCACCATGCCTTCCGCAACTGTTCTATCTAGCTACTGTGCCTTCCGCCACTGTTCTATCTAGCTACCATGCCTTCCGCCACTGTTCTATCCAGCCACCATGCCTTCCGCCACTGTTCTATCTAGTTGCTGTGCCTTCCGCCACTGTTCTATCTAGCTACCATGCCTTCCACCACTGTTCCTTTCAGCTACCATGCCTTCCACCACTGTTCTATCTAGCTACCATGCCTTCCACCACTGTTCCTTTCAGCTACCATGCCTTCCACCACTCTTCTTTTCCTAGAATTTTGTGGCTTTTATGACCAAAGTACAGTTGTTTAAAATAATGTATCTAATGCCTAATACTAAAATACATAAATATAAATACAAAAGCAATCAGATGAAATTAATGAAAATTCAACTTGACTTTTACTTTGCTGAGAAGAATCCAGTACCTACCTACTAGGATGGTGTTGAGATTGGACAAGGAGGAGGAGATTTTATTGTTTAGAAGGACACTCCTCTTCTAATAAAACTTCAGGGCTTTGTAATGCTGTTTTGTTTTCACTTTTGGTTTTTTTATTTCTGTCTCTTTTTGTTACTTGACCTGCTTTGAAGGCTCATCAGGTTTGATTTTCACCAAAAATCTGTCCACTTTGCTTCTGCATTCTCCTCAGGATGTTTCAGAAATATGACATTATCTGGTCATTTCAGACAGTGCTATTGTGGTTTGTGTGGGCTTTTGAGGTTTTGAACAACGGGTCAACATCATGGCACATGGGTAGTAACCCATAAGTGCTCCGTTCTTCTTCTAACTCAAGTCGAGGATCCTGAAATTCTTTGGGTAAATTTTTAACTCCACAGGACACGCCGTTAGGCTATTCTTTTCGATTTCCAGCTGCCAAGGGATTTTTTGTGTGTTGACTGACAAGACTTCTCGTGTGTCCAGTGTGCTTCTTGTGCCTAGCTGTGCAGATCTTTACTCCCAATTCTTGCACTTTTAGCGAAGATGTGTATGTGCTGCTTACAAAATCCATCCGATCGTCCTACATCTCTAATGGCATTAACAATGTCTGCATGATCCATGGCTCCTGGAACCCATACGGGGAAACCCGATTCATAACCCATAACTCATAACAACACATAAATATCTCATTTCTACAGTTTCTGATGATGTGTGTTTTTCTGTTGTTGTTAAAAGTCCACATTGGACACTGCTAAGACAATGTTGATTTTACTGTATTCAGTAGTGCTAAAATCCTGTGAGATCAAAATGATTAACACATTTTCCCTCCACTGCCCACAGGTCAGTCAGTGCCTGGAAAAGTTCCAGGATCCATGTACACGGCTCTGCTTGACCATGGTGACATCCCAGATCCCCTCTACAGAGACAACGATGTCAAGTATGCCTGGATCGGGACGGCCAACTGGACTTATTCACGGCCATTCTCAGGTAGTCAGCTACTTAAAAGCCCTATTTATGTTCAGACCTTTGTTTTTCAGTGAACAAATGAAACATACAAGGCCATTTGCATTCCTTGTGGCATATTGGCCCTTATAGTGGAGAAGGCAGACATGCTGAAGACCATATATGTATATGAAAGATTCACATTTAGATGAAAAACAGCCCCCACATGTGAGTTCCGGGGCCCCTTTGTGGGAGGGTGGAGGTGGGGAAACAAGAATATACCCACTGCCTATCCAAAGCATGTCATAAGAGTCGACTAATTGTGGGCTTCCTTCAAAGTTACAGTACATCTGCCTTTAGTCTTATTCCAGAATCTGAGCATTAAGTGCACATTTTTTTTACAAATCTGGTTTATTTGTATGCAGACTCTTGGTTCCTTGTTTCTCAGGCGGATGCACAGTGACTTTGAAGGAAGCCCCCAATTGGTCAGCTCTTATGACATGCTTAATTGAGGCGGAGGCAGTCACTGCTGCCTTCCGCTGGATTGAGAATCGGCTGTACACACATGCTGTGATTGTAACTGGCTCGCAGAGCATGTTGAGAAAAGTGGAGACAGGCATGCTCCGTACACAGCGGCAAGCATCACTTCAGAGGTCCTGGGTAGTTAGCATCCTTTGGATATTTTCTCCAGGTGATGCGGATGAGTTGGGAAATGAGCAGTCAGATAGACTGGCCGTTCTACAGCCCTTGGTGGTGAACTGATGCATGACAAGCTGGATGTTGTGAGGGCCCTTTGGGAGGGATTAAATAGTGCGGAGGCACAGATAGATCATTACGTTCTGAGGAGAATGGTGCTGCGAGGAGTTACCAGGGGATCTGGCTGGCGCTCAACACTCAGGAGAAAGGTGAGACGGATATACAGACTTTTACTGGTGCCATCGAAATTGGAACTCTTCGCTTGCTGCTGAAGATAGGGACGGAGCGCTTATGGCAGTCTCCCCAGTGCTATGCTGTTAATTCTTTATTTAATATTCAACATTTTATGACAAACTTGTTGAGGAGGCAGTGGGTCTATTCTTGTGTTCCCCACAATGGGGTCCCAGGAACCCATACGGGGAAACCTGTTTCATAACCTATAACTCATAACAAAAACATAAATGTCTCATTTCCACAGTTTCTGGTGAAATATCTCAGGCAACACAAGCCTGGCTGGTCTGTGATGGGCTGGACACAGTTGCAGCTGTGGTGGTCAATGGGAAGGTTGTTGGCAGATCAGACAACATGTTTGTGAGGTCAGCCTTTAACCTGACCGGAGTTGTCCAGGTATTTTCAGTGTATATTATCCCCATGTGGGATTTAGGGCCAGATTTGGGAGTGGGGGAGATAAACCCACTGAAACAACCCCCTCCTTGTCCCCCCCCTCCCCCCATAAGCGTGAAATAAATGTTGTTGAATGTTGAATTAAGAATCGACATCACAGTACTCGGGACACCTCCATAAGCACTCCATCTTCAGCATCAAGCGAAGAAAAAAAATTCTGATGGTGCCAGTAACTGTCGGATTGTGTATCCGTCATACCTTTTCCCTGGGTGTTGAGCGTCAGCCTGATCCCCTTGTAACTCTTCGCAGTGCCATTCTCCTCAGACCGTAATGATCTATTTATGCCTCAGCATTGTTCACTCACTCCCAAAGGGCCCTCACAACATCCAGCTTGTCATACATCAGTTCACCACCAAGTGGTGCAGAACCAGCCCATCTGTCAGCCTCCTCATTTCCCAACACACCGACATGACCTGGAGAAAATATCCAAAGGATGCTAACTACCTGGGACATGTAATAAAAGCATGTAATAATAAACGACTGAGTAAGAATGTGTTGAAAGTCTGATGTATTGGACCAAAAGGTACTTATGTGTGTTTCGAGCTCCATTGTGGGGGGAAAACAGGAGTAGACTCACTACCCTCCTAACAAGTATGTTATAAACTAATTAGGGGTGTTTCCTTGTTGACTAATTTGTGGTCTTTCCTTGTCGACCAATTAGGGGTGTTTCCTTGTCGACCAATTAGGAGTGTTTCCTTGTCAACTAATTAGGGGTCTTTCCTTGTCAACCAATTAGGGGTCTTTCCTTGTCAACTAATTAGGGTGTTTCCTTGTCGACCAATTAGGGGTGTTTCCTTGAAAATTTAAGTGTATCTGCCTGAGAGACAAGGAACCAACAATCTGCTCACAAATAAGCCAGGTCTGTTAAATGGATGTGCATGGAAAAAGACCAACGTCTAAAGGTGGGCGAACAACCAGAACTTTCCAGTGGAGTTCACAGCTGGTGAAGACAAAGAAGAAGATGAGGACCAAAAATCACACTTGTCGGCAGCATACTATATATAAATCATGACACAAAATAGCAGCAGCTGTCCTTTTGAGGCCAAACGGAGAAGAAGATGGGAATGTTTACAAAGTTAGTTGCATATCCTTTAAATACGGTTGTAGATCTTACTCCAGCATTTTTTTTTGGCTGTGTGTAGTTTTACAAGGGAAGTTTTACATAGTCGTTTGCCATTGCTTTTTGCAAATTTGGGGCCGTATACCATGGTTGCAATCAGCACACTCAGGTCTGCTGCTGTATTGCCTCCAGCTTAATCAAATTGGGTATTTTGGAATTACGAAGCATGTTAGCAATACCTCTGCCACAGACACAGACATATAAGAAGGGCTAATTAGAGCAGACTGAAGAAAACTTAGAAGGGAACTGGAACTTATATCATCATTATTTTCATAATGTTCCTTTCCCCTTGTTGGTTCTGTGGCTCCATTTTATGATTTTTCAAAAGTGGTACACTGTAGCCAGTCTTCATTGTGGTGACAGCACAGACATTTATATATTTATGGCTTTTTAAAGAGTATGCCTTTTGATTTGGCCAAAATATAAAGCATTGAAAATAAGGAATACATGACACCACGCAGCATAAGAGAGGCAATAATCCTAATTGAAGTTTGGGTAAAGGAGGGGGAGGGTGGACCCAACTGTCCGTATACTGCCACACTCAGTGTCTCGAGGTATCTATGTGGCTTGCTTCTCTTAAGGGCTGATCAGTTTTATATAGCTTCTCTGAACAGGGGGCTAGGGGGGAGAGGGAAACCACATGTAAGCTAGGAAACGAAAATGACCACACAGCAATGACACTGCAGTGTCCCATGAAACTAATCGGAAAGGCTAACCCGGGGCATTAAATGCCTACAGAAGTTGGATGTGTCGGCTGAAAGGCACAAATATTGCAACACAAATATTGCAACACATTTGCATCTTCAGATGAACACAGAAAAAGAAGAAGAATTGATTTTGTAATTGCTTGTTCATTGTCCATGCTTATTCATGTTTAACCCTATAGTCATCTTCTTCTTTTGTTTACTTTCTGATTTACACTGACAGACAAGTTCTTGTGATAAGCTTGACTGTTTTTAGGGGTTCCCTTTTAGTTCCATGCAACTTTGAATGCAGTGTTGACTCGTTGGGCCAGTATTACCTTCTTAATGGGCTGTGCAAGAGACATTCTTGCAAAACATGTTCTGTAGTTTGCACACACAGCCCACAAGGCCACAATAGTGAACTACTTAGATGAAGCCTGTGCATGTGCTTGTTAAGTTTAACCCTATAGAAAGATTGAATATGTGTGTATGTATATGTGTATGTATATGTGTATGCAGATGTGTGCGTATGCAAATGACAGGTTATTTGATTCTATTGCACACTTTTTACTTAACCACATATTTATTTTTGCCTGGTTGCTCACTATTTGTTTATTTCTTTTGCTAGAGTGGAGACAATATATTAGCCGTTAATTTCACCTCTGCTGTCAGCGAGGCCCTGGCCAGGGTTAAAAACTCTCCTTATGATGTTGGACCAGATTGCCCACCCCCAGCTCAGCATGGACAGTGTCATGTCAATCAGATCAGGAAGGAACAGTGTTCCTTCAGCTGGGACTGGGGCCCCTCGTTTCCTACACAGGGTATTTGGTAGGTTCACTACTAAAACAAAGTGACCATCTCATTATCTGTACCGCATTTTCCTTGTATAAGACGAGATGTTTTCCCAAATGTTTGTAAGTTTATAATATTTTTTCCTAATAAAAAAAACAGTAAAGGACCCTTTTCCTCGCCTTTAGGCATATAGGGCTAGACCTATATTTTATAGACCAGTCGGCACAAGATGGGTGATGTGGTCAGCATAACGCCAGCCGCCTTTACTTCAAAGGAATGCACCCAGTACCCACTCAAGGCTGGGTTGACCTGGGAGCCAAGGTTAATTTTGAAAAAAGTCCGGCTCCGCCAGGCAGCAAACCCACGGCCTTCCAATCCGCGGCGGGCGTATAGCGGCTCCGCCATTCCGACTCCCTACTTTCATAATTATTGAACTAAAAAAACAGGGATCATTTTAAACATGGGGGCTTCTTTTGCCTGGAGAATACTGTATATGATTTAGTGTGGTTGTGGTTAGGTGTGTGTGTGTGAATGTGTGGGTGGGGGAGAAAGAAGGAACAGAAACAGGAAAATAATAAGCAGCAGTAACAGAGAGGAAGCAGCAATAGGAAACGAAGAAAGGAAGGCAGAAGAAGGAGAAGAAGAAAAAGATAGAGGAGGAAAAAAAAGGAGGATGGTGAAGAAAAATAGAAGATTAAAAGAAGGAGGAAAAGAAGGAGCAGTGATGCATCTTATGGAGTAATGATGCTCAATACAAGACTTTTAATGGCTCCCACCCTTTCTTGCTCAAGCCTTCCTCACCATCACATTGTGGTCCTTGTTCTGTCTAATAATCCAATAGAAAGTTGGGGTTTCAACTCCTAGTAGGGAAATTGGATGGGACAGCAGATGAAGTGAGCAAAATCATTCTTCCATGTTGTGAGTTCTCTTTTTCTGTAGTTGGAAATACTGGGCCAGAAGATGGATAAACAGCTACAGAATTATGCAGCTCTTGAATGCAAACACAAACAGAAGCACTTCTAATTCCTTCATGCTGTTTGAAAGTAGGACTGTGAAGATAGAGGGTGTCATCTGCATATCTGAGTTTATTCTGGAAATTTACGGGGAAATATATCATGATAATGTTTTTTATTTACTCTTTTTTTTCAGATGATTCTGTCCATTAGCTTTTCATTGTTGTCTATACACACAAGATGACATATTTGTCCAACTTAACATAAATAAATGTCATTTACAGGAAGTCTATCTACATTGATGCTTACAGTAATGCAATTATTCGGGATATTTCTGCAGTGGTTCAGAAAGGTAAATTTAAAATATGTTTACAAGTACACTGACTAGAACTTCCTTATACTGGATCTCACAAGGTCAGAGGAATAAAGACAGACCAACAGAATATATCATCATCAGTCAACAGGTCCTTTACCAAACGCCACTTTTGTCATCGCACACCTGAAAGTTCGCCTTTATCTAGCAATTCTCAAGCCCTATGTGCTGCCTCTGCCTCTTTTTGGAGAAACTAGCCTCCATCACTGTTCTCTTGAGTCCACCATGACATTCAGAAGTTTTTTTAGCCAGTTCTCCTCAATTTCTTAGCCTGTTTGGGATGTCTGTGTTTTTCTTCTTCTTTGTCCGTGGTTTAAAAAAAAAATTATGTAAAATCTGTGTAGGGAAAGGCGAGATGGATGTACAATCAGACAGGTACTGGTGCCATGAAATTGGAACTCTTTGCTTGCCGCTGAAGATGGGGAGTGATTGCTTATGGGAGTGTTCTGAGTGCTGTTTTGTCGATTCCTAATTCAACATTCTTGTAAAATTTATGTTTAAAAAAAATTCATATTTTTCTTCTTCATTTCTTCTTCTGCGTTCGATATCAGTCATGCTAAACATTGAGTTCAGTCTGGGTCACAAATAGGATTGTGCGTTTAGCTTCTCTTGCAATGTGGCTCCCTTGGGCCAGATCCACAGTCTTTGCTGCGAGAGGTAAGGACAGTACTATAGTACGTGCCCAGGGGTCTGTCTTTCTGCTCCACAATCACAGGCAGCAGATTCTTTTATGCCTATCCTGTACAAGTGTGCTCGAAGACCACAGTGTCCAGCCCGAAGTCTAAACATTGATGTTTGTTCTTTCCTGTTGAGTTTGTCTTCTTCATTGATTGAATAAGAGTCTATGACTCACATCCATCAGTTCCCCATGTGGGTTCTGGGGCCCTATTATAGGGAAAACAAGAATAGACCCACTGCCTACCCAAAAGCGTGTCGTTAGAGTAGACTAATTAGGAGCTTCCTTCGAAGTCAGAGTACATCTACCTGAGAGGCAAGGAACCAGCAGTCTGCATACAAATGAGTCAGATCTGTAAAACGGATGCATACGCAACACTCAGGTTCTGGAACAGGACTGCAGTCCAGAAGTGGATAAACAACAAGAACTTTCTGCCGCAGTTTACAGCTGGTGAAGGCAAAGAAGAAGAAGAAGACATCCATCAGTTGCCCCGGAAAGGATGCATGATCTCAAAATATTTACTTGAACTCGCTTGCAGGTGCTATGCAATAGGTTATTTAGGGAATCAGCTTCTTCTTCAGTAGTGATTTCTAGATGTCGCCATAAGTTGTTTCGCAGCTGCTCAAAGAAAGAACCATCTGGCATGTCATATTCTGGAGCCTGTTCATCATGAAGACTCTGGCAGAGAGCTGTTTGCTACTTGTTATCTAAATCAACATCCCAGTACATCTGTCCAACCCATTGAAGAGAGCTGGGTAGCTTATACCTTGAGTTGAGTTGATTTAAGAACAGACATCACATCACTCGGGGCATTCTTATAAGTGTTCCGTCCCCATCTTCAGCAGCCAGTAAAGGATTCTGATACTAATGGTGCCAGTAGCATGCTGATTAAATGTCCGCATTACCTTCCCTCTAAGCCTCGAGCATCTGGCAGAACCTCTCGTCACTCCCCACTGCATCAATCTCACCAGACTGTGGTGATCCATTTGCTTCTCCAAACTGTACGCGCTCTCCCACAAGGCACTAACTATGTCTGCCTTATCATGCATCAGCTTTCCACCAAGTTGTGCAGAGCCAGCCAGTCTGCCTGCCTGTTCATTTCCCAAAACACTGGCGTATCCCGGTGAAAAAATCCAGAAAGACTTGGTGTGAGCTGGTGAAGGATCTATGCTCCTTTGGAAGGTAAGAAGCAGAAGAAGAAGAAGAAGAACAAGGCCTCTGTTGTTTAGCATACGCCAACTTTAGTAATTAATAATGTGGATGCATGAAAAACCTTACTTGATAGGAGGCATTGACAGGTGTAACTTTGGGATCGGTACAGTTACAGGTAAACATTTGCTGCAAGAGTGTCCAACATATGCGCACGCATGCACACACACATGCGCGCACACATAAACACTCAATTAGAATAAGAAGTCAAACACCCATTTGAAGGCAAACTGTCCAGAGATCAGCTTCTTCATGCTAACTGTTGCTTTAAAAAAAAATATGGCTGAAGGCGGTAACAAGAAAAAAAAAAAAAAGAAAAAGAGGAATAAAATCCTCATTTAATTTCTCTTGAATCTCTTTAACTTACAAGGCTAATAGTATCATTGGCCATGGAAAGTATTATACATAGGCTACAAAAATGTATCATTACTTACTCCTTAAACTTTTCCCCGCAGTTAATCTTCAGTGGGTGGTCCTTCTTGATGTCTTCTTTGATGTGGACCTTATCAGAGAGGTCACAGGTCAACTAAATGTCACTTTGGCAGACCTGAACTTGAGCTATAGCCAGCAGGTGACCGTCTCACCGAGAAATAGCAGCATTAAACTGCCTCTGGCGGTTCCAACGGTGAGTCTTTCCATCTGATGCATGCATGTTTGACATTCCATGTATTCGATTTGAAAATGCGCACACAATAAATGTATTTGACAGTTGCTAGAGACGCCAAAGCCAACAGTCACACCAGAAATGCAGTTGGTCGTTGATAGAAGTAGTCGGGCAAAAGTTGGCTATACACACATAGAATTATTAGATAAGGTGTTTCCCCAGCCCACACATAAACTAGCTGGCAACCATATTGAATATCACAACTCAGCCGCTGCACAGATGAAGGATATTTCACATGAAGAAAAAAAACAGATCACAGTGCTGAACCAAACACTTAACTCAGTAGCTCAAGCAGCGAAACTGTAGACTATCGTCTATATGTGAAAACTGCATTATCAAAGCGCTGTTGGAAGAACAAAAAAACTTTAAAGCTTAAAATTATGTCATTCCTAGTCCTCCATTTTAGACCGGATCTACCCCTGCCTTCCCTTGAGGGCTGAACAGCTAGCGCATGGCTGCCCAGGAAGGTTCTCAATGGCAACACCTGTAGGTAAAGTGATAAAGAGGTAAGGCTACAACCTGTCCCATGAAACCAAACAGGGAGGCTAGCCAGGTGAAAAGACGCCCGATGAAGTCAGATGTGTCATCCGAAAGGTGCAAATATCATAGCTTTGCCGTAAACAGGAAAAACACAGATTACATCACTCAGAAAAACAGTGAAGAAGAAGAAATGGGTATCAGGAAATAAGTTAGACTACATCACTTGTTCTTCTTCTTCTTCTTCTTGTGTTCGCTTTCTGATTTACACTGACAGACAGGTTCTTGTGATAAACTTGACTGTTTTAATGAGTTCATTTTTAGTCCCATACAACTTTGTGTACAGTGGTGACTCACTGGGCCAGTATTCCTTTCTTAATGGGCTGAACAAGGGACAGTCTTGCAGGACATGTTCTGTAGTCTGCACACATAGCCCACAAGGGCAAAAAGGTGAACTACTTAGACGAAGCCTGTGCATATGCTGGTTAAGTTTGTTATGTCCTGTCCTGAGACGTAGGACAATGACCTGCCCATGCCGGTCAAGTAAGTGGTAGTCATCTCTGGCCAGACTCTGTTCACTTCTGATAGCCTGGATGGCCCTTTTCTTCTCATAGTATGTTACTGCATTCTCTTCTTGGTCACATTCTGCCCCTTTTTTAGCAAGTTTATCTGCGGTTTCGTTTCCTGGTATACCACAGTGGGATGGCACCCACTGGAGTACAGTACACTTTTGGGCAGCCACCTTGCCAAGTTTAGATCTCAAGTGAGGGAGTTTGCCACTCTTGAGGGCTTGAAGCACTGAAAGCGCATCTGTGAATATAACCACTTGGTGGCAGTCAGAACTGGTGTTGTGTAACATTTCGGCAGCCTGCTCTAGTGCTACAATCTCTGCTGTGTAGTTGGAACAGAATTTACCAGTGGGTATCCACTTTGTGTGGCGGTGGTTGCCTGGGTATGTAATAAAGACTCCAGCACCCCCATTTTTAACCGCGCTGGTTGCTGATCCATCTGTGTAAATATGTATCCATGACTGTTCGGGATAGTTTTCATGAATCATGCTAAGAGCAGCTGTTCGTTTTTGAAGATCATTGGACTCATCTCCAGTTGTGAATCCATTGACTGAAGTCATTATCTGTATTGTATCACTGACTTGCTCCCAAGGTACAGGGTATAGGGTAGGTTTTCAGCGGTGTTGTTCTAATAGGTAGATCAGCTTGGTACTGTCTTCTAAGTCTTTCCCCCGATGGACAAAGCTGCTACGTTTGAGACGCCCTAATGCCAGATCATCTAACCTTTTATTCATTGGGTGTGACTGCATACTATTAAACTTCTCCATCTGGATCATAGTTTTAGTGTCTCTTCTATAGGACAATGTCTGCATTGCAGTTATTTTCTGCATCTTCAGGATTGGTGCAGTTTTCATGGATCCTGTGATGAGTCTAAGAGCTTGATTTTGCACTCTGTCTAACGATTGTAGGTGGGAATTAGCAGCTGTTGACCATGCTGTTGCACCAAACTCCAAGTGGGGTCTTATCGCTCCATTATAAACTTTCTTTAGGGTTTTTCCATTTGCTCCCCATCCTGTACCTGCCAATTTTCTAAGTAGGCCTAGTCGTCTCCTGGCCTTCCCTTCTACATTTTCTATATGTTTGCTCCATGTGAGCCTTTTATCAAATGTTACTCCAAGATAAGTGGGGAAGCTTTCTTCCTTTAGCAAGGATGTTCCTAGGTGAATACTAGCAGCTTTGTCCCTGGTAGAAAGAGAGAAAAGCGTTGTGGATGTTTTGTCTGTGTTGATGGCAACATGCCATTTTTTCTGCCCATGTCATCAAGAGATCTGCTGCTCGCTGCATTCTTATATTTGCCACTGTGGTGTGTTCATCGGTACACCAGAGTGCCAGATCATCTGCATACAGGGCAGCTTTTACTCCTGTAGGGAGGTCTTTCACCAGATCATTTATATACACAAGAAAGAGAGTTGGAGAGATAACTCCTCCCTGTGGTACTCCTTGCCGAAGTAACACTTTTCTACTCTGCTGGCCATCAAGACTGACTCTAGTTCTTCTGCTGTGTAAGAAGGATTGGATCCATTTTAGCATGTTTCCTTGGATTCCATTTCTCTTCAGTTTTGCAATGAGACCATCTTTCCAGACTTTGTCAAAAGCTTGTTTGAAGTCAACCCATACCGCCAGGACCTTTTTCTTCTCTTGGAAGGCATCCTCTACAGCTTGTGACAGGTAGGTGACTTGATCTTCTATGCTGTGACATTCCCTAAACCCAGCCTGCTCTGGCACCAAGATCTGCTCAGATTCTAAGTGCCATTTCAGTCTTGAATTTACAATTCTTTCCAATGTCTTTCCTACACAGCTTGTGAGACTAATTGGGCGATAGCTCGAAGCCTGTGTCTTAATTTTTCCTTTTTTTAAAATGGGTATTGTGATGGCTTCTCTCCATACTTGAGGCACTAAACCTTTCTCCCAGCTGATGTTGAAAATTTCCAGCAGCTTTACTTTAGCAGATGAGGTCAGGTTGATTAGCATTTCGTTGCTGATTTCATCCGGACCTGCAGACTTTTTTAACTTAAGCCTAAAGATGGCATTTTGTAGTTCACCCATGGTAAATGGCTCCCTCATAGAGGCAGGAGTATCTGTCTGTCTCTTATTTGTTTGTTTGCTTGTTTGTATTTCTTTCCTTATTTCTCTCTGATGGTCCTCATTAAGGGTCAGGTTGCTTTCAACACTGAATGTTTTGGCAAACAAATCTGCAGCTTGTTTTCCTCTGAAGATTTTGTCACCATCACTTAGCGTGATTGTTTGTCTAGGCGAGAAACTCTCTTCATTGAGTGATTTGGCTAATCTCCAGAGTTTCTTGCCATCTTTATCAAGGTTTAGAGCTGCTGTTTTATTTCTCCAGCTTTTCCGTTTTTCTTCAAGTTTAGTTCTCTGGAACACTGCTACAGCCCTTTTTTTTTGATGTGGTTGTCAGGTGAAGGTTGGGATTCTGCATCCTTTCTAGTCTGATTCATTGTTTCCTGGCATTCCTGGAGTGTGCTGGACCAGTACGGTCTATAGTTGTGTCGACAGCCTCTGGGGATTGCTTCTTTTGCAGCTTGTAGAATACTTCTATTGAAATCGTGCACTATAGCATTGATATCCCTATTTTGTACCTTGAGAGCAGACAACAATGTGCTTGTCCTGTGTCTGTACAGGCCCCAGTTGGCTTTTCTTGTAGTTCCATCTTGTGATGACTGGGCCTGTATTAACTGGTACATTCTGGACAGTGAGAAAAATCGGGCGATGGTCACTGCCCCCAAGCTGGTCTCCCACCTCTCTACTTATCATTCCAGATATATCTGGGGTAGAGAAGGCAAGATCTGGGGTCGACGTTGTCTGCCACCTTCTGGAGTAGAAGGTAGGCGTATCTGAGGGGGCATTTATCAGGATCAGAGAGTGGTCATCTTGCCATGTTTCCACCTCTTCACCCTATTGTCGAGATGGTTATAGCCCCAGCTCTGTGAATGACTGTTGAAGTCTCCAACTGCAATAAAGTTGGTGTTTGGTACTGGCACAGAGCTGAGGTTTAGCGATTTGTCATTGGGACAGTAGTAATTAAGGAGTTCTAATTCCACTTTGTCTGTCTTAAGCTGCAGGAGTTGGTACTCAGCTCCATCCATATAAGACATTTTCTCGCATGGATGGATACTGTTTTTCACAAGGGTGAGTACTCCTCCTTTTCGCCTGCCTTGTCTGTCAGATCTGAAGCATTGGTAGCCTCTCACTTTAAATATCTGATCTGCCTGCAAATGGGTCTCTTGGATGCAGCATACACTGACATGCTTTTCATAGAGGATGTTTTCCAGCTCCAACTTTTTGCTGTAGCCAGCCTGCTTACTGCTGACCCCCTCTGCATTCCAGTGCATAATGACAAAAGGCAATTTGGGATCTTTTCTGTCTAACTGGTTTTGGTCAGTAGCTATCCTCCGCCGTCTCCTGACTCCACAAGACGGTCTAGGAGGTCCTCCAGTAGCTGGGGGTGGATTCTGTCGAGGCTCAGAACCCGGCACTGCACCTGCCTGGTGGAGTTCCACAGGGCGAGCACCAACATTAAATTTGTCTGACGGTGTAAACATATATATAGCGTGGGGTTGCGTAGTACTGTGGTTTTTGATCCGCTCTCTGGCCCAGTATTTCCGACTTCAGGATCTCTTGGGAGGGAGAGTAGGCTCATCCCTTCGCCTTTACCTCGTTTGTTGTCCCATCCAGTTTCCCGCTGGGGGTTAAGACCCCAACCTTCAACTGGATTGCTGGGAAGAACAGGGTCCACCACGTGAAGGTGAGGTAGGCTTGAGCAAGAGAGGCTAATAGACATTAAGAGTCTTGTATTGCGCATCATTGCTCCATTTGGACCCCATCACTTGTTGAATGCCGATAGTCTTATTGAAATACAAGTCTAGTCCTTTAACTTTCTTTCTCCCAAGACTTGAATATCGTACCTGTCAGGCTGTTCCTCTTCTTCTTCTTCATCGTTTATCTGAGGGAGGTAAATGCATTGTGCTTACTTACACATAGCTGCTATATTTGAGCCTTTTGGCTGACACATCTGTCTTCTTTAGCTATTTGTTATCGAGGCTAGCCTTCTAGATTTAGTTTTGTGGCACATTTATATCCTTAAATGTGTGGTGACTTCAACATCTCCTGATCCAGAGGTATTGTTTTTCAAAAACAACCTTGGTTTCCAGGTCGACTCAGCCTTAAATGAGCACCAGGTAAAGTTCTAGGAAGTAAAGGTGGCCGGCGTGATGGTGACCCATCATCCAAAATGCTGATTAGTCTATAAAGGTTGGGTCTAGCCAAAATGCCCAATTCATCTGAAGGGATAAAAACAGAGTCCTTTTCTTTACTTTGTACTTATGTTCTATTCATACATTGATGGGTCGAGACAAAACTGCTTACCCGATCTATGATTGTGGTAATCATTTGAAATGGCAAAAAATTACCACCTACACTTATAGGCAGGGTAGATGATGATAATGATGTGTTCTCCCATCTTTGTCTATTTTAGTTTGATAATTGCAGATCCTCTACAGTCATGATCTTTAACCTGTGGACTGGTTCCACTCTGCAGAAATTTCCTGGCAGCCTGCTTAAAATGTCTACCTGATTGTGGTTGAACACTTTCACCTCAGTGACCTAGAAAAAACACAAAGCCAAAGACCGTAAATTGGAATTTTCTTGAAAAAATATTCCTTTAAAAAAGGCATTTTAAACAGTTCGCACACACACACAAATTATCACATGAATTGGTGAATTGTGAGCCCAAGGATTTAGGGCATGTTGTAACAGTCAACTATTTAAGAGATTCCTTTAAAATCAGAGTATGTCTGCCTGAGAGGCATGGAACCAGCACTCTGTAAACAAATTAACCAGATAATGTAGAATGGATATGAATGCAAACAAGTTCTGGAGTAGATGTAGAACTGGAACTTTCCATCAGAGTTTACAGCCAGGGAGCGCTAAGAAGAAGAAGAAGAATTCGTACAAGTTTTGTCTTTTCCTTTGAATTTGTAAATATAATTTCTTCTTCTTCTTCGCATTTACCGTCTGTAACTCTGGTTGAAAGTTCTTTAACCCCTGAACCACATGATGAAGATGTAAATTCAAATGGTTTACTTATGTTGTTTTTCTGTGACAGACAATAACTGTACCACTGTGGTGGCCAAACGGCTATGGTGACCAGCCGTTATTTAACCTCACTGTGTCCTTCACCTCAGGGTCAGACACATCCCAGAAATCTATCAAAATTGGGTTTAGAACTGTGGAACTTGTGCAGGAGCCCGTGTCAAATCGGACAGAGGATGGTTTGTAGTTTGTCGTTGATATTCTTAGTTTATGCCTTCTGTATAACACCTAATGTTGTAGTTTGTCACTGATATCCTTAGTTTATTCCTTCTGTATAACACCTAATGTTGTAGTTTGTCATTGATATTCTTAGTTTATGCCTTCTGTATAACACCTAATGTTGTAGTTTGTCACTGATATCCTTAGTTTATTCCTTCTGTATAACACCTAATGTTGTAGTTTGTCATTGATATTCTTAGTTTATGCCTTCTGTATAACACCTAATGTTGTAGTTTGTCATTGATATTCTTAGTTTATGCCTTGTGTATAACACCTAATGTTGTAATTTGTCGTTGATATTCTTAGTTTATGCCTTCTGTATAACACCTAATGTTGTAATTTGTCGTTGGTATTCTTAGTTTATGCCTTGTGTATAACACCTAATGTTGTAGTCTGTCACTGGTGTTCTTAGTTTATGCCTTGTATATAACACCTAATGTTGTAGTCTGTCACTGGTGTTCTTAGTTTATGCCTTGTGTATAACACCTAATGTTGTAGTCTGTCGTTGATATTCTTAGTTTATGCCTTCTGTAGAACACCTAATGTTGTAGTCTGTCGTTGATATCTTAGTTTATGCCTTCTGTATAACACCTAATGTTGTAGTTTGTCATTGATATTCTTAGTTTATGCCTTGTATATAACACCTAATGTTGTAGTTTGTCATTGATATTCTTAGTTTATGCCTTCTGTATAACACCTAATGTTGTAGTTTGTCACTGATATTCTTAGTTTATGCCTTCTGTATAACACCTAATGTTGTAGTTTGTCGTTGATATCTTAGTTTATGCCTTGTGTATAACACCTACTGTTGTAGTTTGTCGTTGATATTCTTAGTTTATGCCTTCTGTATAACACCTACTGTTGTAGTTTGTCGTTGATATTCTTAGTTTATGCCTTCTGTATAACACCTAATGTTGTAGTTTGTCGTTGATATCTTAGTTTATGCCTTGTGTGTAACACCTAATGTTGTAGTTTGTCACTGATATTCTTAGTTTATGCCTTCTGTATAACACCTAATGTTGTAGTTTGTCGTTGATATTCTTAGTTTATGCCTTGTGTGTAACACCTAATGTTGTAGTTTGTCACTGATATTCTTAGTTTATGCCTTCTGTATAACACCTAATGTTGTAGTTTGTCGTTGATATTCTTAGTTTATGCCTTGTGTATAACACCTAATGTTGTAGTTTGTCACTGATATTCTTAGTTTATGCCTTCTGTATAACACCTAATGTTGTAGTTTGTCGTTGATATTCTTAGTATATGCCTTGTGTATAACACCTAATGTTGTAGTTTGTCGTTGATATTCTTAGTTTATGCCTTCTGTATAACACCTAATGTTGTAGTTTGTCGTTGATATTCTTAGTTTATGCCTTGTGTATAACACCTAATGTTGTAGTTTGTCGTTGATATTCTTAGTTTATGCCTTCTGTATAACACCTAATGTTGTAGTTTGTCGTTGATATTCTTAGTATATGCCTTGTGTATAACACCTAATGTTGTAGTTTGTCGTTGATATTCTTAGTTTATGCCTTCTGTATAACACCTAATGTTGTAGTTTGTCGTTGATATTCTTAGTTTATGCCTTGTGTATAACACCTAATGTTGTAGTTTGTCGTTGATATTCTTAGTTTATGCCTTCGGTATAACACCTAATGTTGTAGTTTGTCGTTGATATTCTTAGTTTATGCCTTCTGTATAACACCTAATGTTGTAGTTTGTCGTTGATATTCTTAGTATATGCCTTGTGTATAACACCTAATGTTGTAGTTTGTCGTTGATATTCTTAGTTTATGCCTTCGGTATAACACCTAATGTTGTAGTTTGTCGTTGATATTCTTAGTTTATGCCTTGTGTATAACACCTAATGTTGTAGTTTGTCGTTGATATTCTTAGTTTATGCCTTGTGTATAACACCTAATTGCCTTTTGTAAAACTTGTGTAGTACTTGTGCTTTAGGAAGAACATGTGCCGTATGAAAAACATGTGCCACCATGAAGAACCTGTGCTTAATGAAGAACTTGTGCCTTATAAAGAACTTGTGCCTTTTGAAGAACTTGTACCTTATGAAGAACGTGTGCCTCATGAAAATTGTGTGCCTTATCAAGAACTTGTGCCTTAAGAAGAACTTGTGTCTTAAGAAGAACTTGTAGAGAATATAGAAAAAAGATGAAAGTCAGTCAGTTCAACTACTTCTAGTGTGACAATGAGAAAGCAGCACTGTTATTTATTTTCTCCAATCAACATGTGGGTTCAGAGGCCCCATTTTTATGGAAAAACGGAATAGACCCACTGCTCCCCTGATAATATTTGCATGTCTATTTAGTTTCTAATGGCAGGAGTCCATTAAGTGAAGATTGAAATCATTTATATCGTCCGTGCAGAAAATAGTGATTTATTACCGTACCTATAATAATCATCATCATCTTGTGACGTGCACTGTGAATGACATTAAACTGTCTCCCGCAAACAGCGGCTAAGCAAAAACCTCACAAAGAGAAAATCGTTTCTATTATTATCCTCATAAAGAGAAAACAGCCAACACAATGTTTCCGCTAACCCGCGGAAACACACGTCTGACTTTGACGCTCACAAAATCTCAACTGCTGTCCCTTTGTCTTCTATCTCCAGAATTCAGTTAGGTCGTATAATAACCTTCGCCTAGATAACGACTAGTGGCCGCTGTGTGACCTTTACCTGTGCTGTTCCTGCTAGATGACATTTTAACTCTCGGCCAAATGAGACTACAACACTGCTGCATCGGAGGACTGAGCGCACATGGGAATGCTCTGGATGCAAAGTCATCGAATGTGATAACATGACAACAAAACATAACATTATTAAAACTCACTTATTTTAAGCCATGACATAATGAGATGGAGGGGTCAGTTCCCTTCCTCATTAACATATTTTAAATGCTTCAAACTATGTTTTGAAACATCAAATTTGTATTACCTTTCAGGTTTAACTTTTTATTTCCGAATAAATGGCAATCCCATTTTTCTGAAGGGAAGTAACTGGATCCCTGCTGATAGCTTTCAGGAAAGGATAACTCAGAAAGAACTCTTCTTCTTGCTTGGATCTGCAGCAAATGTCAGCATTAATTCATTACGTGTTTGGGGAGGTGGGGTAAGTTATGTTTTTTTTTTCAGTCTCACTTCATTTAGTTTTAGTTTTTTTGGAACCTGTTGGTATTTCCTTTAAAGTAAAAGGCCTTTTTCATGTCGTTTGTGCCTCAGGCATATAATTTTAGGCTCTTGTTTTGATTGATGGATGGCAAAGTTACATTCAGGATCTCTTTTTCTATTCTGATAGAGTGATAGGAGTAGAAGAGTGACTGTTAGGGAGAGAAAGAGTTTGGGAGTGACAGGGCGAGAGAGAGGAGGTCGAGAAAGGGGGGGGGGGGTATATTGGGCATGTGCTGTAGAATGATATTTTTGAATCTTTCACTATAATTTCTAACATGTGACAAGGTAGCTTAATTTTTAATTAAAATAAAAGTTTGAAATATAAAAAGGGAGCAGAAAACCACTGTATATGCCAGCCATCTTTACTTTCAAGAACGTTTACTGGTGTCTGTGTAAATTGCGTCTGCAAATATACCTGCCTCAGAGGGAATTTAAACACTTGATTACCAGGCTGGTTGATGCTTATTGATAGTCTTCATCTTCTTCTTCTTTGTCAGGAAACAAATCAGGAGGTCGGTAGCTGTTCCAACTTCCTGGCAAACAGGTCACCACACAGTTGCTCGGTTCCTGTACCAGCATAAACCGCACAGAATTTCTATCACTGTCCCATGTGGAAAAAAAAAAAAAAAAATTGGACATTGCAGTCCTGACGAAAACCAAAATCAGAAAACATTAATGCTTAATGTAGCTGCCAACAGTGCCAACACCAATAGTCCACCACTAGCATTGCAGTTCATCTTTGGTGAAAGAATCAGTCACACTCAAAATCAGCAGCTGCACATGCATTACTACATAAAAGCACTAGCAGTTCTTTTCTAACAAGCCATCCATTATTTTCTGACTATGGACTTCACTAACCAAGCCATCTTAGCCCTAGTCAGAAAGTGCTCTTTGTGAAATCCATAGCTCACTGTGTCACACCATGCACTCAGCTTAGTAGCGGGGTGATGAAACCATGTACTTCAAAATAGCATATGGAGATAAATACACCAGAAAAATATGACCCGAAGCAAATAACACCCCAAGACTTTTACAGAGGGTTCTACCTATTAGCCATATATGACTAGAAATCAGTTTGTTAGTTACAGCCTATTTACATTTTTAGAGATATTTGTATGCGACTGCTGATGATGACTGTGATATGTCGTCTTCTGCCTTCCTAACCGCAGTGGAGCATAGGCCCTCTACCAACTCATGCTAAGTTGTTCTATCCTTCGCTTTCGCATGCTGCTCTCCCCATGTCCTCCGCATCTGTTCAACTTCACTCTCTAGTTCCCTTCTCCATATGTTTTTTGGTCTTCCTTTATTTTTTTGCCCCTGTGAGTTCCAGTGCAAAAACATTCTAGTTATATTGTTCTCAGGTTGTCTCAGTGTGTGTCCTATCCAACGCCAGCGTCTTTTCTTCACCTCTTGGTCCAATGGAACTTGTTTAGTTCTCTCCCAAAGCTCTGCATCAGTGATTCTATCATACCATTTATTCCCTATATTCTGCTGAGGCACCAGTTAATGAATGTTTGTAGTTTATTAGCAATTGTTTTAGTTGTTCTCCATGTTTCCGTGATATGTACATTAATGAAATTGATAAACTGTTATATTCAGGTGTACGAATCGGAAGAATTCTACGACATCTGTGATCAGCTGGGTATCCTGATCTGGCAAGACTTCATGTTTAGTGTAGCCATGTATCCAGTGTATCCAGAGTTTTTGGACTCTGTATCCACAGAAGTTAGACATCAGGTGAGACAAGATATTTCCAACACAGGTGAACATTTTTGTTTGTGGGTCAGATGTCACATCTTCATGTGACAGGTGGACTGTGCGTTTTACAGGTGAAGTTTACCTGACAGGTTAGTTAGTTAGTTAGTCTTTCCTCTTGAGCCTAGGGCGGTGCATTGAGCAGAGCTCATAGCTCTCCATGTCTGGCGATTCGTTGACACCTGTTTTATGCTTTGGATGTTTGTTAAGCCCATGATTATACCTTTCCTGATAATGGTTCTACAGAGGGTCTCTCTTGGTCTTCTCCATTTTCTTTTTTCTTCCGGTGTCCAAATGAGGGCTTGTTGTAGGAGTCTTGTCATATCCATTCTGAATGCATGGATGATGTAGCTCCAGCGGCACTTTCTTTTTAAACTGGGTACATTATCTTACTTGGTCTGTTGTCTTATTTGCACATTGGATCTGAAATCTGTCCAGTAGAGATTTAGTATTCTTCTAAGACACCTAACAGGTGAACTAAGTTTATTGAACATGACATTTTCTATTACACAAAACATTGTCTTTATAGGCAAGATGGTTAGAAAAGATGGTTTTGAGTCAAGGAGAAGAGCTAATTACACTATGTGAACAGTTAAGGTTTTTTGGCACACTGTTATACTAATATCTCCTCTCAGAAGTTTGGGATCCCCTTGTGGGCACCGAGACCCCGCCCCGCTACAAGCATGTCATACAAGGCGACTAGTTAGGAATGTTTCCTTGGAAGTCGGAGTGCATCTGCTTGAGAGGCAAGGAGCCAGCAGTCTGCATACAATGAAGCGAGATCTGTAAAATGGATGTGCATGCAAAACTCCAGTTCTGGAACAATGCCAAAGACCAGTAATGGATGAACAACCAGAACTTTTCGCCTGAATTTACAGTCATTGAACATGAAGTGAAGAAAAAGATAATCTGTACTCTGTTCATGATGGTTTTTGAAATGTTACTTTATCATAATTGACAGTGGTACCGAGAGCTGACCATTCAGGAAGCAGTCGCAATCTACTGAACGTAAAATTTGCTTTGAAAACCACAACAGCCAAAAAAATTGCTGGGATTAGTTTTGCAATGCCTTGTAAAGGATACGCAACTAACTTTAACTTTATGTTGATCAGATCTAAGAGGTTTCTAAACATTCCTCCTCTTTCAGGTGAGAAGACTGAAGCATCGCCCATCTATCCTATGTTGGGCTGGCAACAATGAAAATGAACTAGGTTTACGCCAGAACTGGTTTGGAACCCGCAGTAGCTTTACCCTCTACTATGATAACTACGTAGAGTTGTATGTAAAAGTTATCAAGTCAATTGGTAAGTGTCTGGAGTAGTTTATGTCCTGAAAGCAGCATTTCACAGTATAATGCAGACTGCCTAAACTAATCTCAAATGTGTCGAATTTCTGCTGTGAAGAACAGTTTCTGTTACATATCACAAAACTCCCCCGTGTGGGTTCCGGGGCCCCATTGTCGGGAAAACAAGAATAGACCCACCGCCTCCCCAAAAGCATGTTGTAAGAGTCGACTAATTGGGGAGCTTCCTTTGAAGTCAGAGTGCATCTGCCGGAGAGGCAAGGAACCAACAGTCTGTATTCAAAAGAATGAGATCTGTAAAACTGATGCACATGCAACACTCAGATTCTGGAACAGGACTGCAGTTCAATAGTGGACGAGCAACCAGAACTTTCCGCCAGAGTATACAGCTGGTGAACGTGAAGAAGAAGAAGATATCACGAAACTCCCTGCACCTCTCACTGGATGCGAGATTTGCTGCGGGCTGTCCTGTATTTGAGGTGTAAACATTTTGTTATTTTCAATACTATAAGCATTCTGTATTCCGTGTTGTGAGTGGCCAGCACGTTTTGTTTTCCACGTCGTCAGCAGGGCGTCACTGTGTGTGTTACTTGTGTTGCGTATTCGCTCTTCATCGCCTTTGCTGCGATGTCACTTGGTGACTTGACTTTTGCCATGAATTTCCTTCACCTGGCAGCATTGGTGAGCTACCAGCGGAGTAGTGTTGCTTTTCACCCCCCAAATATATAACCTAGGTATTTTTAATTCCCGTACTTTTTTTATTGTACTACCTGTGACATGAACATTTCTTATTAGTCCGTTTATTTATTCTTCTTTGTATAGTAGTGATTAATAATACCATTGATGTTATCAGTGTATCAGTATGTCTATATATAAAGATCTTTACTTTTCTTTTTGTTCACAACATTTTGGGTACTCCAAGATTTGATGGGGAATTCCCCGGAAAGTCCAGTATTTTAGGTGGGGGTTAGGGTTATGTTAGTGTTAGTCTGCGTTTATTCAACACCGCTGTACTATTGAAATTTCCCCATAAATTCCGCATGAAATCTCAGTCTCCAAAAGGGGGTAAACAAAAAGAAAAGGACCAGTAAATCTTATTTATTTTCTTTTTCTTGTCTTCATCTCTTTCTTTATTTTGTGGTTTTTTATTTCCAGTCCAGGCAGAAGATTCTACCAGAGAGTATTTAACTTCTAGTCCTTCCGATGGGAAGGAAAGTGAACGGGAGGGTTATGTCGCCCAGAATCCTGCAAGTGAACTCTATGGAGATAGTAAGTTGGCACATTACTTCAGTTTTTGTACCTTGCCCTGAATGTTGAATCAAGAATCGACCTCACAACACTCAGGACACTTCCATAAATACTCCTTCCCTATCTTCAGCAGCATGCAAGGAAGTTCAAATTCAGACAGCACCAGCAATTGTCTGATTGTACATCCATCTCACCTTTCCCTTGAGTGTTGAGCATCAGCCAGATACCCTGGTAACTCCTCGCAGCACCATCCTCCTCAGACCGTAATGATTGATTTGCACCTCCGCTGCCTCCCAACGGACCCTTACAGCATCTAGCTTGTCATGAATCAGTTCCCCAAAAAGTTTGTTGTTTGTTTTAGTATCCAGAAGCCATGAGTTGTTAACCCTTAGGCTCAGAATTATGGATATCGCACCCTTTTGGCCTTGATTCCATTGTAAATACCGTAAATCTGGGAAAAAATGTGGCTTTCCTGCCTACCCCTGGGATTTTCCTGCCTACCCCTGGGATTGAACCCGCACCACAAGGAGTTCGTCACCCGGTCTCCCCGCAATCCGGTTTAGCCAACTACGCTAGAGAGCCGGGCTCCCCACCAAGTAAGGCAAAACCAATCTGCCTGTTCATTTCCCAACACACTGGCATTACTTGGAGAAAATATGTACCTTGTACACGTTCAGATAACGGAACATCCTCCTGATCAGTATCATGATGAATACCACAGAGCCTCTTGTGGGTTTTCAGGCCCCATTCTGGGGGGGGGGAAGAATTCAGTTATAACATATAATAAAAGGTGACTAATTAGAGGTAAATTCTTCAAGGTCGTCGGAATGCATCTTACTGGTAAATGAGGAACCAACAGTCTGCATACAAGTAAGCCAGACCTCTAAAATGGATATGCATGCAAAACTTCCCAGATATGTAAAATCCTTCGCCTGCTTTACTTTGTGTTCATCAGTTTTGATATTGGTGGTTCTTTATTTCTGGAGAATGTCATCACTTCTGTTTTGTCTACGTTGATTTTCATATTGTAGTTGTTGCATTCTGAGTGGAGTCTATTAATATGTTTTTGTAGCTGTACTGGCGTTTGTACTATGATTGCCTGGTCATTGGTGAAAAGCAGTTCGTTTATTAATTCTCCAAAGTTGTCCCCCTCGCTGATGTTAGCTGGTTTGCAAATTTGGTTGACATATGTGATGAACAGTAGTGGTGGTAGAACGGACCCCTGTCCCACTTCAGATCTAATGTAGAACCTTTCTGACATTCCTTATTAGTTCTATCTGCGCATTGACTGTTCACATACAAACTCTTGCATAGTTTAATAAGATGTTCGTTTACTCCATAATTCTGTAGTACTTTCCATCATTTATTGCTATTAACTGGAATGAAAGCTTTATTTTGATCGACAAATGTAATGTATACTTCTTTATCAAATTCTACCGTCCTTTCCACCAATTGTCTAAGCGTGAATATTGCATCAGTACAGATTCTGTTCTTCCTAAACCCCATTTGTCCTTCACTAAGTTGTTGTTGTGGAGTTTAAAAGCACTAAATACTTTTGGTTGAAGTCTTTGAACAGCAGAAACAATTAAACTAATAATTCGGTTACAAGAGGAAATGACATCTGTCTATGGTACAAGCAGGGCTGCCGAAATTGTTTTTTGGAATAGTATTACATGTGAAAAGGTACCAAAACCCACCAAAATGTACCAAATTTTTAATTGTAAATTTAAAAAAAAAAAAAAAAACGTTAAAACATCTTTACACACACACAAGACACTTGCTTGCACACTCAAAAGATTTATATATACCTGGATAATCTTATAGTTGATCAGAATTGAAATTCTCTGTCCATTACATCATTGCTGTACCATTCCTGTGTGTGTGTGTGTGTGTGTGTGTGTGTTGTCTGTGTGTGTGCCTACAGTCGGGCGGGTGTGTGTTTATCTGTGTGTGTATGTGTATATATAGAGAGAGAGACTCAGTTTGTACAAAGTTGTTGTGGTCACTTCCAGTTGGTGTAGTTAATATCCTGGAGCAATAACTTTGATCCCATCAGTACATTTATTGTTGAAGTCTTCAAAGAACCACGATTTTATATCGTAATTTCTTAAGCATCTGAGAAACGCGGTCCAAGTGACAAGAATGGACAAAGTCTGCAATCAGATTTTATGTCAAGATCTTGATACCCAGTCCTTAAAAACTCAATTACGATGGTTTGGACATGTATGCAGAATGAGACAAAATCAGCCACCATGACAGGCATGGGAGGCTAAGAACCAAGGAACCAGACCTCCAGGGTGACTCAGGATACGCTGGGAAGACAACATCTGACAGTCCCTAACTGACAGAGGACTGGAATGGAACAACGCCAGAAAGAAAACTGCTGATAGAGATGTCTGGCAATCTCTCTCGCAAACCTCTACACCCCAAGCTAGAAGAGGAGCGACTACGCAAGTAAGTAAGTAATATTCTTAAGCAGAGAGAAAACTCTTTCTGCAGCTGCAGAGGGATGAGGTAGTGCCAAAAGACTAAGCATAAATTTTAATGCTGATGTATAGCGATTTTCTTCTCCACATTTTTCTTCTGAAATTGTTAACCACAATTTTACCGTTTTTTCTTTAGATTTAGGTAGTTGATCTAGTTCCATCTACTTTTTATTGATTTGTTCACAAAGATCTTCCTTACCAAGGCTGAGAAATGTCCTTGTTGGATCCTGGATACAATGCCAACATTGAAAATGTTGATGCAAAATTTATAAATGTACCAAAACATCAGGCATAGTACCAAAAGTACAGTTTTGCTCTGTAAGTATCAAATAGCACCAAATTTGTTCAAAAATACCAACTTTGGTAGCTGTGGGTACAAGAAAGCATGGATCGTATTTTCTTAGGAATAATCAAGAAACATGTGCATTTCTTAGTACTGAAAGAGTTAAATATCAAGGGATCTGATCAAATTTGTATTTATTCAAGTTCACTTCTACGACTATTCTGTGGATCAGTGGAATGCATCCTCTTTCCAAATTCCCCGCATGGCCTCGGAGTACGGAGTCCAGGCATGGTGCAACAATGAAAGCCTTGCAGACGTGTTTGCTCCGGGAGATTTCAGCAGATATTCTGACATGGTGGATCACAGGCAGCATCATCCAGGCGGTGAGTGTTTGGGTTTCTAGACTAAGTTCAAGACCCAATGTCAATTGTAATAATGTTTTGGTTTTTCGTTAACATTACCATTCCCTGTTCCCTTTCTGTTTATCTCTCTTTTTTTTCTGTCTGTTTCATTTTCTCTGTTTCTCATGCTATCTTCCTCTTACTGTCTTTTTTCTTCCTTTATCTGCCTCTCTTTTTTCTTTCACTCTCTTTCTCTTTCTATTCTTTTTGTCTCTGACAGTGCTGTTTAGATTAGCATTATAAGAGATATGTGTATAAAAGGTGAGACATTACAAGGGCAGAATGTTAGACATTCTTATTTTCCCAGTTCTTAACAATGTGGAAATAAAGTGTATTTGGTCATTTGTTTCTTCTGACCTTGAAGTAGTTAATTGTGCATCTGGCCTTCTTGAATGATCACAAAAAACTTCAGCCGTTATGCATGCTGCAGTGCTGAAGATTCCTCAGCAGTTGAAAATTGAAAAATGGTAGGCCAAACAGACCGAGCCGCCATGTTACATTGGGGGATAAATGGCTGTAGAAGAAGAAGAAAAAATATTATTTATCTTTTCCTATTTTGTGTGTGTGTCCTGTTAACAGAAGACTTTTTCTGAAAAGTTCTTTAATTCACTGTTGTTTGTTGGCTTAATTTATTTCATTATTTTACAGGAAATCTGCAGATGGAAGCGGAAGTGAACCTGCATCTGAATTTGCCGAACTCTCCTGATGAAAAGTCCAACTTTGTAGACTTTATCTACTTAACACAGGTGACAGAATATTTGCAGAGTGGAGTGAGTGAGTTAGTGTATGAATGAGTGAGTGAGTTAGTGTATGAATTAGTGAGTGAGTTAGTGTATGAATGAGTGAGTGAGTTATTGTATGAATGAGTGAGTGAGTTATTGTATGAATGAGTGAGTGAGTTAGTGTATGAATGAGTGATTGAGTTGGTGTATGAATGAGTAAGTGAGTTAGTGAATGAATAAGTGAGTGAGTTAGTGTATGAATAAGTGAGTGTATGAATGAGTAAGTGAGTTAGTGTATGAATGAGTGAGTGAGTTAGTGTATGAATGAGTGAATGAGTTAGTGTATGAATGAGTAAGTGAGTTAGTGTATGAATAAGTGAGTGTATGAATGAGTAAGTGAGTTAGTGTATGAATGAGTGAGTGAGTTAGTGTATGAATGAGTGAGTGAGAGCTCCCAGATTATGATGACATTTTTTGTCACACAGGGCCCTGGATTCATTATCTAAAAACTGAAACAATGGGAACTCCCAGTGCAGCATAGGCCCTCAAGCAACTCATGCCAAGCTGTTTATGGACTTTTCTTATAGTGATGTGTATGCGATACATCCTTGGTTTGCTGACTGTTGCAGGTAGGCACAAGGTGCTGCAGGCGAAGTCAAATCTCAAGATAGCTACAGACACAGACCACCCTTTGTACAAAGTTCTTAGTGCAGTTAAGGGTCAGCGGCTGTTAAGAGGGAAGTCATGGATGGCTCAGGTAGAAGACACAATCAGAAAGGTTTGCATCCTTGAGAACATTGGGTGAGGAGAGGAGTGGGTCACAGTGCCACCTGAACAGTCAGACTTGTGTAGGGTCATAATCAAACTGAGCCGGGAATGCAGAGACTGGCCAGCAGGTGCCATGGAGATGGAAATTCAGCAGTTAATTCAAGATAATGCTCGCTCAAAGGATTTGATCATTTACAGAGATGGTTCAATGTTTGGTGCAGGAGAGCCTAGCATATGATACCACAACATCCAGCTTAAGAATGGAGGTGGAGGTGGTCACTTCAGCTTTTCGCTGGCTAGAGAACAGTTCACACACACATATTGTGATTGTAACTGACTCAAAAAGCATGCTGAGGAAGATCAGGACAGGCATTCTTTGTGCAGAGTGGCATGCTTTGCTGCGGAGGACACATGTAAGTAGTATTGTTTGGATTTTTTCACCAGATTATGCGGGTGTGTTAGGAAAAGAACAGGTGGACAGACTGGCTTGCTCGGCACAACTTGGTAGAATACTGATACATGATAAGGCAGACCTGGCTAGTGCCTTGTGGGAGAGCGTGTACAGTTCGGAGGAGCAGATGGATCACCACAGTCTGGTGTGATTGATGCAGGGGGGAGTGACGAGAGGTTCTGGCAGATGCTCGAGGCTCAGAGGAAAGGCATGACGGACATTTAATCAGAATGCTACTGGCACCATTAGTATCGGAACTCTTTGCTGGCTGTTGAAGATGGGGACTGAGTGCTTATGGGAATGCCCTGAGTGCTGTGATGTTGGTTCTTGAATCAAATCAAATCAAAATCTCACAGGCTGACTGTCAGCCATACAGGCTTTAGAGGCCAGAGCTCCTAAGGGTACACTACAAAATCTAAAAATGCTGTAAAAACTTGCAGAAACTCGCCTGCAGTGAATTCCATCTGATGGCTGCTTTAAGGACAACAAAAGTGCTAACACTTTAGTCAAGGAAGGAAGCAGCAAACAATTAATCTACCAGCCATACTACTTTTCACTGGTCAGAATCTTCAGTAAGAGAACATCAGAAACAAATTAAAAAATTAACACCTGTCATAACCTTAAAAAAGATTCTCCTGAAACACCTAAATAGAACAGACCAGCTCGCCATCTTTCTCGTACGCACTGGACACTGCAGACTCAGTAAACACTCATATAAATAATGTGTGAGCCAGACAGGTCTCTGCCTACTGTCTGCATGCTGAACAGACTCCAGGTGATTGTCCTCTCCTGGAGCAAAACAACACGTGGCAACATCCAGTAGACCTATAACTAAGCTTTAGGGAAACATCCAATTTTGTGGCCAATAGTGGATTAAACACATGACCAGAGATCACTGAAGAAGAAAAGGTTTATAGACTGTTAATTGTTTGTTGAATTTTGCAGCTAAAGATTTTCAGGTGGATGAGTTAAGGTAAAGAATAGATATTTTTTGCAAGCTAAAGAATGAGTCAGCATTTTATGTGTGAAGTAGAATTGCATTCCCTTTCAGTAAAGATTGAATGTTATGATTTCAGATTAACCAAGCTATGTCCATCCGCACGCAGTCGGAGCATTACAGACGCTTCCAGACACGGCTTCATTCTGACGGTAGAGGTCTTACCATGGGAGCTCTTTACTGGCAACTCAATGATATCTGGCAAGCTCCAACTTGGGCCTCAATTGGTAATAATTTAGATTATTATTATCATCATTTCCTATGGAGATGTTACTTTGTAACAGCTTTGGACAAAAGTCTGTACATCAACTTTGATAGATGCAAGACTTGGATGACATGAAATCCAAATATTAGGCTTAACTCAGCTGGTAACGAACTTCGCACCTTGTGTTTTTCTGGTAATTCCTTACGTGAAATTAATTTTAACACATTCTGTTTCGTCTTCTTATAGTCCATGCCATGTGGCTTTGGTAGTCATGTCTGTCCACAAACTTCTGTCTTGTGTACTTTCAGACACTTCTGACGCAGATGATCTTCCATAGTCGATGCTGTGTGGCTTTGGTAGTCATATCCGTCCACAACCTTCTGTCTCATATACTTTCAGTCAGCTCTGACACAGATGATCCTTCATGCCATGATGTCAGACTATCCAGCATCTTCAGTCTCGATCTCCCTCTGCCTCTCTTCCCCATCAACTTTTCAAATATCACAGTGTACTCCAGTTTTCTCTTTCTCATGACATGACCAAGGAAGTAGATTATCTCCTTCTTATGTGGTCAGTCTGTTCTCTTCGTGAGTCAGTTTCTTTCAAGACATCTTCATTACTCTCTATCTGTCCAGGGTATTGTCATCATTTGTCTATAAAACCACATCTCCACACTTTTCAAATAATTGTTTTACTAATCGCCCAGCTGTCAGTGATTTACATCTGTATATCAGGATAGTATTTATATAGCTCTTGAGAATTCTGTTTCCTGTCTCAGTTGACAAAGAAAGACTGCATAGAATTTTCTTCGTTTTATAAAATGCTGCATTTGCTTGATCTATTCTAAATTTAATTTCTTTAATACATCTTCTATTTGATGTTATCAGGGTACCCTGTTTCATATATATGTTACCTCAATCCTTTCTCCCCCAGAATGCTTTAAAAAAAAAAGGTCATGAACTTGTGAGAACTCCTTGAGAAAAAAAAAATCCCTAAAAACCCTTTACAGAAGTCACTAATAAATTTAAAAAAAAATTATTTATCTGAATTCTATTTTGGAAAAAATATAAAGATATATGAAATGAGTAATCAGTAAACATGAACAGAGTGAAGCATTACATTGAATTCATTCCCAGGGGCCTCTGTCTGTCAGGCTAATAGGGAAAATTTGACAAACTGGCTTTAAAAAAAAAGGTTATTTGATTCATAAAAATACCCTCTATTTTTTTTTTTTTAAATCAATGTATCATCCTGACTTCCTAAAAGCTGGGCATGCACAAAAACATCCAGTAGCAAGAATTAGGTGTCTCGTAAACACATCACTGTATAGGAAGTCCGGGTAAGTGGCAGTCCCGGGGAATTGGACTGTATAGGAAGTCCGGGTAAGCGGCAGTCCCGGGGAATTGGACTGTATTGGAAGTCCGGGTAAGCGTCAGTTCTGAGGAATTAGAGCTTACCTACCAAAGTGCTGGCTTTCCTGGGGTGAAAGGGTTAACCTACTTTATATTATTTAATACTTTAGCCTTTTCTGTTCAGTTTTTTGTGTGTGTGTGAATCACTTGGATGCCTCAGTTACTAGCTTGGAAGTAACAATTGTTTTACATAGAATGAATTGAAGTTACAACTGAATGTGACTGAAATTATTGAATTCATAAGTATTGTTGGATGTTGCATTATGTGTCACTTGATTTTTGGATGTTGTTTAATGTCTCACTTGATATTTGGATGTTGTTTAATGTCTCTCTTCATATCTGAATGTTGTTTAATATCTCGCTTCATATTTGGATGTTGTTTAATGTCTTGCTTCATATTTGGATGTTGTTTAATATCTGTTTTCATATTTGGATGTGGTTTAATGTCTCGCTTCATATTTGGATGTTGTTTAATGTCTCGCTTCATATTTGGATGTTGTTTAATGTCTTACTTCATATTTGGATGTTAATTCATATTTGGATGTTGTTTAATGTTTCACTTCATATTTTTAAGTTGTTTAATGTCTCTCTTCATATTTGAATGTTGTTTAATGTCTCGCTTCATATTTGGATGTTGCTTAATGTCTTGCTTCATATTTGGATGTTGTTTAATATCTATTTTCATATTTGGATGTGGTTTAATGTCTCGCTTAATTTTTGGATGTTGTTTAATGTCTCGCTTTATATTTGGATGGTTTTTAATGTCTTACTTCATATTTGGATGTTAATTGATATTTTGATGTTGTTAAATGTTTCACTTCATATTTTGAAGTTGTTTAATGTCTCGCTTCATATTTGGATGTTGTTTAATATCTATTTTCATTTTTGGATGTGGTTTAATGTCTCGCTTCATATTTGGACGTTGTTTAATGTCTCGCTTCATATTTGGATGTTGTCTTACTTCATATTTGGATGTTAATTCATATTTGGATGTTGTTTAATGTTTCACTTCATATTTTGAAGTTGTTTAATGTCTCTCTTCATATTTGAATGTTGTTTAATGTCTTGCTTCATATTTGGATGTTGCTTAATGTCACGCTTCATATTTGCATGTTGTTTAATATCTATTTTCATATTTGGATGTGGTTTAATGTCTCGCTTCATTTTTGGATGTTGTTTAATGACTCGCTTCATATTTGGATGGTTTTTAATGTCTTACTTCATATTCGGATGTTAATTCATATTTTGATGTTGTTTAATGTTTCACTTCATATTTTGAAGTTGTTTAATGTCTCGCTTCATATTTGGATGTTGTTTAATGTCTCACTTCATCTTTAGAGGTTGTCAACACGTATGTTCAAGAGCTCCATTTTAGAAGGAAAAAGAATAGACCCCCCCCCCCCCCCCCCCCCCCCAACAAGGGGTGTTTCCTTCGAAGTCTGAGTGCATCTGCCTAAAAGGCAAGAAACCAGCAGTCTGTTTGAAATAAGCCAAATCTGACAAATGGATGTGCACGCAAACCGCAAGTTCTGGAACAAGAGTGTTGTTGAGAAGTAGATGAACAACCAAAATTGTTCACCCATTTACAGATGGTGAACACTAAAAAAAGGGTGTTTAGACATTGTATTTGTGCCTCACTTCACCATTGTATTTGTGCCTCACTTCATATTTGGATGTACTTTTTTTTTTTTTTTTTATCGATCACCGGCTGTGAATTCCAGTGGAAGGTCCCGGTTAATCGTCCGCTTGGACTTTTGGCTTTCACCTGGACCTGATTTTTTGTACAACCGTTTTTCATTTCCCTGCCTCATGGGCAGCTGTACTCCCGACTTCGAAGGAAGACGTCAGGCCTATTTCTAGGTCACTGTGGCCATTGTTTTGTGTGGGTCGAGACGTTGCCTGGTTTGTGTGGTGTCCACTTTGTCTCCTTCTCCGCAGGTATTGCCCTCGGAGTACCCCTTTGGGGCAGCCCCCTGTGGAACAGTTAGCCCTCAAGGGAAGGCAGGGGGCAGATCATGGGCATTCCCCGCCATCCAAGGAGGCTTCCATGCATGCAGAGCCGGCACATGGCGCTCTGGTTCTGGGCTCACCCAAGGAATCGTCACGTCCTGCACATGCCTGCTTAACCTCACAACCGTATCAGGCCTCCCGCTTGACAGGGGCTGCACCCTCTGGAAGTCAGCGGGGAGCAGCCCCGTGGGTTTTGGACTTTTGTGACCACACAGATAGTTACATTCTTTTTTTTCTTCGCACGTTAGATTTCTTTGACGAGCCGTTAGCCCGACAGAATTTTACCTCCTGCATCAGGCATATCGTTATCAGTTTTGTCCCAACACTCTGGCGAGTGGGGTCTTTGGGTGTGGACATTCGGTCTTTTCCAGTTCAATACAAATTTTGATGGTCAGATTTTGATCCGTATGATCTAGTTTTGTCGGACAATTAGGCTTAGCCGTCCGATGGATGGTTGCTGTTGTGGAGTACCTCAGCGCGGTGACGACGACACTGAGGGTTAACAGAGGAAGTGCAGTGAACAATGTTCTCTGTTACTCCGCAGTCTTTTAACCAAGGGTTGTAACATTGGCTGTACGTTTGGCAAACCTACTCATGTTCCTAATGAGTTTTGATAACATTTTTTCACCCAAGCGTTTGGGGGCGGGCTGATGAGAGCCACAAGGACACATCACCTCTGGGGGCCGTCCGAACTCGAGATCCCCTGACAGCTCTGTTAATGCTCTTTGAGACATTATCCGTGGCGCACGACGAGGACGTGCTGTAGGGGTCTTGCGTGATGTTCCGTACAACCAGGATAGTTAAGGACTGGCGCCCGAGTGACGTACGGAGTATCTCCTTATACACATCATGTTGTACTTAACTTCCCCTCACGCCTGTGACATAAATTACCGCGGCACTGGATGTACTGTTATGTCTGACTTTTTCTTTGGATGTTTTTGTATGCTTAACTTCATCTTGAATCAACCATTCATCTGTTGTAGACTATGAGGGCAGGTGGAAGATGTTGCACTACTACGCCCGGTCATTCTTCAACAAGTATCTGGTGTCTCCTTACCTAAGACCTGACCAAACCTTGGATATCTTCATGGTGTTGGACCAGATTCCCGCCGCCGAGGCTAGGTCTGCAGACGGTAAGTAAGATACGGTGGCTATTATCAGTTTATTAACTGTGAACACATTTCACAATCCTCTACATACCAGGATTAGATTTTCATGGTGGATGATGTAGTTTAATGTTAAATTAAGAATCAACATTACAATACTCACTCCATCCCCATCTTCAGCAGCATACAATGAGTTCCAGTTTCCATGGTACCAATAATTGTTTGATCATAAATATGTCTCGCCTTTTCCGTTAAGTGTTGAGTGTCGGCAAGAGCCTCTGGTAACTCCCCTCAGCGCCATTCTCCTCAGACCGTAATGATCTTTTTGTGCCTCTGCACTGTTCACTCACTTCCAAAGGGCCCTCACAATATTTAGCTTGCTATTCATCATTTCACCACCAAGTGGTGCAGGACCGGCTAGTGTATCTGCATGTTCATTTCCCCACACACCATCATGATCTGGAGAAAAAGATGTAGATGATGTAAAAAAAAAAAGCACATTTTCCGGGCTTTAGGAAACCAGTACAAGAGTAACATTGTGGGAGAGACTGGTGGTCCAGCATAAAATACTACTAAGGAAAGTTAAAAACAGAAACCAGCCTCCTATGTGTAGAATGGTTTACATCACATAATAAGACTCACATCAAGGGCATAAAATGGGTTTTTCCCCACAGGGGCATTCTGGTGTGTGGGGTAATGAACAGGCTGATAGATTAGCTGCTGCTACTCCTCTTGATAGTGAGTTTGCTGTTTCTCTGGACAGGGAGCTATTAGTTGCTGCTGCTCCTCTGGACAGGGAGCTAATTAAGGATCAAATGGACGTGGTAAATGCTCTTTGGGATCAAATGGACATGGCAAAAGAGCAGAATAATTTAGTTGGGGAGGGGGGAGGTAAGCTGGGGTTGTGAATAATAATATTCAGCACTGGGGGTAAAACATACGTGAACTTTTAATCAGATTGCAACTGGCACATTTAGCATGTAAACTCTTTGTTGGCTACTAAAGAAGGAGATGGAGCACCTTTAGCAGTGTTCTGAGTGCAGTGATGTCAGTTCTTCATTAATTCATTTACTAAGGAAAGCCATGTATGTTCATTTCTACTACCGCCAACCTCCATTGTGGAGAGGATACATTAAAGAAAGAAAAAAGAGATTCTAGTCACTAAGGCTAGAGCTATAAATGGTAAGTAAGATAAGATCACAGTTTCCAATGGCAGAGATGATGTTTGATGTTATGTATTTAATTCATGGACTTTACACTGTTGTCCCAGAAACAGGTACCCAAATGTGGGCCTGGCGGCACTCTTCCAAATACCGGTCCCAAATTATTCACTGCGAAAAACATCCCTTTGAGAGCCTCAAGAGATTATGTAGTAAAAACGTTTAGGCCATCATCATCAGTTTCCACTTCTGCCTTTATTGCTCAATGGATAGCAATGTTTAGATGTCAAGCTAACCGCCGTGGGGAAGAATAGTTTGCGATCCATTGAAGCGACATGGGGGAGCAATTGATTTTGATCCATTGTTGAAGTGACGTGGGGAGGAATGGTTTTTGATCTATTGATCATATTACCCGTGACCCCCCTTGTGGGTTCCTGGGCCACATGTTTGAGAAAGAAAAAGCACAGACCCTCTGCCACGTAACAAGCATGATTTTAAAGGCAACTAATTAGGACTGCTGAAATGCGGATGTTTTGGTACGATATCACAGCCTAGCTGTAAACCCGAACACAATGTGCCAACCGTCCTTTTGAAGACACAAAAAAAAAAAATTATTACCCAATTTGGGAATCGAACACCGGTCACCGGCGTGACAAGTGAAATACTTACAACTGTACTGCCGAAAATTTGTAAGTTCGGTCCAAATGAAATTATATAATAGCCCGAAGCATAGTTCGTAGTGTTTCTATTCCATATTTTTAAATATATTACCTCTTGAGGCCCTAAATGCGATTTTTTTTTTTAAACAGTGAATTATTTGGGACCAGTATTTGGAAGGGTGCCTGCCTGGCAAATGTAAAAAAGATAATATTTTCTTTCAGAGTTTGTCTGCCTGAAAGGCCCGAAACTAAAAGTCTGCTCACAAATAAAGCAGATCTGTAAAATGAATCTGCACACAAAACTCTAGTTCTGGAACAAGACCAAAGTCCAGAAGTGGACGAACAACCAAAACTTTCCACCAGAGTTTACTGCCAGTGAATGCAAAGAAAAAAGAAGAGAAGTACTTCTATTTTTGTGTGTCTTTTGCTGTATTCACTTTTTTAAAAGTCTTCTTGTTGATTTATGCAGGACGCTTGTTCTTCTACCCCGTCACCAGTCCTGACACTCTGCTTAAGATGGGATTCCCAAAAGACCAGATTTTTAAAGTTGCATCAGAAGTGGCCAGAGCTAGCAGTGGGAATGTTACTATCAGCATCTATGACTATAGCAGTTTTAATGTTTTATATACATGGAGAAGTCCCTTTGATGTAGGTGATATCTTTGTATCATTATTTTGTTGTTATAATAATTTCCATGTGTAACATTCAGGGCCCCATTCTGGGCGGGGAAAAAAGAATAGACCCACTCCCCCACCACCACCTTGGGGATCCTGGGAATTGAAGTGCATTGGTAATGGTTTCAAGGGGCACCGTTCTGCACATCCAAAAGATGTCTGAACCTGTCAGCCAGTAATAGACACTTGTTAGTTAGTTTTTAAATGGGACATTGGCGGACATTTTGTATGATTTCCACTGGGGCCGCCTGTCTGCAGTGTTGGAACCTCGGCTAATGACTAATCAACAACATTGTCAACATCAACATCTACATCATCATCACAACCACATACTTTACGAAACAGTGCCGGCATCTTTTCTCTCATCTCTTAATTCACTAGAATTTCTTTTGTTTTTTTTCTGTCACAGAATTATGAGGCTAATTTTGGCATATGGCCGTGAATTCTGGTCACTTAATAAGTGAGCAATTTAATTTGGGACTTTTGAGATGTGGTTTTACAGAAGAATTCTCTGAGTTCCTTAAACAGTCCGAAAAAGAGCAACCCAGATGTTTTGAAAGAGGCGAGGGCTCAAAGACAACTTATTACAAACATCAGAGAGAGAGTGTTATAATAATTTTTTTGATCGTTTTATGAGAAGAAAACTAGAACACATTGTGACCACTGAAAGACCACAGGGGAAAGAAACAGAGGAAGACAGCATGAAAAGATTTTTGACAGCCTTTTATCATGGCATGGAGTGGTGTGGGTACACAAACTGATACACGCTTTTGAAGATAAATAGTGGAGAGGCATGATCATGTACACCAGTCAGCAAGGCACTTGATGATGATGAAGTTCAGCATATGTGATTCTGTCATTTAATTTCCTAATTTCTGCTCAGACATTTGTTAATGTTATTTAACTGTACAATTTCATCATAAATATTTTTATCATCCTCCCTTACACAAACAAAATATTTAAATATTGAACAAAGAAATGCAAGATGTAAAGTGATCTAAGGGTATATATTTTCAACCAACAGATAAAAACAACAGCGGAATCTGTATTCACAAAGAAGATTCCTGACTTGCTGAATGAATCAAAGTGTCCAGGTGTAGAGAACTGTCTACTGTCTGTGACAGCAACTGACAACAACAAGGCTGTACTGTCAGCATCATGGCTTCCCCTGGCCTACCCCAAGTTTTCCAAGCTGTTGCCTGCAGACCTCAAGGTTTTCATGTTTAATTTTGACTGTGCTTCTAACTTTACTGTTCTTGTATGTTTGCTATTTATGTGTTTCTCATTCATGTAGCTTCCTTCTGTTTGTCCCCCTTCTGGGCTGCTGCATAAAGGTTTCACCACAATGTCTGGGATGTGGTTCAACCAGCAAAAACCACAGAAACCAGTGACATGTATGCCCCAAACAGGAACTCGCCAGGCGAACAGTTACGCCACAAGAAAGTAATGGCCCACAAAGGAAAAGAGGACTTTGAGGCATAACCAAATGCCAGAACTAATAAGCAAGACCTCAAGTCAGCAAGGAATCAAGGACTTGATATAACCACTGCTCAGTCAAGGAGCAGGTTAAAAGAGTCAAGAAGTTTGTTATTTTTTTGGGGCCAACAACCTGACAAGACCTCTGAATGTGGTACACACCGTGATATGTCAGTTTGAAAGGAAAAGAAGGAGTCGACAGACTGGCCATGTCTACAGTGGTTAATAAAGGAAAAATTATGGACAAGGTAAATGCACTGAATGCAATGTTTTCCAGAAATGTTGGGACAAATGAGTCACAGACAATGAACCACCTGTTGAAAATGGGTATTAAATTAGGACACGCATGCAGAAAGAAAGAAGTTGTGCCAGACAGATCCTACTGGGGAGGGGGCGGGGGTGTATGCCGAGAATGGGGACACTGACATGGCTGCTGCATCAAAGGATGGAGCACGCACGGGTCAGACTAAAGTGCTAGGATGTTTATACGGGTAACAAGCAACTGGTCTGGATGGCAAGCCAACAAGGCAGATATCCCTTTCAGCCTCAAAATAAGTTTTTGGCTGGGGCGCCCATAACAAACCAGCTACATCAAGCTTGGTGTGGCCTGCAGTCCTGTGTGGGTAAGGATGTCTTTAATTTATTTCTTATTTGGCGTTTGCTGTGGTTTACAGCTAGGCTGCGATATCTGCCTTTAAGCCCAATACAACTGATTTCAACAAAACCCTAATGAGCCGCCTTTAACTGACATGAGGAGGAAAGGAGGGGGGGGGGGGGGGGGGGGGGGGGGGGGGGTTTGTGCAGGGAATCTATTATTTTCTCCCCAAAAATGAAGCCCTAGAACCTCTACAAAGATTTCATTATTTGGTTTTTACGATTTTGTCTTTCATCTCTGCTTACCTTTCCTATTTCTTTGCCTTTTATCTTTGTTATCTTTCCTTTTTTTGTTGTTGTTGATGCAAAGGAAATCATGAATCACTTTCATCTTTTAAACAGAATACAGTAGAAATATCTTTCAGTTATTGGCCTTCAGCATGTGCTTATCCATTCTCATTTCCTGAACTCATCACTGGGTTCCGGGCTCCATTTTGAAAAACAAAGAATAGACCCAATGCACCCCTTCCTTCCTCTTCCAACAAAAGATTAATCGAAGGAGCTGTGACTGAAAAGCTCAACGGAATGGGGAAGCAGAATAACGTGCACTAAACAAAACAAATTGACATTTCGGTCGGGGCCTTTCTCAACATGAACTGATCCACACAACTGTAACAAAGGGGAGAGCACTCCAGCCACTGCCAGTGTGACAAATTAGGGGTTTTTCCTCCACAGTGGAGTGCATTTGCCTGAAAGGCAAGTAACCAGAAGTTTGAATACAAAAAGACCAGATCTGTAAAATAGATCTGCTCATACAACTCAAGTTCTGGATCAAGAACAATGATCAATAGCGGACAAACAACCAGAATTGTCCATCAAAGTTTACAGCTGGTGACTGGTACGAAGAAGAAGAAAGAGGAGGAGGAGAAGAAGAATATTAATAAACTAACTAACCAATAAATCAACCAACTAACTAGCCAACCAACCACACACCAGCTAATGTACCAACCACAACTGCTGAACTCATCAACCAGCCACAACTGCTGAACTTATCACCCAACCAATATCCATCAACTACAAATCAACTAACCAACCAGCCAACAATAAAATGTGTGCCATCTTCACAGTGGAGGTAAGTAAAATAAAGGACCATTTTCCAGCCCTTTAAGTGTATTGGGCCTATAGACTTATGTTTGATAGACAAATTGGCACTTGTTGTGGGATGTGGTCACCAGCCACCTTTACTTCCTAGGACTTTACCTGGTACCCATTTTAAATCTGGAATGACCTAGGGGCCAAGTTTGATTTAAAAAAAAAGTCTTGCTCAGTCAGGATCTGAATCCATGACTTTTCGATCTGCACACAAGCGTCTATCTACTGCACCATGGCAGCTCCACACGGTGCTGTCTTTGGGAATATTACACAGTGAGGCTTCAGTTGCTTCCATGGTGCAACTCTCATACCTCTATCCAAAAGCCATGATTATGATCTTTTTCTGAACTGGCCATCATAGAAATCGAAATCTCATACTTCAAGAATTATGAAATGCACACAATACCTTCTGTACTGTAGAGCCACACAACTAACCAGCCAACCAGCCACGTAGTAGACTTAGGAATAACATCTTATTACCTGCTTTTTCATTCCTCCTCAGATTACATCAGTCATTCAGGTTGACGAGAACACTTTCAACATACAAGTCTCAACCAATGCCATTGCTCTCTTTGTGTGGCTGTCAACTGTAAATATTCCTGGCCATTTCTCCGACAATGGATTTGTAATGCTAACACCAGTTACAACAGTCCAGTTCTTAGCTCAAGCTCTGGTCAGCGTTGACCAGCTGTTGGCCGAACTCCACGTCCGCAGTGTTACTGATGTGAAGTATTAGCCTAACTCTTTCAATGCCACCAAAATGTCTTGATCATTCCAAAAATATGAGAGGGCTTCATTTGAAAACCTCAGAAGTGTGATAAAAATTACAATAATGATGCCATTGTCTTGTAACCTGTCTAAATTGTTGTTAAGTGTTGAGCTTGTGACATCATGGTGCAGATGAATATGGGTTAATAATCCATGATGTTATCCCAGGATGGCTGTTGCCTGTTTGATGTGGTATCAGTGTTTATGAGTATGTTTAATAATGTTGAAATTTGTAATACCTTTTTTTGTTTGTTTATAATTTTTGTTCTGCTCCCTAATATCAGCTTGACATCACAGTGACCCAAAGAGTTATATTTTGGATGTCAAGTCAGTGTGAGCATACCCCAGATAAACTCTAAAAAGGTCATTTTTAGGAATCCTATGACCTAATAAATTTATTTTTAATGTACCATTTGATACATTTTTTTTGTACCCTTTTCTTTTCCTCTGCAGTTTTATAAAAAAAAGAAAAGAAAATAACTGCATAAAATTAATATTACTCTAGAATTCTCCAGCAGAGACTTAGAGGACTGGCAGAATCATAGCCTGATCAGAGCAAACCTTAAAATTCAAGACCTTATCTCCACACTCTGACAGATGAGTGAAAAGGTCCTTTAATATAAGAGTGAGATGCATATATATATATATATATATATATATATATATATATATATATATATATATATATATATATATATATATATATATATATATATATATAAATAATTTGTTGTTTATTTTAAAACTAGAAAAGGTAATTGATGAGGGACCCTGGAGCAAGCTGTGGGACTGCTTGGCAGGAAAAAACATCCCAGCACCCCTGATCAGTGCAATACAGTTTCTACAAAAGCTGCAGAAATTATGTAAGAACAGCAGACCAAAAGTCAAAAGAATTTAAGACCACTAGCGATATTAGACAAGGCGATATTCTCTCACCTTACCTCTTCATTCTTATGATGTCATCAAGACCTGTGAGGAGAAGAAAAAAAAATGCTGAGTAAGGTACTGGAAGACGAGACCAGTATGTATATCAGAGCCGACATTTGCAGACAATGTAACCCTGATAGCTAATTCAGAGGCACATCTTCAATCCAACTCACTCATCTGGAAGGAAGAGCTTGAGAAAAGAGGGATGACCATCAGTATCTCTGAAACTAAAACCTTTGTCTTACTCTACACTTACAAGTCTTGTCAACTGTGCTTCACGGAAACTAGCGTACCCTTCTAACCAACATGTCATCCTTTTGGGAAGACTTACTAAGGAAAGCAAGTGAAAGTTTTGCTATGCACATTAAGCGACTTAAGATGTCCGACAAGAGCACAGGCACTGAAGCGTTAGCGACGAGGCACCAGGCACAACTGAAAGAATTCACTTTAAGCGAAGATCAAAGCACTAAAACAGACACAGAAGTTCAAGTCACACAAAAATTCCCAGAGGAGGGTACCGAAAAACTCATCAGCCAGGCTGACGTACAAGAACTTCACCGGAGAATTAATGAACATATGTTTCCGCACAAGCTGATTGTGAACCAAAACCGTGTCTACACAGAATATGACGAGGAAGCGCTGAAAGAGGAGAAGGAAAGCCTAACACCTGAGGAATACCAAGCCTAATAAAACTGGTTCCTGCAACTTTTCAAAGAAATGAAAACAACCGCCACACAACATTTTGATCAGGAAACACAAAAGCAATGCCAGACGCCAAGGAAACCCAAAAAATACACACCAGGCAGAAGAAACCACTACCAGCACTAGAAACAACAACCAATGGAAACCACCCAAGCCGCCATTACAGCCCAACTAACCAGCTCACCGGAGACCCCGCCTTTCCGTTCCAGGCCACCCCAGGCAAAAATGGCAGTCCTTTTCAGGGCTGCCAGTTCCACTCCCAAAAAACTGTAAACCACCCGCCAAGCCTATGCCGCTGAAATGATGTTTGCAAATTTAGGCGAAAATGATCGCTGCAAAGAAACAAACGAAATTCAGATAGCAAAGAAACCGTAAAGGTAAAGGTAAAGTCGGGAGATGTGAACCAGCGTCATTGCACACGGTTAAAAACCATAAGTGCTCTGCCACAAGTACAGACAGCAGATAAGAATTGTCCGCCTGTGTCGCTGTCCGCACGTAACTCAGTGGCTTCAGTAATGTTCCTCCATTTACATAGGTGAACTCTTGGTACCCATTTCCTAGAGGCTGGGTGCCCGGGAGCCGCCAGGTTTCAAACACCGACCGTGTGCTGCAGCGAGTCGCATCTGGATTTGAAAGCGAGCCTCTTATCGACTGCACTAATGCGGCAAAGAAACCGTCCTCGATAAAGCATACCTTCCGGCGGCTGAAAGAGGTCACATTTTGACATTTTTGTTTTCTTTTTCCAAGTTCCAAGGGGAGGAACCCAAGTACTGTATTGGCACTCCTGGTTGATTTGATTGGATTTTAATTTGATTCAAAAACCGACATCACAGCACTCGGGGCATTCCCATAAGCGCTCCGTCCCCATCTTCAGCAGCCAGCGAAGAGTTCCTATACTAATGGTGCCAGTAGCTTTCTGATTAAACGTCCGTCTTGCCTTTCCTCTGAGCCTCGAGCTTCTGCCAGAACCTCTCGTCACCCCCAACTGCATCAATCTCACCACACTGTGGTGACCCATCTGCTCCTCCGAATTGTACACGCTCTCCCACAAGGCACTAACCACGTCTGCCCTATCATGTATCAGTATTCCACCAAGTTGTGCAGAGCCAGCCAGTCTGTCCGTCTGTTCATTTCCCAACACACCGGCATGACCTGGTGAAAAAATCCAGACAATACTTCTCACCCTTGTCCTCCGCAGCGAAGCATGCCCTGCACGAAGCATACCTGTTCTGATCTTCCTCAGCATGCTTTTTGAATCAGTTACAATCACGATGTATGTGTCGTGTTCTCTAGCCAGCGGAAAGCTGCAGTGACCGCCTCCACCTCCATTCTTAAGCTGGGTGTTGTGGTATCATATGCTAGGCTCTCCTGCACCAGACGTCGACCATTAACTTTTGCTAAGAAGCCCCAAGCACTTCTTTTGCCTCTTGACACTGAACCGTCTGTGTAAATAATCAAATCCTCAGAGCAAGCATTATCTTGAATTAGTTGCTGAATTTCCACCTCTGTGGCACCTGCTGTCCAGTCTCTGCATTCCCGGCTCAGCGTGATTATGACTCCACACAGATCTGACTGCTCAGGTGGCACTTTGACCCACTCCTCTCCTCTCCTGATGTTCTCAAGGATGCAAACCTGTTTGATTGCGTCTTCTGCCTGAGCCATTCATGACCTCCCTCTTATCGGCCGCTGACCGTTAACTGCACCCAGAGCTTCATTCAGAGGGTGGTCTGTGTCTGCAGCTACCCTAAGAAGGAGACATCAAAATTCCTTGGTTCAAATGCGTATCCGGGTCGTTTTTTTTTTTTTTTACTTGCGGGGGGGGGGGGGGGGGGGCTTTAGGCTCTTTCGGCATAAAAAACAAGAAGGGGGGGGGGGGCGTCGGTAATCACAAGAAAGTGGTGATTTTGGGGGTGGAGGAGGGGGGGGGGGTGAGGAGATACATAAAAAGGTGCTGGTACTGCATACTACCCGAAAAACTCTACAGATCTCGGTCTTTGGTTTTCTGGATCAATTTCACTAATGATATTCCTCCATGCCACTGTCTTAAGCCATCCACCACAATTTTGTGTGTGTGGGTTTGCCGCTGCCGCTTCTCCCACAGATCTTTCCAGTCGTCCCGATATTTTCCTGTGCTCCTTTTTTCATCACACGACCAAGGAATTTTGATGTCTCCTTCTCATTGTTGTATATAATGTTCTACTTTCACTAGCCATTTTCAGGCATTCAGTCTTGACTTTACATCACTTCACTTCATTTTACTTTACTCACTTTACATTACTTTGTTTTACTTTACATTACATTACTTCACACAACTTTACTTCACTTTACATTGCTTTACTTTATTTTACTTTACCTTACTTTTCTTTATTTCACTTCGCTTTACTTCACTTCACTTTACTTTTACTTCATTTTCACTGCACTTAACTTCACTTTACATATTCCACTGCGTTGTATCCTGTATCACGTAAAGGGAAATTTGTGTGTGTGTGTGTCAGCGAACATCACGCATTGCCCCCCTGACAGGTGAAGCTAGCTACCTACCTCTAGACGAGAAAGGGGTTGGGATAAAAAAACACACAAAGGTGAGATCACACCTGGACAATATTTCTGATAATAATCCAGGTGCTGTATATGGTAAAAAAAAAGGGGGAGTGGGTGAGAACAAGTTCGTCACTCACGCTGGTGTGTATGAGTTCTGACTCACACACGTGCATCATCATACGGGGAGATAGGTGCGCGTGCAGGCGCTGTAGTGTCGGGTGCTGCTGCTTCTTTTATCGTACCCATCCTACTTTCCCTTCCACAGGAGCGCCACCACAGAGTTAACATTTAGGATGGGGGGGGGGGGGGCTCAAACCCTCCCCCCCCCATCCGCTTTTCACATTATGTAGTAACATTTTAGGGTGCGCTCATGGGGGTGGGGGAGCTCACACTTCTGAAACGCCCCCCACCCTCCTCCCACCAGTGAGGTAAGAAAACATTTTAGGACCACAAAACCACGCTCTCGTTACAACACTACACATTTTGTAGGCAAATAGTTGGGGTTGGGAGGGAAAAGGAGGGGGGGGGGGGGGGGGGGGGGCGCTCAGGTCTGACCAACACATCCTCCGCGACTACATCCAATATTTTTTAAGGGGGCTAAGAAAAACTGCATTAACAAAAATTATCTTTTAAAATATTTTTTTTCATATATTTCATATTGCGTCAAGTATAGTATAATATTTATTTGCCATTCCGCACATTATTATTCGAATTTTTTCGGCCAACCGTAGATTACTGAGATTTGTTGAAGCGACAGCGATAAACCGGTTCTGTCCAGAATTATGAAGACAAAAGGAC